AATGTAATCATAATTTTTATAAACATAATCAAGTGATTAACATTAGTCTAAAGTCAAGCAACAAAGTCAATGATGAGCCAAAGATACAGGTCAAAGTCAAAGACTCGTGCTTAATTACGCTATGTTGACGAGAGATTTTTCTACGTGGTCGGAACACGAGGTGATACGCCATGTGTTATTTTACTAGTAGAGAAAATTTTCTTTTAAGTGTCCCTCCACTTTATTAAGTACTAGGTTTTTGTTTGGCTTCCCTTGTCAAAATTTGTAAATGCTACCACACATGCTCATACTTTAGAGTTAGGGTACAATGCTGATCTAGAATTTCTATTGGGATTGAACTTGTCAAAGCACTTGACATCTTCACTACAAAAGGTTTGAATCATACATTTGCATGTGCATGTCAAGCTTATTTTTCCAAATTCCTTTTGTTTAGTGTTGTTATTTAGTCTAAAATTTCGTCTGTTGTCCAGCTGTCGAGGCACGTAAATTAAGACAACCCACATGGGCCATCTGACACCTTTTCCCACGAGTGGATCTCTCACCCTTGATCTGCAAAGGTCTCTTTGGCTTGTGACACGTGTCTCCTTGTTCCCCTTGTCTAAAACATTAATCTCTACCATTAAAAGGGTTTTCAAGGATTCAATTGTTCCTTGGTTAGGTTTTTTTACATTTAAAAAAAAAGAGGAGTACACTTAGCTTAGAGCTACCTATGAAGCTTCCAAACCAAAACCTTAGCCACAAAACCATCTCATGCACAAACACTCAATCACTGCATATTAGAGTTGCATTGTTTTAATGGTTGTGCATTAAGCTTTGGTCTAAATTTAAGTTTCATATCCTTCATAGACCAAGCGTTTGGATTCAAGTTAGATTCTTCTTTCAACTGTTTGACTGGAGAATTTGACTAGTTATTTGAATCCAAATTTCATAAACATGTCATAAAATCATATCATTGTTTGTGTTGATTTCGGTGCCACAAGGTGAAAAGCTCAAGAGGAGCTACCACTTCGTGAAGACCAAAAGAGTTCATCTCGTGTAAGACAAGGTTATACAAAGGTAAAGCTATTCCATAGATAGGGATATAGGAATTGAGCTTGTGTGGTCTTTGTATGAACTTTGTTTACACTAGTAGATTTTACTCAGTAGAGTCTCCCTGGTTTTTTAACCCAGAGGTGGGTGGCCAAAAACTTCCTTGTGTTCAATACTTTACAAAGCTTTATTCATAACCATTATTAAAAAGTTAAACATTGTAGGGCTTGCTAGTATTGACACTTAAATTAATCAAGTGAACTTAACTCAATTACTAAGACTAAAACTTAACTGAAGTTCACATTGATAAGTGTTAAACTTTTAAGTTTGTTTGGTTTATATGCGTGGGGGTCTAACAATCTGTACTCAGTTGACTAGTATGTTTGACTAGTCAGTATAGTTGATTTTTAAGTTTTATTGTAGGGTAATCCACTTGGTACCAATTTCACACTTGTATATGTACAAGTATGCCATGTGTTATTATTCCAGTAGAGAATTTTTCTTTTAAGTGTCCCTCCACTTGTATATATACAAGTGTGCTCGGGCACGTTGAAAAATCTCTCGCTGCTGAAGAGGGATTTGTGCTTAGAGGTTCACCTTATGTGATCCACTAGACGTAAAATCGTAATACGTATGAACAATTAAAATTATAATTTAAGGTTTCAATCTTTCTTGGTATTCTACTTAAATTAGGAGGCAATACACACGCACACACATTATGACATAAGGAACATTAAAGAGAATTAGAAACAAACTAGAAAATACAAATACATTCCTGTTTCACCTAGAACTTTGACCCACGCCACCCCCCCCCCTCAAGTTGGATCATAGATAGTCCCTAGGTCCAACTTGTCGAGTGAGTCCTGAAATCTTTTAGTAGAAACTGCATGAGTTAAAATATCTGCCAACTGTTATTCTATCTTTACGAACGGAATGTCAACCAAATTAACATCCAACTTTTCTTTTATTAATGTCTATCCACCTCAACATGCTTGGTCCTATCATGATGCATCAGATTGTTAGCTATCTCATGCGCTGCCTAATTATCACAGTACAACAGTATAAACCCTTTTGGTTTAAACCTTATCTCAGTGAGTAGAATCCGAAGCCATATAAACTCACAAATACCATGCATCATTCCTCTGTACTCAACTTTGGCCGAAGATCTTGCCACTACATTTTGCTTCTTACTTCAAGTCACAAGATTACCAGCTACAAACGTAAAGTACCCCGATGTAGATCGTCGATCAATAATATTTCCAGCCTAATCTTCTTCTGTATACCATTTCATCTTGATATGTCCATGTTTTCTGTACATTAACCTTCTTCCTGGAGCTCCTTTCAAGTAACTTAGAATCCACATTATTACTGCCATGTGATCCTCACCAGGAGCATGCATAGATTGACTCACCACACTTACAACGTAAGCAATATCTGGCCTTGTAAGTGACAAATAAATCAATAGCCTAACCAATCTTTGATACCTTTCCTTATTCGCCGGGACTTGATCTTAATAGATCTCTAGATGATGATTTTACACCATAGGTGTATCTACTGGTTTACACCCTAGCATAACAGTATCAAACAGAAGGTCTAACACATACTTTCGCCGAGATAAGTATATTTATTCCTGAGATCTAGACACTTCAATCCCCAGAAGTATTTAAGTCCCCCAAGATCCTTCATCTCAAACTCAGAAGACAAATACGCCTGCAACCATTCGATTTCTAATGTATCATCACCTGTGACAATATCATCTACATATATGATAAACAAGGCTACCTTACCATCATTGCCTTTGATGAACGAAGTATGGTCAAAAGTATCATGTCGATACCCATATTTCTTCATTGTCTGGGTGAACTGTCCAAACCATGCTCTGAATGACTGTTTAAGACCACACATTGCTTTTTGAAATCTACATACTTTCCCGCTGGAGTTCACAACGCCATACCCTAGTGGAATATCCATGTACACCTCTTCCTCTAACTTTCCATGTAGAAAAGTATTTTTTACATCAAACTGTCTTATAGGCCAATCAAGGTTAGCTGCAAGAGACAATAAAACTCTAATGGTATTCATTTTTGCAACGGGAGCAAACTTCTCTTGATAATTGACTCCAAATGTCTAGGTAAACCCATTGGCCACTAACCTTGCCTTGTACCTATCAATTGTTCCATCTGCCTTATGTTTGATATTGAACACTCACTTAGATCCCACTGATTTATTTCCCTTAGAAAGTGCAACCACATTCCATGTATTATTCTTTTGTAATGCGTCCATTTCAACTTGCATTGCCTCTGTCCATTTCGGATCTTTTAAGGCTTCTTCCAATCTGGTGGGTATTTTGATAGTTTCTATCTGCTGAATAAGTGCACAGTATTTTGGTTGCACATTTCCTTATGGAGAGTACCTGTCTAGTAGTATTCCATGATTTTTTCAATGAGGTAACACATAAGATGATTGAACAACATTTGAGCGAGAGCTTACCTCGGAGATACCCGTTGGACCATAGACGTGTACTTGAGGAGTATGAGATGGGCTGACATGTTCTACTTCACTATTGTTGCTCATTTTATTCCTTTAATCCTAGAGCTGCAATCACCAAACCAGGCACATTTGGGCCACCATTAATTATCTCATCACTCAGTGCAACCATTATCTCTAATGTAGGCCCACTCGGGCCAACATCAATTATCCTAAAATTAGTATCGGTGGATTTGTTAAGCCTACATGGGCTGTCACATTCACTACGCCCAATTGGACTGATAGGTTCATTACTTGGGTTGACATTCTGGGCACAACCCAAAATGGGCATCACCTGGAGCAGCACGGTCTTCACAGTGAGGACGGTCATCATGGTCATCACGGGCAGTATGGTTAGCATGGTCCGTAACACTTGGGTTGTGTGCAAAGTCAATAGGTTGTCTCCCCCCCGAGGAGTATGGCTGGGAGGAAAAAATAATTCGTCTTTAGAAAAGGTTACATCCATAGTGACGTACGTATGTTAAGTGATGGATGATAACATCTATAGCCTTTCTGTTGAGGACTAAAGCCAAGGAACACACACCGCACTGCACATGAATCAAGATTGCTTTGTTGATTTTTGTGAAGATGGATATATGCCACACAACCAAAAACTTGAGGTTTGAGATGAAGGGTGGAGGGAAGCAAAACATGGTCGGCAAGTACGCCCAAAGGTGTTCTAAAAGAGAGAACACGCAATGACATTCAATTCATGAGATAAATTGGATAGGTGACTACACCCGCCCAGTATGTCTTGGGTGCATAGCTACCAATAAAAATGGCATGGGTAATCTCAAGTAACACCCACTGTGGATGTTAGCACAGCAAGCCCAAAAACACCTACTGTGGATGTTAGCATAGCAAGCCCAAGGGTTGAACCCAATATTGCATGACTTTCAGCCATTGAAAAAAGAAACGGTGGTGTGGATCTGGGTTAGGTTCCTAGGATTAGGTTCAAGGTGATTCTCTTGTGTCGAGATCACCTTTGGTTTTACTACAGGTGGTTGTTTTTCCAGCCAATGAGAACTCCAAGTCGGCAACAAGGGTAAGGGTTTAGGTCTCCTCATACACCAATATCATTGATGTCCACTAAGATATTTTTTCACTAATATATTTGTAATTTATCTGTCTAATGTCCCTAATCTCATTTTGAAATAATATTATATATAGTTTCTGGTGATCAGCACCGCCGGGAAAGGTGTCATCTTATTATTTTGTGTCAAGTCATGCTTTATTTTCTCATGACGGTATCTTTTTCAACATATATTCTAACGATCGAGTTGTATATGAAGAGATAAGCTCCTGGAAACAATTTTAGGGAAAAGAAAGAGAATGGTATTGATCCTTTCCTTTTCCCAGAAAATTGATACAATTGGCAGTTCACGTTGACATTCATTCTTGAAGAAGCAAAGAACATATATACAAGCACAACTGACCCTTCCAAATTGCGAACTCTCTTTAACCTAATTTACCAATATAATTAAAGTAGCGACTAAGATCACACTTTATCCTACTAATTAATCTTTAATTATGAGCTTAACGACAGTTAATGAATGTCTGTTATAGTTTATCTACCACATGAGGAAATCATTTACTGTACAAGAAAATAATTACTAATTTCCTTACGTTATCTCCTGGAACCTTGGAGTGCTACTCTTTGTTTAGATCATTGGATTATGCTTTTCACTCTTCAGTCTTTCATTTGAGAATTCTACACGGCACGTCCCGAGTTCGATTCCTGACGCTGGTGAATCATAAGAAGGTGGCTAAGGGAAGGTTGAAATGCCTCTGTGAGTTTTTCCGGCTTCTTAAAAAATGAATTCCTGTAATGAAGCCACCAGCAGGTCCCCTTAAAATAAAATTAAAAAAACAAACAAACCTCTTGATGTTGCTTTTATTCCAGAAGGTCACATTCTGTTTCTGCACTAAATTTTAATGGGGATAAGAGGTACGTATATGAGATTAGTCAGATTTAGCGTATGGTGCCTTTATACAAAGTAATTAAGGAATTTTTATTGTTGACATTGTAAGTGAGTATGCCTAGTATTAAAGGTCACTAGGAATTTAGAATTTAGATACAACTAGCAATTGTGTTCGCACGATGCTACGGGTGTAAAATTAAATACGTTGAAATGCATTTACAACAACAACCAGCATTGATTCGAACGAAATTTACGAAGGCATAGGTCAAAGCATACCTTGTAAGTTGCGCGAGGCGGTATCTTTTTTTTTCATCATACAAATATATATAAGATAATTCCAGATTGAAATGTCTGGACCCCATACATGATCCAGCTCTTTGCTAGTTGACACGGGTTATATAATATTTGTAAGAATTATTTAGGCAATAGATATGGAGATCATGAGGAGTGGCAACATACCTTGTAATCTTTGCAAGGTGGACATGCAAGACATCAACAGCAATGTAAAATTTTTTACGAATTGGCAATGCACAGTGCACCAAAATTATAAACGAATTTTAACCTAACACCAAATTTACCCAAACTCCAATCATTCCCCTCATTTCTTCCAAAAAGTTACAAACACATTCTAATCTAACACCTTTCAATGGAGGCACTGCCAAATTTGCGATTGATCAATCAAGGAACCAAAATGCAAAATATCCTCTTAGCCAGGAAAGTCGCAGCACATGATCAGAACTGACCCAAAACAAAATGGTTACAATTTCATCCAAATTAACCAAAACCCAAAACACCACTTAGAGAACATACCTCAGTCGCATAAAATTAGTTTCCCAGCCATGCAAAAAGACCGGTTGTCAAACGAAAAACAAAACTCGAAACAGATCCGGCCAAAATCCGTCAACAACAGACGGAAACAAACGCAAAGACCGCAAAATATTCACCGTCGATCGCAACCCCAGAAATTTTGCAAAGCAATTTTACCAGGGTGGAAAAAACACCCAGACCCCCAGGTTTAAAAAGATGGGAAACCCCCCTCAAATCAGAGACCACAAATACGATCCCCTAAAGCACAAAAGTCACAAACTTTTGCCCCAATATGTTCCAACCCAGAGATATCGAAGAAGAAGAACCGGAGAGGAAGACCGAGGATAAAGCACAGTTTAGACAAAATGCAAAACAGAGAAGGGGCTAAACAAAAAGGAAAAATGTGGAAGCATACAGACCCAGGATGCCAGACGACCCGTTCTTTCCACCGCACCAAGCAGGACACAAAGGGGAAAAGGAGGAAAAAGCGAGGGGCAAAATGGTCCGCCCACTGATCATCCACAGTACCCACCCCAGTTTTAGTTTTAGTATGTATAATTTTCGTAGGCATGCAGTTGCAAAGGGATTATCAGTGTACAACTTAATTAGTCAATATACTAATACCACTATCTCGCTTTACGACACTGTCAGCTCAAGCTGTATGGAGGGTTTCCAACCCTACACCTTACCTAATCGTATCCATCACTCTGTACTCGCTTTTCAGACTTAACCTAATTCATGTTATACACCCTTAATTTATGAAGATGTAAAGATAAAAGAGTTTCACATCGGTGAAAAAAAAGCTTTGCAAGAGCTTGTACGAGGTTGGGTTATTCCCCATATTGCTAATTAATTTTATGGTTGAACAATCTTTTTCATGGTACCAGAGTCAGGTTGGCCTACGTGTGAAGCCCAATGGTCATACGTGGACTACGTCACCAAATTCCTGTTGTCCATGTGTTTGGCTTGAAAATTCGTCACATGTGAGAGGGTGTGTAAGGATGTGAAGGTAAAAAAAAAAAAAAAAATCTCACATCGATAAAGGAAAAAACCTTATATAGAATGACTTGAGTTATTTTTCATATTACTTATCTAACGTGTACCTGCAAGTGCTTAGCATCATATTAACAATGGCGGAGCTAGTTTCCATTGTTTGGACTCCTCGACAACTTCATACATACGAACACGCCTATACAGCTGTATCCATATGGTTTATTGAGAAGGGCCCTTATTCCAGTTACACTGTGTACAACATCTACCTACAAAAGCACGATCATGAGATAGGGAGGATCCGACAGAAGTACGAAATTCTGGCGTAAAATGGCATCATTGATTCTCCAGGCATGGATTCTTCTCCGAAAATCTATCAGATTCAATCATGATGATGGCCACAAACGATGGACAGAAATATTTGTAGATGGTACATAGTGATATAGACTTGCTGCATGAGTGGTTTTTATCAATGAAAAATAGACAATTCAAATGTACTTTGGTATAGTTGACCCAGTAACATTCCCTCGTCGAGCCATCCAATCGCATATACAATGACATTAATTAATTTAATCATTAGGTCAAGAAGTGACTCATCAGTGACGTCCTTAAAGGCCAGGTTGCTGGCAACAAATATGAAGAGTGAGATTTCCTTTGGAAAAAAAGAAAAAGAAGAAAAAGGCCACAATGACCTTAACCTCTACACACCCTTGTTGTTTAGGGACAAATTTTGTGTGCCTTGATATAAGTTTGTTGCGTATATTAATGTAGTTATAGATCTGTTTATTATCATTTGTTTTTTATGATGGTCGTGTAGAAGTTTTTATCTTTGTGTTGAAAATGAAGATTTGTTTTTCTTGTGGGCCAAATATTAGGATTTCTTGCTCGCTAAGTTTTAAATACATTGCTTATTAGGTTTAGTGTTAATTCTCTTCAAAAATAGTGCTTTGTAACTGAATTAGAAATAAGTACGTCATCGAATTTGTAGTGTTCCTTTTCTTTTCAATTACTAAAGTATTATTCGTTATTTCGTGTGTGTGAACTTACCTTAGATGAACACTAAAGTAAATGTACCCAAATTGACACCCTTGCAACTGTTCTGTCACCAATAAAATTCTGCTATTATTTCTGTTCAAATATGTAACTTGTGATGGTGATCTTCACTTGTAAATTGTTACTGGTTTTAGTAGATTGAGCTGCCGAAAGCACACACGTATGGCACTAAGATGCTTATATTTTGATGGAAAGAAAACGCGGAAAGTACAATCAAAAGAAAAGAGAGGAATTCAGAAGTGGGATTTGTAAATGTGCTTTTGTGCACGTAAGGCATGCAGCAAACATAACTTAGCGTTTGATTAATGAAGGAAAGAATCTTGGAGGAGAGAGAGAGAGAGTATTGTTGGTGACATGTTTGGTTTTAGGTTTGTTCAAAGAAAACAAACAAGAAATAGGAAAGAGATTCTCCAAAATGATGGGGTATTCGAATTTGGAACCTAGATGGCATTTTTGGCTTTCTGCCTCCAAATTAGGGCTACATAGTGGCCATTGCAAATTGTGACAAGGCAATCGGGTTTTTAACTTCAAATAGGCTACTTTGATTCTCACTTAGCATCCCAGACATTCTCCAACCAAAAGCTTGGGGAAACTGTAAGTGATCGATGGGGACCGGTTGTACGTGTAAGGTGAAGAATCATACAATTTCAACTTCTAATAAAATAGGTAATTCTACATAAAAATAAATAAATATTGAATATGTTTTGGTATCTATCTTTCCACCTTTGTTTAGATTAATATTTTGGTTATTCTTAGTGAAAGATCGAGTTTCTTTTTACGTAATCACTTAGCTGGCTCGAGTTCATCCATGATTATATAGGAGAGGAGTGCCAAAAATATGAGACTCATATTTTAAGTTGGGATTGATTAACTTCATAAAACTTATTGAGTCGTGATTTTAGCACTCCACTTTTACCCTCCGACCTCGATTTTAAGTGAATATAAATTGTAAATTATATTCAATCTATAGTATAGAGGTATTTTCTTCAAACTACATAATGATATTCCAATACGTAAAAGTGAAGATGTCCCATTTTTGGAAGGAGAATTAAGATCAAGTTTAGTGCAGTTTTGCCCACCACCCAAAAGTGGTGGCATCATCATATCGTTGGACTACAATTTTGAATTTTTGAGATTTGTGCATTTAATAAATTAAATCAAACTTATCCAACGGTAGTCAATAGAATAATAAGCATTATCATCATTTATGAGCAAAAATATGTCGGTTAAGTTAAGGCAGCACAGTGCCACGTGTGCATGTCCAATAACAAATATTCCAATCACATCCTCATATCACAGAAAGTTGACACGTGGCTAAGGGAGGATACACACCCTGAACCACATCTACCATTTAAAGTGTCAATCTTCAAGTTTATTTCTTTGGATCACACAAAAAAAATACATTGAACGTACATGGCACATTTATATATCTGTGAATCCAACGTAATCATTTTTGTGATCATCATGATGATGCTATGATGTATTAAGTGCTCCAGGAGGTGGGGCTGGTTAATTTCTCGACCGATATTTTTCGACATAGATTGGCATCCTGTAATTCTCTATGACCATCCATCCCAATCTTTGAGCTCTTTTCTTTTTTCTTTTTTTTTTTTTTTTTTTTTGGAAGAACTGGATATCATTGAACCAGGGCCGAAGCCATGCGAACACAGAAGCCCACAAAAGGCAAGCAACAAAGAAAACAACAAGCAGCAAGCAGAGGAGGAGGGTAAATAAGCAAACGACACAGCACCAAGTGCAAAGACGTCACCCCCTCCCCTACCAAACCAAAAATTAATGGGGCAGGGTAACTTATGCTTGTTCAAAACATGGACCAGCGAAAATGGAGGGTGATTAACCCAAGTTAAACCGCACATCTCCGGATTACTTCTCGACGCCAACCGATGCGCCGCCGCGTTGGCCGATCTCGGAACCCAAGACTAGCGACAATCCTGAAAGGAACCCCTTAGACGCAGAGCTTTAGATAGAATGGGGAAAGCCTCCCAGCTGCCCGAAGAAGAAGCATTAACTAAGTAGCGTCAATGGAAATATCAGACGGCTAGGAAGTCTCCATGGAAATATCAGTAGCGTCAATGTTAATTTGCTCAAAGAGATTCTCCACTGTCGGGGTCCATCAAATTCTTGCTTAACCCTTCCAAAATATCCATTCCGTCCTACATATATATTGGTTGACCATGGGATTGATGCTTATCATCGAAAGCAACTTACACGGTATAGTATACAATTATTATAGCATTTTATGTTAATTGTATAAGGATAATGATAGTTAGATTAAAATTTTAAGGATAATGCTAGAGAGATTAAATTTGTAGACAAAATTTGCAAACTAAATAATGTGTCATAAAGAAAAATGAGCATGTTTATCAAGGCTCAAGTAATAATCCAACTTTCATATCATTTAATTTACAAGTTTTGGTCTACAAATTCAGTCTTCCTAGCATTACACAAATTTTAAACCAAATTTGCAAATCAAATAATGTGTAACCAATAGAAAATAAGCACGTTAATTAACACTTAACTAATAATCCAATAATCAACAACTATATCATTTGGTTTACATAATTTGATTTAAAAATTTTATCTCCTAGTATTACCCATTATATAATACTGTGTTTTAAATAAATTTTACACAAAATGACATTTTATTATTAATACAAGATGTCACATTAGCAGTATACTCATACAAATTTTTCTTATTCATCGTGTCGTCACCACTATCTACTATGTGTTTGATTTAGTAAGTACTCTCATCAGTAGGGTATATATCCTAACTAGCTTGCTAGTCCTTGTAACTAGAACGTTCTCTCTCTCTCTCTCTCTCTCTCTCTCTCTCTCTCTCTCTCTCTCTCTCTGTGATAAGGTGGGTGATGAGGAGGTTGTTGTTGGTTAATGGTAGTTTTACTAACATATAAAGATATCGCACTCAAATTACAACTTTTACCACCGTGCCATGCCTACCATGTGTATATATATTGAAACCCAATTCAATGTCATTGTGAACACCCTCGATCCCATATTTCCTTCCTCCCACTCACTCTCTACTTTTGTTTGCTAAAGTGTTCTCTTTAAATCCTCAATTCACCAACTCTGTGCCTCTCCCTCCATTTGCACAAAACAAAACCACCAAACCCTCATTTCCCACATTGGAAAAGTACACCCTCTCTCTCTCTCTCTCTCTATGTCCCAATATTGTCCCTCTCAATTCTCATCCTAATCTCATTCATTCATGGGTAACCCTAATTAGGTTTTCTTTCTTTACTAGTAGAAGTAGTATTACTTGAAGCTTATATCTAATCACTGATCGTATATGGACTTTTTGAAAGAATTGGAAGGAAAGCGAGTTCATGATCCTTTTGAAGCGAACATGGAAACTAAACCTACAGCAAAGTGCATATGGGTTCCAGGGCCGGTCATCGTCGGAGCTGGTCCTTCCGGCTTAGCAGTTGCTGCTTGTCTCAAAGAAAAAGGCATTCCAAGCTTGATACTTGAAAGAGCTAACTGCATAGCTTCGTTATGGCAGCTCAAGACCTACGACCGTCTCCGGCTTCATCTCCCCAAGCAATTCTGTGAGCTCATACTCATGCCATTTCCTTCAGATTTTCCTACTTACCCAACAAAGCAGCAGTTCGTGGGGTACCTGAATGCTTATGCTGAAAATTTTGATTTGAAGCCGGCTTTCAACACGACGGTGGTGAGTGCAAGGTATGATAATAGATATGGGCTTTGGTTTGTTAAGACTATGGGATTGAAAAATGAGGAGACTGAGTATGTTTGTCAATGGCTGATTGTTGCCACTGGTGAAAATGCTGAGGAAGTTGTGCCAAATTTTGAAGGAGTGAGTGAGTTTGGTGGGCCTATTGTCCACACTGGATCTTACAAGAGTGGTGAGTTGTTTCGCGGAAAGAAGGTTTTGGTAGTTGGATGTGGTAATTCAGGCATGGAGGTTTGTTTGGATCTTTGCAACTACAATGCACGCCCTTCCCTAGTGGTAAAGGATTCGGTGAGCATACTCAACTTATAACCCAATTTTTGTTTCTTTTTCTTGAATATAAATCGATTTATTTCATTATTTGTGGAGGAATACAGCTTTAGTGGTAGAGCAGTTACCCCACACAAAAGTTACGAGAATCTAATTCGAACTCTCCTCCATGCTTGATATGGTTTCATCTCAGTGCTTCTACTTTTTGCCTAATTACTTTAAGAAGTAATGTTAAGAGTCCATTTCATAGTACCTCTGTCTTTTAGACTAAGTAATTAATTTGAGAACTTATGTTTTTGATGAAAAGAATAAGTTGTGAATTACTTTAAACAGTCTATACATGGAAGTACTTTAAAAGTTTCTTCTTTAAACACACATGCATAATTCTGGGAAGATTAGTGGTGGATGCTGTTGACCAGGCTAGCTATAGCTTGCCATGCACTCGATCTAGAACCACTATAGTAAACGAAGACTCTAAGCAAAACGTCCTTCATTCTTCTCTTTACTTTCTTGGAATTTGTTTGCATGCGCAAACATTGGTCAGAAACACAAAATCTTATGCCATAATACCATATATGTATGAAAAAATTTATGTGCTTAGCTAGCTTTCCCATATATAGAACTGTTCTTTTACAGAGAATCAGTCAGTCGTATACACATGGCACAATGTTTTATAATATTAGTACGAGAATTAACGTTAAATAATGAGATGGTAAAAAGTTCATAGAGAGAGTCGAGTTTCCTTAGCATTTCTCAACTAGAATATACATTGAAGAAGAAACCCCCCACACACAAGCTATCATCTTCCAGTCCTTTGTTTCTTTAATGCTTTTAGAAAATTCTTTTGTTGCGTATTGAGATTAACCAAGTTAGTTAGAGTGCATAGTGTATTTTTTTTTATTTGCAATAAGTTTGAATTCTTGTTTCTGTAATTTATTAATATATTCTTTTTGCATATCATTCTAAATTTATTTATGGGATGTATAAGAAAAAAACCTTTAATTTATTAATTTTCTTTCTGCATATAATTCTAAATTTGTTTTGTTTTGCAGGTGCACATCTTGCCGCAAGAGATACTTGGAATATCAACTTTTGGATTGTCCATGTGGTTGCTCAAGTGGTTCCCCATGCGCCTTGTGGATCATCTTTTGCTTCTTGTCTCACGCTTCATGCTCGGCGACACTGCTCGGTTTGGAATCCACCGTCCGGAGCGTGGCCCTCTTGAGCTCAAGAGCATGACTGGCAAGACTCCTGTTTTGGACATTGGCACCCTTGCTAAGATCAAAACTGGCCACATCAAGGTACTTGATAATACAGTTAGTTAAGTGAATCACGCCGTCTTATCACGTCGCTCTCCATTATGCATAAATTCAAACTAAATATGACTAATTATTATATATAAAAAAAAATTAAAAAAAAAAAACCCTGTAGGTTTGCAAGGCAGTAAAGCAACTAAAACATCAAGCTGTGGAGTTTATAGATGGAAGAGTAGAGAATTTCGACGCCATCATATATGCAACGGGGTACAGAAGCAATGTAATGTCTTGGTTGAAGGTACGTACCATTCTGAGGATTAAATGATTAGAAATCAAATTTTAATTGTTGAAAAGATTAAAATTAAATATCGACGACATTCTAAGATATTAACCATTTTACCAAGTCGAATTCGAAAATTGATCAATTTCGCCAATTTTCTTATGTCGAGACAACTTTGTCTGAATAAATAAATAATATTATTTTATTCATGAAAGTAGCTATATGGAATATATAATTGATGAAATTTTGTTGTGTTGTGATCAGGAAACGAGCATGTTTTCTGAAAAAGATGGGTTGCCTCGGAAGCCATTCCCAAACGGGTGGAAAGGGGAATGTGGGTTGTACTCAGTGGGGTTTACACAACGTGGCCTGCTGGGTGCATCTCTTGATGCAACGAGGATTGCAGAGGATATTGAGCATAGCTGGAAAGCTAAGGCCACGCATTTTATGACCTTCACTACTTGTGCACCGCCACCGCCACCGCCACCACAACCTGCAACTTTCAATTAATTAATTAGTCAATTAACTAAGTAAAACAACCTGCGTGCATAATTTATGCAACTGATGATGATGAAGAATATCAGATCATTAAAATAAAAAATAAAATAAAACAAGTTAATGATCACTTCATGCAGCTGCTTTTGGAGGAGGAAAAAAGTGAAGAGAAAAAGGGTTGTGAAGCGTGGGTACAAAATAGAAATTGGTTTTGTGAGATTTTCCAATCATTCAGTTATTATAATAAAACCCTAAAGGTTGTCCGGTGCAACAAAAGCTTAATGTTTCTTTTGGCCATTGGGGAGGAGAAACTTTAGCTGTCATGGATGTGGTGGTTCTCATCATCAAATGTGTACCTTCACATCTTGTAAATTACTACTTTTTAACTTTAGTTTGCTAGAGATAGGATTATATTAGGAGGATTAATGTTTAATTAATCAGGAAAGGGTTGGGGTTTCTCAGGTTTGGTTTTCTAGGGTTTATATCTTTTAGTAACTGAATTTATGATATGGTGGTGTGAAATGTGAAGTATAAGGTGCATTTTGTTGTTTGTATTTGTGATTGGTGCATATAAAATATGATATTTCATCAAGATATGATTCTATCTATAATTTTTTGTATGTACTTTCTCATGTACATAATTATCGTAGTTCTTTGATGTAACGCTTTCAAGCTCAAGATTAATACTGTTCTTAAATGTGGCACTAGAATTTGCGGTGTGATCGAGGTATCCTGAAAACTGTTAACAAACTTTAGTGACCGAGAACCACTTCCACAATGAAACGATAAAAAAACAAATTCTCACTTACCAAATGTGCAAATAACATTAGACGGGGTTTGAAATTGCTTTTAAATGACTGAAAGAGTTTTTTGTGAAAATATTTTTATAATTAATCTTTAGTAAAAATGCAAGTGAATCTTAGAAAAACACTTGAAGAAGTGCTTTTGGAACTCAAAACCGTTCATTTTAAAAATACTTCCAAATGAGCCTTAAAGCAGTTTGAACTATGAAATTGAGTTTTGAGGGGTTAATTTGTGTTTTTATTGGTCTTCTGTTCATTATATGTTGATAATTGTATATAATACCTAGAGAACATTCAAACGAACTAAACCTAAGGACCCGTATACATACATACATACATACATACATACATATATATATATATATATAACAAAAGGATCCTCATTTTTCTAAAAAAATAGGGACACCCTCTTGACATTTAGATTGGTTTTAATGAAATTGTGTGGTTGAGATTAAATCACAGACCTATATAATTTCATTAAAGTCAAATTCAATGGTTAAGAGGGTGTCCCCATTTCTTTAGAAAAATGGGAATCCCTATATATATATATATATATATATATATATATATATATATATAAAGTATCTAATGAGAAGGTAAAAATTAAAAAAGGATTTGAAAAGAGAAAAAAGAAAAGTTCCTTGCGCCAAATTAATAAAAAGGTCCCCGCCGTGTCCATGAAGATGATAGTGGCCCTCATGAATCATGATCATCATCCGCATCTCAAATCTGTATTGTACAGATAATAATCTTTGCAAATATTTGATGATGAATTGCATTAACTGTTATCCTTATTGCCTTATGGCCCTTATCTCAGTCAGTCTTTATATCCTATCAGTTTCTCGGACCACAATTACCAGCGGCTTCCAGACTCATGAGCATTCCTAGAATATATATCCACCACAACTGCTTGACCTTGTCAATACTTATGTATCGTCTAACATTTATGCCAATTACATATATACTGTGAATATAAATGAAGTCACATTCATGCCTGAATGTTGAAAATTATATATGTGAACCAATCAACGGGGCTGGATGGATCAGTATCATTTCTTAGCTGGTGATCATGACTAACTTCTGAATTATTATTCTGATAGTTGACATCAAACTTCTTACTTTTTGTTTGATTGAGACAAAGGAAAAGTATATCAATTTATGACAGAGCGGAAGTTATAGGGTAAATGAGTCACAAGCAGTCATCCTTAGATAGGACTCTGAAACTTTGGACGTTTGAGAAAAACTCTTGATTTTCAATTGATAGATAATTTGCAAGTGGCTATTTACCATAATGATAGAACTTATTGACGCTATTACTTGACTCAAAAAAATAATAATAATAGATAATTTGATTGAAATACAATCATAGTTACGGAAGGACAATAAAACGGGAAACTAAAAAAAATCCAAAAAGACCATACAACATAAACACTATTTTTGACCTACTAAAACGTCATTGAAACACCAAAATCCATCTTTAGTCGTGGCAATTAGAATTGTTTCGTCGTTCCCATTTTCATAAGGTATATTCGGCCAAAAACAAACACGAAAAACTCAAAAAACACCATTCACACCTTGAACTTTGGTAGTGATCAATAAAATATTATAACATAGTAAGTTTTAGTAATTAAATTATATATATGGTAAATACTTGAATATGATGATTACTGAGTAAACATGAGAGGATAGCCATGTGATGTGATAAAAATGGTGCAACTAGTCTAAGATATATAATTGAAAATGAAAACAGAAAAACGGGATAGAAGCAGTGATACGGACATTGACAAATACACTTGCTACAATTGAGGGTGTGTGTTAGGGTTTTAAAGATTTGTCGTTGGCGGGTTTTATTCCGACCGATTGGAATTGATGAAGCATGATACAAAACGAATCTTCAAGTTCAGCATGAAGACAATACTAGAGTAAATTGAGAGAGAGAGAGAGAGAGAGAGAGAGAGAGAGAGAGAGAGAGAGAGAGAGAGAGTATCAACATCTGTGAGACTGAGGGATTTCAACTTCTAAAACCCTAATCAGGACCAGCAAGTGTGCCCTACTAATAATTGCCCGGTGGCCCTAAAGCCCATGAGATCCCATAACTGTAAATATTAATTTGATTAAAGTCCTCTTAATTATACTATACAACATATAGTCGAGAAGGAAAGTTTCAATGATGAGATAATGTGACAATTCTCTCTCTTTGCATGAGCTGGATCCATCCCAAGCAATGCATGCTTGAATTCCCACCGACATGCCAATATATAGAATCTTTTTTTTGTTTCTTTCGTCTTTTTTTCTGAATAAGTCCCCAGTGAATCCCTCTTCTTTATAGATAGCAATTTTATATTCTTCGTTAATTTGGTTGGAATTTTAATTTAATCACAACATTAATTTCATCCAACCGACAAGCTAACGAAGTTTCTCACTGTTTGGCTCAATTCCAAACGTTTCTTGTTACAAAAAGTCTGGTTCAAGAAACATCTAAAATTTCTTCTACTTGCTTTCCTTGAGAATAGTTCCATAGTTGCTACAATCCGAAATTTTACATCTAGTTTGACTCGTCTGCTCCCTTTAAAGTATGAGCTAAGTTTTCTTCTTGTGTAATTCTTATTTTTTCAAATACAATACATAGTTTTACCTAAAACAGAGATTCCATCCGTTTTAATTATATGCAAACTAGGGTTTTCAAGTTCTGGGTATCTGTTGCTGTGCGTTAAACATTGCCTGACCGGCCCTCAACCACCTTTTAGTTGCCTTGCAAATTACGACGTAAATGGTCCAGATTACACGTGATAGCCAGGCCTATAATATGTGAGCCTTGTGAGGCACCCCCGGCACAGCTTTCCCTCAGTGTATGAACACATGCTGGTCGATTTAGACCGTCGAATTTTGATAGATTTACTGCCTTTATTGTTTGTGGTCCTTAAATATTTATTGGTTAGGGCAAGTAACTCTCTGATAATTGAGTAAACCCTAAAAAATTCTGCAGGACCATTTTTCTCAAAGTCGTTGGATTAAATGAATGAATAAGTCTTATATTACCAAGCTTAGTAAACCCTAAAAAAGATGCGACGAGCAAATCTGGTCAAGCAACCAGATGGCATGAAAACGGATCTAAATTTGATACAATAGAGTCACTTTATAAAGCAGATGAAAAAGGCAAGACATGCAGGCGCAAGGGCGTGCGTAGGAGCAGGACGAATTGTCAGAGGCAGTTGGAATTTCGAGATGGACATGACTGCTACCACGTACTCGATCGACCGTCACTTTTATAATTTCGCAGACCACATGTTCACTATATACAGAGGTTAGAATTTGGGGTCGCGACAAATATTTTTTATAATTCATTTTGTATAGTATTTCAACGATTAAACTGTTTATGTTTATATCTTTTTTCAAATAATAACTCTACCAAAATTTACCCATATTTGAAGATATATTATCATTAGATTAAATTTAGTTTTTCTTTGTAGAACTGTATTTATGTATTTTCTTAATTACAAATAAATCTCTTAATGGTAATGGATTTGTATAATTTTTTATAAGAATGATCTAGGTGAACATGAAATAAAACAGTTCAAATCTGTGAAAACATTATACAATGAAAGCTACAAAAACGTATGTCCAAATATATGTTTCCAATCCTACATATATGTTTGCATAATATTTCCATCTCTACATACCCAACTTAAATTTTGCTAGCTAAAGCTATTCTATTGAACTACCTACCTAGCTACATGCATCGATTATTGACCACCACTTGCAACTTGTCTTCTTCAATCATTCCATCGCGCCCCATCCATCGATCCCCATACTGACCCTCCACTTTCACCATTGATGAAATCTCTCTCCACACTTCTCTTATAATGTCCGTTAAAAAATTCCTACATGCAACATATATTTTCTCATACAATTGGAGTTAGTTCTCGATAATCATACAATTGGAGTTAGTTCTCGATAAATTCTTACATACAACAGATAATACAGTGTTTTTTGAGTAGTATGTAATAGCTCATACGATCATAGCTGACTAATTAATAACATCATGAACATGCATGCAACCGAGTCAAAGGCTTCTTATTTAGTAAGATGACCAATATACATTGATTAGGGTTAGTAGTCCTATGAGAATGACGGTTTGCCCACCCGTCACAATTATATATGTGTTATAACAGTACTACAAGATCATTCCCCACCAATTAGCTAAAATTGGTTTGAGTTAGCAACACGTTTTTTCAATGTATAACATTTAATTTCATAGCCGCGGGCCTTGTGTAAAACCAATATTGTCATTGTCAATTTCTCTCAAATTTTGTCACTATATACGTACACCATATCAAGGTCTGGAAGGGTGTGAAAGTTTTCAACTCATGAAAGCTATATAATCCCACTTAAAATGCCTCCCAATATCTATGTTAAAGTGACATAGCACTTTAATCGTGTCATGAAGTTGTTTACTGGGAGAAATTTTTATAGGCATTGTGATATGATATACGTGCTATAACAGTAGACAAAATGTTCGATATATTTTACTTTCAGGAGATATAAATAAAGAAAAGACACATTGTTATATTTTGAGTGGAATAAGATCGTGTTTGTGATACCCCGACCAATTGCTCAAATACTGGTCAATTTAAAAATGATGATCACAGCAAGCCTGCAGGTTGAATTCTGTATTCCTCATGACCCCTAGCTCTAGGGTTTTGAGAGAGAGCAGTAAAAAGATGGTTCTTTTTTTATTATTATTACTGTGCGTTTTTTGTTTCAAAAGAGCATGCAGATGATTAAAGAGAGCTGCACACTTACTCAAAGGAGAGAGTCGTACTTTAACCCACTTGGTTACTTTTTCTAGTCTAGTACTCGAGTGACACATAGTTTTCCCTCAATCTTCTTGGAATCTAAAGTGGATCCAAGCGAATCTTCCTTTGCTTTTCAACCAAGAAAGAACAAAACTCTCGTGCATATTTGATTCCATGTTGCTAGGGTTCCAACTTATATGTACTCATGCCTCATGAGATAGTTGATGTGATATTTGTTGGGTGCCACCAAAGTTTTAGTGGAGAGATCCAAGATTCTTGAATCAGTTCGCACCATTTCCATCTTATTTTACTTGCAGCACTTTTTTTTTTCTTCGTTAGAAATGTTAAGGCAGAGACTCTCTTTAAGTAGGACTCATCATAGACTCTTTTTCATATCATGTTTTTGCACAATGTTTCATAATGTTTACACGATAATTGACGTTAAAATATGAAGTGATTGAGAGTTCATAGAGATTTCCCTTTCTTCATTAGAAACAATGCAAAACCCTAGACATCAAATCACTTGCTACAAGCCACTACAACATGATTACATGGTGCTGGACTCACATTCTTCTAGTACAAGATATGTCTAGTTATAAAGGTCACCAAAAGGAACAAAACACCTGCAAACGTGGAATGAATAATAATTTATTTTTTTGGCTCCTACACATAGTGAGGTATTGGGGAAAGGGGAAATCATAAAGGTCATTTTATTTTTAAAACTTTCCAATACAAAATCATTTTCACACTTCTTTTTCATATGGAAAATTTTCTTTGTACAAAAGTAACATTTCATGTGGAAAGATGTTAACTGTGGAAGAAAATGTTTTGTTAGTCTAAATTTAGGAATCTTATTTATGTAAAATGACGTTTATGTGTATAATCAACAATATTAGTCTCCTGTAAAAGAAAGTAAAAAAAAATGTAACACCAATAAACTAGCTTTTAGTGTGGTAGTACTTCTCTTCCTGATATAAGATGAGGTCTCGAATTTGGTTTTCCTGCCCAATTTTTTGATAGATTGTCTAACACAGAATCATCGTGTACGGTCCAAGTTATTTGGGCTAGTTTTACCAATAAAGGAAGTGCTTTTGGGCAAGTGTCACTGTACCCAACAAAAGTTTTTGGGCTAGTGTTACTGTAACCGACAAAATGAGATGAGATGCCTGATCCATTAAACAAAAAACCAATTGGGTTGGTAAAATCAGAACAAACACCATTCATGTTAAGCTTCATCAATCTTTTTGTTGCCTTGGTCAAATAGCCCATAATTCAAAGTTACAACTTACAACTAAAGATTCAATCCATATTCGTCCGTCAAATTCTGATGTGTTTGTATATTTTATCGGGTGGGGAATTTGAACTTCAAATCCTTCCAACGTTATGGAAGTGAAGTATACCAGTAGACCAATGACTTTATTCTGCCCTTATTAATATGAATCGTTGCAACCGTGTTGGTCATAAACATTGGACAAAAAAAATTAGGGTAAATTAGGTTTCATTAAGCGATGTAAACAAAAAGATAACGCGCTAACAAATGCGATGGTTTTTTTTTTTTTAAGAAAAAGAATATTTGTTATTCATTAATCACTCTTATGCAGAATTAAAGGTTAGGGTCCGTTTGAAAATGTTTACTATAGAAAAACTTCTACTACTCTTTATAATACCCTTGTAGATGATTTTCCCAAAGACACTAAACCGTGTTGTTAAATCCACATTTGAGTTATTCTTCCAATCGTTGCCATAACACTTTTAATTATACGAACGTATTTTAAGCTTTCTAGTAGTACTGTCAAAACGAGCTCTTCGCGGGATGTTAAAGCATATGTTTTCCGACTACCTTTTTTACTTTATTTTAAAGCAAAAGGATTAAAATTTGTATTACCTAAATCCATCCAATTCAGCATGATGCTAAAATACTAAAACTTTTAAGAAATATATAGTCAGAATTGCAAGTTAAATTCATCAGTACGAATCAAAGAAGAATGAATCAAGAAATCAGATTGTTCAGAGAGAGGTTGTCACACATACAAACAATTGAAACAAATGTCGACCACAAACTAACATAAGAATAATAGAATGTAAAGTACAATAACTGATGAGACGTTTAAATACAAGTGGAATGATTTAATCACTAGTAACTTTTTTCCCATCTCTCAAATTTCCAAAAGTTTAGTTAGGACCTCACAGACCTCGGCCTCAGGCCAGAATTGACGCTGCGCGCCGGAGTTGCGGCTGCCGGAGAGAAAAACTCCGAATACATTTCCATGAAAAACTTTTCCACAATTTCTAAATAGGCAGGACAAGTGAGTCTAGAATAATAATGAAGAACCTCTTCGATGTCCAAAACATGATCTACATTGCTCACGTCCAACATCTCCAACTCCTTCAGCTTCTGTTCCACTAAACAACCCCTTCCCACGGCCCTCGATTCCTTTGAAAAGGTTTCAATCTTTGCAGGAGGAGAACCTGCAGCTGCAGGATGTGAATTGAGTGGCCGTGGAGATAAGCTTGAAGGGTTTTGAACATGATCTTCATGAAGATGTTGTGATTTGGCGGGTGTGGAGGGATGTTTCTTCTTGTTCGTCGATCGCCTGATGTTTTCGATTTTTGAATCCCATTGGTCTGTGAAGTCGGTGTACAACTTGTCCAAGTCTTTGTATGTTGTGGCGTGGAGATTATTCATGTTGTCAACGACAGAAACAGAAGTAGAAGCAGAAGCATGGGGAAAGGGGTTGTCGTAGCTGTGGAAAGTAGGGGATTTTGGGAGCTTTTGGTAGCTTCCGTCAGAGAAGAAGTTCTTCAAGCTCCCTAGGGTTTTCTGGAAGAACTTCTTGGTGTGGTAAATGGAGCTCCTAAGCAACATTGGCGGCAGCTTGTGGTGTGTTTTAATAAATGAAGAGAGAGAGAGAGAGGGAGAGAGAGAGAGAGGATCTTTCAGTACTTTTGGCTTCTTGCAAGTGATGATCTCAGTGACGAAGGAAGGGTTTCTTTATACAGATAATAGAATCAGAGGAGCCATGGAAGGTTGTTTAACTTTCTACGGAAAAAGGGAAGTCCTCCTCCCTTCGGCTTTTCCCTTTATGTTTCTTTGTCTCCACACGCTCCCTTCCTTCTCTCTCTCTCTCTCTCTCTCTCTCTCTCTCTCTCTCTCTCTCTCTCTGATCAAAGATCATGGATCATATGGTGATGAAATGAGAGATGTATTGTAGCTTAAGGTGGCGACTGTTCCTTTTTGTACAAAAAGATTGTTTCGTTGCTTTTACTTTAGAAGGTGGGAGTTGGTGTGTAGCCGCTTTAGGAGAATGAAAGGAGCGGGATGGTTGTTGGACCAATTCTCTCATCTAGCTAATTTGATTGATAATTGATTCTCTTTACTTTTCCCACTTTTATATACTTCTTTTACATACAACGAATTTTTTCGATGTTACTGCCATGATGCTATATGATTATTTGATATACGAACTATCAATGTCATTACCTTATACACATACCTCTTATTAATAAAGTATAAAAGAGTCATGATAATGAAATCACTCCACCTTAGATAATGACATTGTATCTCCCTTGATTTCCTATGTTTTGTTTCAGTAGTTGGCTCTTGCAAATGGAAGTTTTCGAATTGATGTACTCTTCATGAACAATTAGGTATGACAAAGCAAAGCCACCAATGACTCATCTATCACTCACTTGGAAGGAAATTCAAAATCTTCTGTACTCAAAATTTTATGTGGCCTTTCTATAACTTATCTACTTAAGTAACACGTGTCTTTTTTACTTAATTTATCTTTAGCTTTTAAGAGATATTTAAATGAATGGTCAAGTGTCAACAAATGAGATAGGATCATAGAAACACAACAGAGAATTTTGAGGACAGAAAATTTAAACTCCTTAAAAGGCAACGGATAGTACTTTTGGGTTACTGAGCTGTAATGATGTGGGTTTTACTAGCTTTATGGTCTCTCTATACTTTTATTGTTGAGCAATTGAGTACTTGTGGTTCTCCAAAAGCACTCCAAGGGTTATAATGGTTTGTCTTAGTCTCATAGATTTTAATATTTAACTTGAGACTTTACATGCTTGATTGTTCTATAGCACAACCCTCAGCAAATGCCATGCTATTAGAAATTACTACTAACCAATTAAGTTTTATATACCCAATAATATTTTGTAAACTACAAGATGTGATGATTGATGGTTGGACTATATTTTTAATGATTTAAAGAATGATTTCAATCACCAACTGACGTAACATCTGGTCTACAAAAAGATGTTCTGCAAAGATGGTCTCTCTAGCATCATCATTAAGTAAGAGATCTTAAGTTCGATTATTGCCAAAAGCAAAGTTGAATCATATTACTATGGCAAGCCCATTGTAAGGCTTAGCCACTCCTCCATTCTCTTAGTGTAGATAATATCGTTTGTTAAAAAAAAAATCATGTTACAGCATCTACATTCGTATGTATTCATAGTAGATTACACAAAACAATGATGAAAATAAAGATTCAATCTATCAATGAAATCTCCTTATGACGTTTTGTTCTATGGACACCCAATTTCTAAATGTTGCAGTAAGATTAATTGTCCGTGTTCAAATTTCTTGGACATTGATTTTTGATCAGAATGTTTTGTTGTATCAAACCTATCTTATCTAATAAAGAAAACTTCAAAAAAAAAAAAAAAAAATCTCTTGAGAGTGTTTATTGTAAGGACCAAAAGGGTTTTTTCACAACCAAAAAAAAAAAAAAAAAAAAAAAAAAAATCCATACTACATTTAGCAGGAAAAAAAAAGAAAAAAACTAAGTATTCTTAGGCTATAGAAGCGCTTTTTGGAAGATCACCTACTAAGCCCTGGTTTGGTACTTAGGTGATTCTGAAAAAAGCTAGTATCAAAAAAAGCGGAGAGCTTTTTTGTGTTTGGTAAACATTCAGCTTCAGCTTTTTTTCACAGTTTCAGGTGAAAAAAAGCCAAAAACAAGAAGCTGCAAAACCCAGCTTTGAAAAACTGACTTTTTTTCACATCCGTTTTATATAAAAGTTTACCAAACACTATAATACTACTTTTTTTTATTTTTTCAAAAGCACTTTTACAAAAAAGTTTACCAAACACTCTGCTGCTTTATTTCACAGCTGCTTATTCTCACAACACAGCAAAAACAACTTTTTTTCAAAGCACAGCAATACCAAACCAGCCTTAAATACTTGATGCTTCTTGAATCGCTCCCTAGGTGCCTTTTTTCAAGTAAGTGTTTTTCTTAGGAAACACATCTAAGTGTTTAATATCAATTCTAACATAATTTTTATATTATTTTTACCTCATTATTTTATTTTTCATCCACCTCATAGAACATGGATTATATATACACTTTATTCTCGTATTTTAAAAAACTTTCTCTCATAGGTTAGAAGAGATTTTTTAGTATTCCTAAAAGACGAGCACATACGCCATATGTCATTATATAAGTAGAAGAATACTTGAAAAAAAAAATTTCTTCACTTATATAATAATATATGATACACCGCGTCTCTTATTCTGAATACACTAAATCAAAACCTCAAGTGAGTTTTCAGGGGTTTAAACTGTGGTCCATTCCCAACCCAAAATCCTTTAATTGTCACCTGTCAGTCTTGCTGGGTACAGACATGTTCCGAGTTCTTACTCCCTTGCCACGAATAGCCCAACCCAAAAAGCCCAATTACTTTACCTGGGAATATGTGTGAGACAGTGAGAGGGCACAGAAACCCAAAATCGTTAGCCCAATGGAGAAATTAAAAGAGCATTAAGGCTCAGTAACCCAAAAAATGCCATGCAGCCCACCGGAGGCACCCATCAAATGTAACATCATTGGCAATAGTCAGAGATTCTTTTAAATCGCTTCCAACTTTGGTAAGCAGTATTTACACACAGGTGACAGGACTGTGCCTGCTGATCTGACACCTCAGCTCAGCCCTCCAATTATATTGGCCATCAAAAAGTTCATTGGAGAAAGGAGTAGGATAAATTTTTTATATGTAACTGGAACACTTGTTACGTAGCGTGTCTTTGTATGTATTACTAGTATGGGTAGATGATAGAGTTGATATTTACTACTTATACGGTGTATTATGGTTAACTTATATGATATCATATAATTAATTTGACCGAAGGTGTAAATTGATATAATTTCAATATAATATAGCTAATCTTTAAAAAACTCATACACAAGTAAACGATAAGGTTGATATTTTGCACTCTTGTAATTTAAATAAATACATATGTTACAATATAAATATAAGTATAATGTGCACAGATATCGTATTTTTTTTTTTAACAAACGATATTATTTACACTAGGGGAGTGTGGGAGTGAGCTAAGCCTTACAATGAGTTAGCCATAATATTGTGGTTCAAATTCGCCTTTAACAAGGATCGAACCTAAGACCTCTTACACTAGACCATAGTACTAAGTAGCTGTACCAACATCAAATTTTTGGATGCACTGATAATTCTATTTCGAGAAATCACATTTTTTTTCTCATCTGTCCAAAATTTATGTGACATAGCTTTCTAGATATCACATTCTACCAAAAGCTCCCCACTTTGGTTCAAAATCTATATTTTCTCCTTCCATTCCATTGTGTCTTCTCTTTCATTTCAATTTTTATTTTTCGGCAAAAACCCATTTGCCCTATTTTCCTCTGAAACGGACTTATCAGTTTTCAATAGAAAGCTACTACTGCTTCAATTACTTGACATATCAGCTTTCAATAGAAAGCTACTGCTGCTGCCAAATATTCCTCCTTACGAACAAAACAAAAAAAAAACAAAACTCTTCTTTCCGTTCTTTTGTTCATGCACATTCTTTCACGTATCAATCGATTGGCAATTCGGGTAACGTACTAACATTATTGACAAATTGGGTGGCATTTACAGTAACGTTAGAACAATCTGAACCACACATTCAAATGATAATTTACACAGTTAATGATTCAAATTTACGTACTAACAACACATGCAAGTTAGTATTTGTTTACTTTGCACTTAAAAATGGAACACTCATTTGAATTTTGATGTTTGTTCAAATTATGAGGCTGTCAATTGATTCTGAGTTGGACGCTAACAGCTTAACAGCTTACAGAGATGGATACGCTTTCAAGTTTTTATGTTTTCTTATATTATGAGATTGTTAATTGGTTATGACTTGGATGCTCATAGTCTAACAACTAACAAAAATCCCCAGTTAATTGTTTGTATATATAGTAAAGGAATCAAATTTGATTTTATTAATTAAACATATGTGTAGTTTGACAGCACAACAAAAATAGATTCACCTAACTCCCAATGATATATATTGTCTCTCTTAACAAGTTGCAAATATTAACAATTTTGGTTTTCTTGTCCATTGGCATTATGACAATAATCCCCAGTTAATTGTTTGTAATTTTAATCTCCCAATAAACACATGTTTGTCATTCAAACTTGTGAACTAAGAAGAAAGTGATCGAAAACGTTTATCTTTGTATCAAAAATTTAAGAATAAAGTAATTAAAAGTATTTATTTTTGTATCAAATGTTATGTTTTCGAATTCTCCTCCTTCAATATTGCTTTTACATAATAATAACCAATGTTGAACAAAATTAATTATGAGCAAAATTTTCTTAAAACGCTTGTCCATCAAGAATAAATACCAAAAGTCTGTGGAGGATCATACTGAGGAGCAGAGTGCATGAGTTACTAACAAAAGGACCCTTTGCCAAAGGAAGTGAGTAAATAACCACGATTATCAAAGTGCATGAGTTACTAATGAAATGATCCTTTGCCAAAGTGAGTAAATAATCACGATTATCTGTTTGACATAACCGTTATCCATCCCTAATAATAATTACACTGTAATTTGAAAAAACTCTAAAAGGCTAAAAGGGGAAGCCCCCAAAAGCTTCTTCAAATTAATCCTAGTCTTTTTAGGTTAGGGAGAAGCTAAGCCTGTGTGTAGTACAAAAATAATGTTCAATCAAGGACTTTTTACCTAGAGGATTTTGAAAGTTGGATCACCTTTTTGTATTCTTTTGGTGCGATCTTTGGCATGGAGATTCAAAAAGGTACAACCACACACAAAAAATTATAGCAACTTTATGTGAACTAAACCACTTGCTTTCCCCATCTTTCAAGTGTTCTAAGTTGAAAAAGTTGTCATCCCACACTCAAAAAAGTAATGGAAACATTCAGACCCTTTTTCCTCAACCAATCTTTTTTCAAAAAAGCATCAATGAACTTCCACAAGCTTTTCTTTTTCTGCTTCATATTTTCAAACACCAATTGTTTATGCTTTATTTTTTTCTGTCAAATCATAAAAAGAACAGAAGAAAACTCAGAAATCATCCATAGAAAAAATCAAAATATACTTTTACTAAGAAAGACAAAGGAATTAAAATACATAGAGATCACATAACTGAGGCTAAAGAGATAATAACCCATCAATGTAGTTCTCTTTAGGAATCGACTGAATAGTGAGATTCGAACTTGAGATATCTTCCAACGTTCGGAAGAAAAGTGCCACTAAACCCGTCAATGTAGTTACCCAAAGTTTGATTCTAACTATTAATAAATCCACTAGAAAACACAGATTACAGAAAACTCTATCATTAAGACCCCCCGTTGGAAAACAAAGCTTCCCAAATCTCAGTAAAAACCTCAGTAATCACTCCGTGATGATGTGTGGAATTCAAAGACAGAAAACACTGCAGAAGCTGTTCGAGATCCTTCGCCGAAAATATCTGCTTCTCGAAGATCATCTCCACCATTGATGTCCTGAAGTCGTTGTACGGATCGCTCGACTTCTTCACCACCGCAAAGCAGTCCTTCACTCTTCCTTGCAACGGAAGCAGACCCACGTCGGAACTCGCTCTTCTCCGGCTGCCGCTGCTCCCGTTTCGCCGTGAGCGACCGCGCAAGCGGGGCCCGGAGGAGTCGGAAGAGTGGCTCTTTGAAGAAAACAGTGTGTCAGTCTCGTCATCGCTGCTCGACCACCATCCTCTGTAGTTGTTACTATCGAAAGATGAAGAACTAAACGGGAAAAAATCATCGTTGGTTTTGTTCTTCTTTGAATTCCTCGTCTTCTTCTTCTTTTTCTTGACTCTTGTTTTTCTTTGTTTCGAGTTGTTCTCATGGAGGTTGTAGAAGGGGTTTAACGGCGGCGAGTTTGGCGAGGCTGGAGGGCATGTGTGGCCGTCGGGATTAAAGGGTTTTACAAAAGGAGAGTACTTTTCGAAAATCTTGCGTCTTGGGAGCATGGCGTCTTTGATAGAGATAATTGATTGATTTGAGTCGGAGCATTTGGGTCTGCAAATGGAAGGAAACTGTCGAGGAGGCAACTGCTTAGGCGGCGGCTCGGCAACATGCAAGTCTTGCTGGTTCTCAGGCAAGCACACGGCTTTTTCGATCACGTCCGATAAGTTTCGGGTCCTGCAGGAGCCGAATGAGGATCGGAACATGTTTGAGAGCTTGAGCTTGAATCGGTTTTGCATTGCACTTGCAGAGAGCTATGGAGAAGAACTGAGTTTCTAGAGAGAGAGAGAGAGAGAGAGAGAGAGAGAGAGAGGAGAGGAGAGAGAGAGAGGAGAGAGAGAGATGGAGGAGTTTGGATGAGAGGGGTATAAATGCATGAGAAACCGAAAGTGGGAGCGTTTTAAATGATATTTTAACATTTGTTTGAGGAAACTTTTTGCTGGTTTGTCTTCTCCTTTGTCATCTACAAGAAATACGAGTAAACTTATTCACACCATATTTTTGTATTACATTTTCGTATCATTTTAGGTGATATTTAATATAGACAGCCACATCATTTAAATTAATCAGATTTTTAAATTTAGTTCATTATTTAATAAACTAATAATTAAGAAAAATTAGTTAATTAAATGATGATTGTGGTATACAACTCCTTCATTTCCTTGGGTTTTGCAAATTTTTCAAATGATGTGGCTGTCCACATCAGATGTCACCTAAGGTGATATAGAAAAATGTGGTATAAAAACAATGTATGACTAGCATTACTTCAAGAAATACTGGTTTTGATTATTTGATTATATTGTTGACTTGTAGCCATAATTTTTTTTTCTTAGATGCGAAAGGGAACACATTAGTGAGAACGGATGCAATCTCTATTACGTATATTTGAGTACAAATTTTCCCTTAAAGTTTAAATTAAGTAAAAGTAAAATCTCGTTGGTATAAAAAAAGAGTTCTTATTTTTCTTTTTCTAAGATGATATATGGTCCAACTTTACCTCCCAACTAATCTTTTGTATTTTAGCATTTTTTTTTTTAAATTTTTTTTTGGGTTTCAGCCAATTTGGAATCTTGCCTTGAGAATGAATTTATGAATATGAAATCATTACACAGTTATGTTACGCATGCATGGGCAGCTAGATGATGAACCATTCGACTGCAGATCTGAGGAATGCCTTCTATCTATGGTTATTGAGTAATTGCCCACGCACTATATTAGGTCTTGTGCATGGGAGGATGGACCAAAAACTTTAGTGATCTTGAGGCTATTTATGGGCATATATAATTGTAGTTTAAACTATGTTGAAATAATATAAGCTTATATATTTCGTTGGTCAAACAAAATTTTAAACCATGAAGTTTACGCGAGAGAATTTGAATTCGAAGTAAGGGAAGCGTCACACTACCCTATTCACTTTAGCTTTAAGCCTTGTATGTGAAGCAGGATTTGGATATAATCAAACTATGTATCGTAAGAAAATTCAAAATTCTAGCTTAAGATGTGAGGAACATTAAATTATGCACCTATACATGTAGAATATCACCATACTAGAAATGCTACTTGTCTGCCGCTCTTTTGGTCATCTAAGTTTGAACTAAAAGCTATTAAGCCTTTCATAAAAATATGGCATCGACACAGTTCGTTTTGGCATTTTCTCACATGTACACAGTTCTTTTTGGCATTTTTCACATGTGTGACTAAATAATTGAATATGTTTCATAAGTATGGCATAGTCTTGATTTCACTTGTTTGGATTTATTATGTTATTTGAAATCAATTTCTCCGAGCAAGCTCTTCCATCTTGTAGACGTTTTCTTCGATGTCATTTGGCTTCATGACATTCTAGTATAGTTTTTATTTTTTTCCAAGACTTGTTACGTTTACATTATCCAATTTCAAGTTAGATTGATGATTATGTTACAAGGAAGTAGAAACCTTTATATGCACTTCCAAGAATTAATTAATGACAAGGAAGAGGGTAAAATATTGCTGTCAGATATACACCGGAGATGCAGAAATTATTATAAACTGTGGATGTTGCTTTCTTGGTTCCTGTATAGGAATCAAACAATCCTGCGGCTTGTTATGACGTTGCAATAATATATACCTATATGTAGGTATATATTAAATTAAAAGAAAGAAGAAACTAGAATCTAAAAATTCTTAGCAAGTGATATATTGTGTTGATGGTTAGAGTATTCCACTTCCACTTCAACTTATTCTTAATGTATTTCGAGTTTAAATTCTTTGATATTTTTAGTGTAGATTAATATGTGTAGAATATCACTTGTAATATTAAAAAGAGATGTTTGACTTTAAAAAATTCAAAAGAAACGTTTGAGAGATGTAAACCATGAGTAATCATATTTAATATACATATATAGACGATTGATCGTAGAACTATTTTGAAATATATTAGTGGGTATGAGAGTAAATCAGTGATGACTATGAGACCTGGATTGAGGCTCTGACTCTATCTTTGTAAGGAGAAATTTTTCAATGTGTCAGGTCGTGTTTAATATACATATATAGACGATTGATCTTAGCACTCTTTTCAAATATATTAGTGGGTACGAGAGAAAATCAGTAAAGACTATGAGACATGGACTGATGCCCTAACTCTATCTCTATAAGAAGAAATTTCAGTGTATTGGAAATACGGTTCGATAGCCCAATACAAGTGGTTGGATACACACTGAAAAATTTCCTCTCTGTGAGAACCTTTCTTCTCATTGGTATAATATTATCTTTAAGTAGAAAACAGGTTTGTAAAGAGACAAGGATTTGGTCCTTTTTTTGTTTCTGAATATAAAGTGGGGTCTCTATGTTGGGAAGCACCTTAAATTAAACACACAGATGCATGAAGCATGGAAATGGGAGGGTCATTAGCCAACATATTTGTAGCGCAGCCTGGCTCCATTCAACCACTTACCATGTACACTATATGTGCTCGTGACCCAATAGTTTAGTTTTTATTGATGATTAAAATTGTTATTGGCGTTCTAGAAAAATTGTCGAGTCCTTTATCATAAAAATATTATTTTGAAGTCTAAAAACAGATTTTCTTCTTGCGTAATCTATGTACATGAGCTACATTTCTTTTCTTTTCCGAAAGACCATAAAACTTATGTACAATATATTCTTCAGAATCATTTATATTCTTCCTTGTGAGTTCAAATTTAGCTCTTGAAATTGGAAGTTTCGATAAGCAGACGTTGCATAAAAAAAGAATGCCTTGGAAAGTGGAAAACCTCCCCAAACATGCAGGTTTGTCACCCACCACCCCTGGTTACATGCATATTTTCATGAGAGAGAGGGGTTAGTGAGATTCAGAGTGGAGGACAAAGGTTATATTGTCACCTTTTCCATGTTGTACATGGGAAATATTATTATTCAACAGGCTTTTTTGATGTTTTCAATCTGAATTTTTGGTTTTATATCTGTTGTCAATTTGTTCGTGTCTGCTTCCCATTTGTCCACCAGTTAAAAGACAAATTGAGAGAACCTAAAACTCTCGGCTTGCACCGAACAACTTGAAAGTTTTCATGTACTGACTACTGAGTACTACTTACGTTTCAATTTTCACAATTTAAAAAAAAAAAAAAAAAAAAAAAAAAAAAACTAATGAAAAAAACTTGAAAATTTTGAGTTTACTTTTTAGTATCAGGATTGACTTTTTAGTGTAAAAATGTGATTTTTAGTTAAAATAAACAGTACCGGAAACTTTTCGTTAAACTTCTCGAAAAAAAACCCTAGTGGCATATAATACGTATATATATTTATATTTTCTTGAAACACACACGCGCGCGTATGTATATTTGAAGATGAGCATCTCAAGGTCTTAGAAGCTTCCAACAGCTAAATACAGATTGGGGAGCGCAGGTTCTTAACCTTTACAACCAATGCTCCCATGCAACCAAGAGCTAACAGACAGTCTTCTGCAGATGGGATTCATTTTTCAAGTCGAAGTTTGCTCTTTGACAAGAAGAAACTTATTGCCACGACATAGATTTCGTCATTCACTTACACTCGCTTTCATGCTCTTGTTATGACTAAAAGGTCCAGGCTCTGAAAATTTAAAAAAAAAAAAAAAATCGATCTGGACTTGCGAGAGGGGTTAGTGTTTGACGTGTTGAGAATGCATTTTGGGCGAAAATGGTGGTTACTATTTCCATGAATACCATAAAGGAATAGGATTGGAGGTAAAAAAGACAAGGGCAATGAACCAAGCTATGAGCCAATAAGCTTTCATAACAATCTCATCACCCCCTTGCAAGTTGTAATCTTATCTAACAAGCCAAGTTCTAGTTAATTCAACCGATCTATGGCTAATTCTTGTTAATTGAAATTGTAAACAAGATGAGAATCTTTAGAGTTTAGTAAACTATAGCTAATTTGAACTAATGTGTCTAATTGTAGTTAATTCAGACGCGAAAAAAAGATGAACAGTCTTTGGAGTTAATTCGATCAAATTGGAAACAAGATGAGTAATCTTTAGGTTAATTCGGACTGAAACAAGATGAAAAATCTTCAGGTTTTAGTTGCAATCGCAAGCCCATTTGAAGTCTCTATAAACACAAGCCAAGTTTTGGTATCTGATTTGGATCTAATTCTGGTTAATTCGGACTGAAAACAAAATGAACAAGCTTTAGGGTTTAGTTGTAATTTAATGTTTATGTGTAGTATTTATGAAAACAAGCAACATTTTGGCTAATTCCAACTTATCCGTGTCTAGTTGTGGTTAATTCGAACTTCAAAAAAAAGATGAACAACTTTTAAGTTAAATTCATAATGAAAACAAGATGAACAATTTCTAGGGTTTAGTTGCAATCTTTTTATAACAAGCCAAGCTCTATCTAATGTTGGACTGCTCTGTGTCTAATTCTAATTAGTTCATACTTCAAAACAGCTTTAACCCAGGTCCTTCCTATTGTGGTGAGGTTTTCCGAAATTCATGCGGGTAGATTTATTGGTGGTTTCTCCTTGAACTTGGGGCATTATACTTCTTTCTATGTGGAGTTTCATGTTGTCATCCTTGCTGTGAAGTTATCGTATGTGCAGGGTTGGCAAAGCTTATGACTTGAAAGTGACTCTTCTAGTGTGATATCTTGCTTTGCTTATGGTTATTTTTCTCCTCATTGGTCGCTACAGATCCGTTGGAAAAACTATATTTCCTGGTGGTGGCACATGGTTTTCCTTGCTCTCATACGTTTTGAAAAGGGATCGAATACAATTGCCAACATATATTAGCTAATTTAGGACCTTCTCTTGTATTCATTTGTATGTCAAGTCACTCCTTTTATAGAGATTCTTCCTTTTTTGCATTTAAATGTCTTAACATGCTGGCCTACAAGTATATCTCCCCTTCTTGTCCTGCGATTTTCTTTTTTACCTAGTCCTTTCTTCACATCGATGCTAACTGTTTGAAGTTGCAATTAATTTTGGCAATTTGGCAAAAGCATCCCATACAACAATACAAGATGTGGATTGTTGGGCACTGATGGGTAAAAAGGGACAGGCCTTTCAAAATCAATCAGAGAAAAGAAAGATTTGAACCCAATTACAGGCACTAAACGATGGAAAAGTAACAAAGTTGAAAAGTTGCTTGGAATTTTTACCATGTCTAGTAACTCAAGTCAATCGAACTCATTTTGTATAGTTAGAATGCGTGTGGATGCACAGTTTTTTTTTTTTTTTGATAGAAACGATGGTAGTATATTGATAGAGAGGCCATTGGGAGCCAAGAGTCACTGTACAAAAATGTTACATTACATCCTCCACAAGGAGATCAATAATGAAACTAGGAGGCTGGTAAATCCAATCAAGATGACTGTCAATATTTAGACTGAACCTAGATAAACGATGAGCAACGGTGTTGGCTTGACGGTGAACATGGGCAGAAAGATCTTCACTGATTGCAGCGAGCAAACTCTTCGGGCACAGGTTTTCCATCCACCCGTGAACAACCACCATTTTTCTCCTAGTTGTTTGTCATCCTCTTGTCTTTGTCTAAGTTCTCTATTCTTTTCTTCTATTTTTTTTACTTGTGAACAGACTGGTTGTACAGTTTTACAGTTGTTTTATATTCCATATAGGTATAGTACAATTTAGGGTTGATGTTGGATATTAGTCTGTAATAATCTAATCTGATGTACTTAATTAACAATCTCCATTGACCACCAATTTGGGGCCAACATGTACGAATTGTTTATTATTCTTTTCTTTCAAAAAAAAGAAAAAGAAAAGGAGAATAGCTGGTGGCAAAGCTACGACAGTCCATTTTGTTGAAAAAACTTACATAGACCATTTCAGCATTCTTCTGGCTGCCATCGGGTGACTCGCCAATACTAGGAATCAAACAGAATTTTCATTTTTATTGAAGAATACAAGTATATCAAGCTTCCCCTTTGTCACTATTGTTACGGATTTGTTCACCACCATTCATCCCTAATTAATTAGAAGCAACTTCTAATTGTAGCTTTTTCACCATGATATCTTTTGAATATATAATCTCAACACTCTAGATTAACATATTACATGTTTTTAATTCAAAGTAGAACAAAAAATACAAGGCGTTTAGGGCAGCCCAATCACTACATCTCTCTCATTTCCGTCACCCTATTCACATTTGTTGTGTCTTTGTCTTCAAAAATCGTCCCCATTTCTTCTAAGGTCTTGCCTTTTGTCTCCGGCAGAAAGAAGTAAAAGAACACCGTTGCAACCGCCATTATTCCGGCCAACACGAAAAACATTCCCCCAAATGTTATCTTGTTAGAGATGGTTAGAAATGTCATCGACACCACCCCGCTTACCAACCGGTTCACTGATATGGCTAGACTCGAACCCTGGGCCCGTAACCTCATAGGAAAGATCTCCGATGAGTAGACCCAAGTTATGGGCCCAAGCCCAATCGAAAAGAACGAAACATCAGCGCAAACAGCCACGATACACAAGGCAATGGCCCATGTGGGCTTACTACTCGAATGCTCCAGAAATTTTGATCCTATGCCCAGCCCAGCTAACGAGACCACCATCCCGACCGAGCCCAATAACAAAAGGGGCCGCCTCCCAAACCGGTCCAAATAACTCGCCGAGATGAAAACAAAGGATGTTTTGGCAAGGCCCATTATGACATTAATGCCAAAGAGCTGTTTCTTGCTGTGAATTCCAGCTGCCCTAAATACTTCCGGGCAGTAGTACACGACGGCATCGTTGCCGGAAGCTTGCATGAAAAAGTTGATCCCTATGGCAGCAACGAGCATCCGACGAATGGGCTTAGAAGGACGCAGCAAGAGCTCCTTCCAAACCCCTCGTCCAGGCTCACCAGCTGAAGAATCTTCCTGGGCCGTTAATGGGCCTATGGGTAAATCCAAAGCAGCCTTACTCATCTCCTCAAGCCTCAGTTGAGCTTCCTCTTCAGAACATGATGTTTTCAGTAAGACCTCTTTTGCTTCCCTTAATTTCCCCTTCATCACAAGCCAACGAGGGGACTCAGGCATTGCTATAACTCCCAACCCAATTCCGATTGCCGGCACCGCCGCCAACCCGAGCATCAGCCTCCAGTTTATGTGCGGCGGTAGGCCGGACAAGGTGTAGTTACAAATATAACCTAGTAATAACCCGAATGTGATGAACACTTCCGGAAGAGAGGTGAGGAATCCCCGGCTCATGGCGGGGGATAGCTCAGCCGTGTAGACGGGAGCTATCATGAGGGCGTAGCCGACACCAATGCCGGCCACGACACGTCCGGCCATTAGAAATAGGTAGGACGGCGCTAGGCCCATGAGGAGTGCACCTATTAGGAATGTGCAGGCGGCTAGGACTATAGTGTAACGCCGGCCTATATAATCTGAAGTCTTGCCGGAAGCTAGTGATCCTACCAAAGAGAACACGTTTAGGGTTCCTACCAAAATTTCCACTTGGGTTGATGTGATCTTGAGATTCTCTTTGATGTAGAGCACCGCACCACTCATCACTCCGATATCTGCACAAATTTTACGCAATTTCTTCGGTAAAATTGAAGGAAATGAAACTGTTATCAACGCTCCAAAACAGTCATTCTATACTTCTTTCTCTCCGATGTTTTATTGGCTTTTTATCTAAAATAGTTCCCTCAATTATTTTGATCATTCTGTAAGATCAAGAAACCATCAGTTGGAGGGCACATGTTTATTTGACAAAGATGCCTGAAGATTTCTCACAGAATAATTGACAGTAGACAATCTCAAAAATTACTTCTATCGATTCTTCTCACAAGACAGAAATGGTAGAAAAAACCCACAAGGAACTTACCATAACCCAAAAGAATGGAATTTGCGGAGGCCAAGAGAGCGCAGACAATTGTGTACTTGTTCATCCCGGATTTTCTTTGACCGATTTGCCCCTCCCCTGGATCCCCAATCACATCCATTTCCCAAGTCCTTCTCCTTCTTCTGAGGATATTTTATGTAAAGATCTCAGTTTCTGTTGGTTTGGAGAGGGAGGGACTGAGAGTGGATAGGTTTTGTTAGGTTGCAGAAGGGAGCAAAATTGCATGAAGGAGGAGTGAGAAAACTCGGCATAACTTGGGAACGAACAACACGTTCGGCAACCGAAGCAGTAGTGGCATTTTCTCAATTAATATTAGCATATAGGTACACATAAAGTGTGTGAGAAAATTTGTATTTTTGTTTTTGAAATAAAAGAAGAGAGGAAGAGAGTGATAGAGAATGTAGGAGTGGAAAGTTTTTTTATTTTATTATTTTTTTATTTTTTTTTAATTAGAGATATGTTAGGATTACATATAGAGGTTTTTTTTTTTTAAAAAAAACAAAATTTGACTGTGTGAAATTATATTTTTGCTCCATATTTCTTATTAATGTTCTATTTTAATTAGAGAATTAAACTGGTAATTTTGTAAGATTTTAGTTGACAATGAATGTTTTATTAATTAGTAGAGATTTACTCTTACTTTTGTCTTTTAGTCAAAGTCCTACTTCTACACATACTTGTTGACTTCAATCTGTATTATTCTTTTTTTTTTTTTCTCTTTTAATTTTTATAAGCTCGTTTATAGGTGTTTTTAAAATAGTTGAAAGTATTTTTTGTGAAAATACATTTGGAACCAATTTTCATTAAAAATATAAGTGAATTCTCGAAAATCATTAACACACTTAAGTGTTTTTGAAACTCAAAAATATTTTTTTCTAAAAACTGTTTCAATCGTTTTAAAAATAGTTCTAAACAAGTTATTTATTGAAAAGGTAATACTTTCATTGAATTCGAATCAAAACGTTTACGTGTTTCTAAGATATTAAGTTTATTTGGCTAATTTCTTAGTCAATAAGCTATGATAAAGTGGTGACTAAGTACCTCCTTGAGTCAGAGTGACAAATTTTTGGGTCATCTCTCTGTCATTCAATTTTCTTTTGGGTTGAGTCATAACCCATTCATTCATTCGACTTCTTTCTTAACAACTTCGTATTTCTTTTGATGTTTTTTTTTTATTGAAACGCGATATCGGTTTTATCGAAGCTCACCACTCCTTTAACACTCTTTTTTATTGAAGCTCCAGTCTCTAAACATACCTTATTTATTACAGTGAGGTAATTTTAATTTTTGAGATATACGTACTGAATAGATACAAATATTAAAATTTAAACTCATTAAATAATGACAAATAAAATGACGAGCATTACCACCTTATGAGCGTGATGAAAAAAAATACTGAAACACCAAGAAAGAGAGCAATCTTCGAGAAAGATCATTATCGATTAAGTTTGAAGGGTTCGTTTTGCTTTTTGATAAAGCTATTGAGAGTGTTTCAGTATAACTGTATAAGTGCTTTTACTTACTTGACTTTTCATCAAAAAATAAAATTACTTTTACAAAGAAGCACACTCCACACATGATGTGTTTTTCCGCTAAACCACTTTACGTGTTTAGGGTTTTCTCTGTGTTGGTTGTGAATTGCAGGTACTGAGGCAGCTCCAAGAAAGAAGAGAACCTCGGCGTCGTCGTTGTTTCAAGTAGATCATCAGCTTCCATCTGAGCTTTGGCTATGAATCATCAGTTAGATCCTTGCATTTACTTTTCAGAAATAGTTTTGGTTTGTAAATTTTATAATCCAATCAGAGATTTTTACTGTATTTACATATAAAGAATCAGAGCAATGGGATTCGGAGACTATTTCTACAAATTCATCCCAGCATTGTCAATATATTCAGTGACTTGTGAAGCAAGTTGATACGTCCAGTTCACAGCGGTGCCAAAAAAGAGCTCCCAAAACCATAGATCCAACGCGAGGACCGTGGAAAATATGAGCAATGCCAAAGTCTGGTAGCGGTTCAAAGGCCAACCTGATACTTCCGCCATCGTCTTCAGAAATGGAAGGGAACTGCTATTCAGATCCTGCTTCCTTATGGACCATGCGGAAATCCATTGTGCCTGAGTAGGGATCAGCTCCAACTCCTGCAATCGTCTCCCCAGGTCTGGCATGTGACCCCCTCCATATAGTATTGCAATCTTGTTGTTCCCGCTGGCGATTGCTTTTTGAAGAGCATCTATGGCCGCTCTGTTTCTCTCACCAATAATCACAGAGCTCTCTTCTACATCGGCTGTAGCCTGCGTGAATCTTAACCAAGTAATACATGTGTGTTAGTTTTGAGTTTCCTGCACACTAACAACTTTCCTATTCAAATTTTTGCACCAATTCACAATACCCTTTTGAGACTAAAAACCCAATTGATAATTCGTTTGATCAGTTATGAAAGTTCGTTCATCAAGAAGAAGTGACAGAAAGCGAAACTCTTGACAAATACTTACTCAGATGTTAGTCTCTTGGCCAAGAAGACCTTCATCGCAGCACCTAAATCAAGCCTAGACAAGGCTTCTAGTTCTGGAAATTCTGATTCCTGACTGCCTGTGTCTGCACAGACACCTCCGATAATGAGAAGGCCAACAAGTGGCATCGGAAGCACACGTGCGGCCCACAAAAGCTTAGATCTCCAGGGACCAAGGCCTTCTGGAATTGAAACAGTTTGAATCATAGCTTTCGTGGATCTAACAGTCATATCTCTTGCAAATGTGAAGAAGCTTTCACCCTTTTCTTCCTGAAAGAAATGAAAAAGGCATTAGATGCACCAATGATCCTCAAGCATTTTACACCCTCCAAAAAGGAGAGAGAAGATACATACCTGAAGCAATTTGAAAGTCTCGAAGTCGAGGTCTGCATGGTACCAATTCTCAGACTCGTAATCAAGACAGTCTAATTGGAAATCAAGAGTCAGAACCCGAGCCATCTGTCGCTGAATGCATCCCAGGATGTTAAATCCTCTTGAGCGTGAGCCTTTGACTTTTAGTCTTTTCGTGGCAGCAAGGAATCTTCTGTTCTCTAAACTTTCCCGGCTAGTCACCATCTCATAAAGGACACAATCATAGGACTCAAGTTCCTTTTGGAGGGTCTCAAAGTACCTGGAAATTGTATTTAAGATCATTAACGACAACCAATCTATACTCATACAGATTAAGTAAACATCAACTTCTGTTACCGAAAAAAAAATATCAACCACTGCCAAAAGTTAATAACAATTACCAAGGGGAATCTAAAATCGAGCCCAAAACGAAATATTCTGCATATCATTTAAGTTAAGTTTCAAAAAATGACGTAAAATTGATCAAGGCACTTTCCTAGCACCAAGTCTCTAACAATCTTGGCATGCATTTCATTGGCATTCTAGGGTCGAATGTACATTTTTTTCCTTGAAATCACAGCCCAGCAAAGTTATGTGTAAAACTTATACGAAAGCTACCCTTCAAAACTTCATTCTTTTTCTTGAAAACACTTTAAACTTATATGAAAGCTAGCCTTTAAAGCTTCATCTCTCCAACCACTAGCATTGCATTTATTTAGCTCAACTCACGCACGATGTTTGAGCAACAAATTTTCCACTCAATCGATAATTTAGAACTAATAAGGCTTTAGCTTCCGAGTTCATATATTTCACTAATAATTAAACAATTCCAATCATAAGTAGCTAACTGCAAAACTACGACAAAAGAAGAAGCAATTGCGCAAAAATAACAATGATTGTTTGAAGATACATACTCTTTATCCGCGATGTGAATTGTCGAAACCAAATCAACCTACAACACCAAAACAAGAACAACCCAAAAAAAAAAAAAAAATTAGAAACAAACCCCACAAACAGAACAAAAGAACTCAAATCAAAGAATCCAACTTTACACCCAATACCTGAAGAAACGGCCTCAAAAGCGACCAAGGGAACCGCTTTTTGTAGCTGACAACCGCCGTCTGCAGCTCCCCGGTTCCGCCATCGGGACCCCTTTTGAACCGCATGAAATCCGCTAGCGAATTGTTCTGCAAAAACTGGTCGGCGGAGCCGTCCTCAATTGGGCTGAGGGAGGAAGAGCCGAAGACCTTGAAAGGAAGGAGCTTTGAGGGTCTGGAGAATCTGAGGGTCCGTTTGGAGGATTCGAAGGGCCTGGTTTTGAAGCTGGTGGAGGTGGAGGAAGCATCGAAGTGAGTGGCGGAGTTGGAGGGAAACAAGGAGGAGGAGGAGAGAATGGAGAGAGAGGCTGAGACCATGCTTGCTTTCTCCGGAGAGAGAGAAAGAGTTGGGGGGGGCGTCCAGATAAACAAAACAAAGAGGAAATGGAGTTGGTCGATGGAGTGAATATCTATTGGCCAAAAAGGAAGGTGGTTGAACCTCGCGGGATTTTTTTCTTGATAAAATCTTGGAAATGGGCTGTTCTTTTTTGGATTTTCATTTTGGAAAATTGGAAATTATATGACAAAAAATATAATATTTTTTTCGTTGAAATAATATTATCGCAGACCATGACACGTGAAATATAAATTATATATATATATATATATATATATCACATAAAACAACACGATGAGTAGTTTTTTTAGGAAAAAGTTTACTCATGAAGGATAAAATTGAATTCAACGTTGTTGACAGTGTTGATCGTGTGACACACCCCGATCAAGATCAGAGCATACTGGCCGTCACGTGGAAGTGACGTAGCCATGTGCACAATGCGGAAGCTAAAAAGTAGTAACGTAAAAGTACGAATAAATAAAAACTAGCATACAAGGTAATAGTAATAAGTACTAGCGTAAGTGAGACACAATTTCAGAGCAGAAAGCCTAAAGCAGCCTAACTAAAGTGACACTACAACAGTACACCCGAAGGTGGCCCTACGCTGGTGATCGTCTGTCAGAAATGCCGAGAAAGCCCTCTGGGAAACCACCAAATCAACTGAACAGCTAGAACCTGGAGGGGCACAAAACAAAAGCGTGAGTGGGCAAAAACAAAGCTTTTCGAAAACCATTTCAAAAACAATATTCTAACCCCTCGCCGTAAAACCTGTATATTTCCCAGAAAATAAACATATGTACGTAGATATAAATATGCCAATCATGCTCAAATATATGCCATATCGGAACCTCAGAATGAAATGCAAGTGCTCAGGTATAAATCATATCAATGACATATAATCTGGCAGCCGGAGTCACCTAACATGACCTGTACGGCTGCATCTAGAGCTCAAATCTCAATCTCAATAACTAAACCTGCCCACGAGTCGGAACCACCTAAAGTGGTCTGTACGACAGGCCTGGGTGCAATATATATATGAACGCTCTAGTGCTACGATCACGTGAAGGCTGTGCGAATATTCGCGAGTCACCTACGAGTCGGAACCACCTAATGTGGTCTGTACGACAGGACTGTGCACCTAACTTGGATCCAAGCTGAGCGTGTGGTGCGGGAGGTGAACATCACGTGAAGGACTGTGCCCTACTCTGGGCAGGAGCACTAACACCAGGGGTGCAAGTTATGAGCTCTCTAAGCATCTCGAATCACCATTTAAAAGTAAACATGAATAACATTTACCTGGCACTTACCTGTGCGTCCACAGCACCAAATATGCATATGTATATAAATATATACGCCCAATAATGCAACTAATGATGCATAACTGACGATAATATAATGCATGGCATATAACAAATAAATAATTAAATCAGTTTCCGGGAAAATATAAGTATATAGGTATATACGGAAAACCAAAAGGCCACTCACTGATAAGTGGAAGGGTCGTAGCCCCCCTGCCTCGAGTGACCACGCTCGTCCTCGGGATACGTCTCACCGATATGCGAAATAACTACAAAAACGTTAATTTTAAAGCACATAACCAAACTTTAGAAATAACTTCTCACACATTGCTCAAATGGGGTGTATGAATACACCAACGCGATCTACTCAACCTCACGAACATCCCCAAAATTTTAAAATAATTTTTCACCACCGCACGCGCCCCCACTCGCCGGCCAAGGCACGGCCACACGCGCCGGCCACGCGCAGGCACGTGCCTGGCACGCTGACGGCGTCAACTGACGTCGTTAGGAATATTCCGTTATCCCTAACGGATTCCGTCAACGGCGTCAGGAATATTCCTTCTTCTTCCCCGGCGACGTCGCCGGCACCGGAAAACTGGAAAATTTTTAAAACGTCCTAACTCCTTCGTTTTTCAACCAAATTCCACGATTTTGGTACCAAAATGAAGCCTAGAACTAGAGGAACACAACCATACAACTTTTAAGGGCTAAAAACCACAAAATCTCACCTGAAAAATCGAACCAACTCCGGCCAACTTCGAAACCAACGATCCCGACGTCCAATTCCTTCAAACGAACTACTCCGAGCCTCCTTGGGACTTCACCAAGTTATCTACAAGCTTCATTTTCCCTAAAACGTGAGAAATCACGTGTGCATGAATAGTACCTAAATCGGACATCGTCGAATCGACGTGAAAACGTTGAAGTTCTTACCTGGAAATGGTATGATTGGACTCGTACGAGCTTCACGAGCTCGAATATGTGCTCAGTTCCTTCGATCTGTGGAGGTTTAGTGTGCTTGTGTGTGTGTCCGTACGTTTTCGAAGAAAAAGAGAAGGAATGGGGCTCGGGACAGGTGCAGAGAAATAGGGAGAAAGGTTGTGGTGTGTGGGAAGGTGTGTGTGGCACCAAACATGCCAACAAAACCCCAAAAACAAACAATAAACGTAACGAAATCGAGCTAGGGGCAAAATTGTCTTTTCACACGTACGTTTTCGATATTTTCGGGACGGGCTGTCACATCGTGTATTTTAAATAGTATATGTGCAGGCATCCATAAATTTTTCGTATTAAAATTGATTTAACTCGTGTCAATTTCTTTTATTTTTAGTCTGTAATTGCTCTTTATTTTTAAGAAAATATAAAGTTTATTAAAAAATGCCAAAAAGTAATTTATAATTAACCGATTTTATTTATGTATATTTTCATTTTTCTTTTCTTTTTCAGGTTGTATCACATTAGAAATGGGCAAGTGATAGAAAACAAAAAAAGAAATTTTATTTGAACCCATATAACCTCTCTTTACACTTAACTTAAATTTTAAATATGAATTATCTTTTTTACCCTTTTGCATAATTACTTTCAAGTATATGATGAAATTAACGATAAAACTAAAATTTATCAATAAAGTCACACATATCACCTAGGCACATGGGTTTGATTCATACTCTATGTTCTGAAAAATATTTACCACCCAAAAAGAGGAAAAAACAGAGTTTTGTCTAAAGAAGGTCCTTGAGAAGGGGTGGGTGTATAGAACTCTAAAACGCTAAGGGTATTCATGACGGCTAAACCCTAAGATTCTCATAGATAAGGGTATTGTCTGCACTGTCTCAACCAACACACCCAACAAACCTGGAATTGTTATGGTAGCCCATGTATCAAGACCAAAAGAACATCGGAAGAACCGAAGGGAGACTTTTTTTATGTCATTCGATGCAAGCTGGCTACCAGCAACATGCAGATAACTTTAGTTCGATCTCAACAGCCTAGTTGTTACGAACTCTACCCTCACTACCCATAACACTTTTTTTTTTTTTTTTTGTGGTGAAACAATAACAAATTCAATGCAGTTAAGAATTGACTTAAACTAATATCTTTCTTTCTAAGCTCGTATTCATAGGAGCTTTGGACAAACTCATGATATATTTGGCCAGTCCAATCAGTGCTAGTTTATCTGCAAGAGCACTATTTTATTTTTTCAGCGGAGAGCCGCAACACATGACGCAAGATTGAAAGCCCTCTTAATCTTATGATTGCACAAAGTTCTTGATGTGTACTCAAGAATCATATTGACCATTCCAGAGTGATGGACAAAGCATTATTCAAAGTTTGTGGCTAACATAATCAATTTTTTTTTTGAAGTTTTGTCTTTATTTTAATGAAATTATTTACTCTTGACACAAAATCTAACATACTTTCTGGTTTTGTTCTTTTAATCTATTGGGTGTAAAGATAAATGTAAACATATTGAACTAGGCTTGTGAGGGTGGTTTAAATAATAAATTTAGATTTAAAGGGATATTAACAGTTTCTTTAAAAATAATATGGGTGTAAAAAATGTGTGTGGAAATAAGTTACAGGGTTCAAATAAAATTATTCAAACAGAAAACATTGGGATTAAAGCCATACTCTTCCTTGTTCTTGGAAGAGACTGACAACATAATTTCACACACCAAGTACAAGGCCACAGAAACTGAAATGGAACTTCAGTGCTCAACAATTTCAGAACTACGTAAAATCGACAGTTTTCGGTCGTTTCTTTGCCTACATTTCGAGTCCATCACGAAAAATTTTCACCGGACAAGCAAAGATATGTTGGAGCCGGGCGTAGATGGAAAAGTAAAAACAAAAGGGAACAAGAAGAAATCCAATGAATTTCATCGCACAAAATCTTCATGAAACTCCTTTTCTTCTTGCGACTGAGAAGTCAAACCCGCTTTCACAATGGACTGACTTATTTACCACTACTGCTTTTCTTCCTCTTCCGTCTACCTGAAAACAAGAAAGCTATAAACTTAGTAACCTGCATGGTATTAACCAAGATAAACACCCTCACAAACTGTCAGTTTATCACTGCATCCTTGCATTTCCCCAACCACGGAATCAGACTCGAAAAGCACCTATCAACACAGCATACTAGAAACAGCTTAGGAAGTTCAAGGGAGTTACGGAAAATACCAGGGATTGAATTACACTGACTAACCTCATATGTGAAAGTAACACTACTTGATTTATTTGTACACAATGAGTATCGGGGGTCAAATTATTTCCGTATCTGTTGGAGTAAGTTTGCACACCAACTTAAAATTCTCGACCCCACTGGAGTTCGAACCAAATCTATGATCAAACCAATAAACCAAACTTCCAATTTTACAGGGAAAGTCATGATAATTGTCAGAGACATTGTAAAGCCAAAACGCCAAGGACATCAATGTAGTCTGCAAGTCAAAATAAATGAAAGATGTAGGGGAAAAGAGGCTATATTCTAACGTCTCTGAGGTTATAATCGAAAATTTTAAAACTTGTCTTATAATTTGAGCGTCTTGTAACTATTGCCTAATGGTCTACTTGTTTCCTACATTGTAGGTTAGATCTCCCTAAATGGTAACTCAAATTATTGGCTTCACAAAAAGCAGCAGGAAAACAAATCAATATATATCGATAAACCCTTTAATACTCCCGAAACTTCAAATCCATGCTGTTGCATAAAAGATAGAACAAAAGGGAAATTGATAAAAGATGCACGATTTTATCATTGGAAAAACATATTATGACGAGGTACCAAAAATGTAACTAAGCAACATACAGTGATCTTTTGCACACATCAAAGCATAAACCAAAGAGACAAAACTAAGTAATAGCAACATAGGAAGGGCATTACCCCAAGGCATCGGTGGTAACTTCTCTCTCGTTTTCATTTCAAGTTTCGGGCCTCCACTATGCACGTGGAGGTTGTTCAGCTCAGGGCAAGTCGGGATGCTATGCCCTTTTTTCCGACACAGGACACATATCTGCAAGCAACACACACGAGATAATCACTATAAGTCGACTCCTGATAAAACTAGAGAACTAACCATTTCCCCAAAGACTGCAATAAATAAAACTTCTTCAAACACTTGAGGGAAACCCAAATTATTCAAGGCATAGACAATATTTCCAGGATTATGCAACAAAATTGCATCAAATATTCATCAGACAATCCTTCTTTTATAATCTATGCTAACTACTAGGAATTATTATCAACTTACTAACAGATAAAAATCAGATTTGATTCACCTATGACAAATGCAAATTGAACCCACCTCAACATATTCTCGAGCTTCCACATCGATAGGGAACGTGGATGTGTCATTATTTTTCTCATATATTCTCGAGCTTCCACATAGTGGGCTGAAGACTATTCCGTTAAAAAAATTTGGCGCATCAAAAACTGGGTTTTGCAATCCCACCGCGACAGGGATTGTGGTTGTGCTCGGGACTGTCAGTGGGACTATCGGCTCCAGATTCTGAAACAGTCCCACCTGGTCTACTTCAATAGGTTTTGGCGCATCAACAACTGTGTCTTCCAATCCCACCTCAACAGGGACATTATCTGTGCTCTTCTTTCTCTTCCTCTTCTTGCTCGGCACTGTTGATGGGACTACTGGCTCAGGCTTCGGAAGCACTCCAGCATGCTCTACTTCAATACATTTTGGCAAATCAACTGGGTTTTCCAATCCGCCCTGGACATGGACTATGGTTGTGCTCGGGACTGTCATTGAAACTATCGGCTCAGGATTCGGAACCAGTCCCGCCTGTTCCACCTCAATAGATTGTGGTGCATGAGCAACTGGGTTTTCCAATCCTACCTCAAAAGGGACTGTGGTTTTGCTCTTCTTTATCTTCCTCTTCTTGCTCGGAACTGTTGTGCTACAGACTATTGCTTCAACAGATTTTGGCGCATCAACAACTAGGTTTTCCAATCCCACCTCGACAGGGACTGTGGTTGTGCTCGGGACTGTTACTGGAACTATCGACTCAGGTTTCGGAATCAGTCCCGTCTGCACTGCTTCTGGCGCATCAGCAACTGGAATTTCCAATCCCGAGACTCTGGTTTTGCTCTTCTTTCTCTTGCTCTTCTTGCTCGGGACTATTGCTTCAATATTCGCAGCATTAACAACTAGATTCCCCAATCCTACCTCAACAGGGACTGTGATTGCCTTCTCATTGCTCGGGACTGTTTGTTCAATCGATTTCGGCGAATCAACGACTGGGTTTTCCAATCCCACCTCAAGCGGGACTGCAGTTGGGCCTATAGGCTCTGGCTCTGGCTGTAAAGCTTGTTCCTTTATGTCAACAGAATTTTGGGAATCGACAATTGGGTTTCCGTCAGCATCAAGAGACACTACGATTGGGTTCTTCTTTTTCTTCTTCTCCCACCTCTTCTTTTTCGGCTCTGCTTCCGGAAGCAGCGCAGCTTCGTGCTCTGCCGGCTGCGGCGCTGGGACTATTATTTCAACAGATTTTTGGGAATCGACAATTGGGTTTCCGTCATTATCAAGAGACGCTACGATTGGGTTCTTCTTTTTCTTCTTCTCCCACCTCTTCTTTTTCGGCTCTGCTTCCGGGAGCAGCGCAGCTTCGTGCTCTGCCGGCTGCGGCGCTGGGACTATTATTTCAACAGATTTTTGGGAATCGACAATTGCGTTTCCGTCAGCATCAAGAGACACTACGGTTGGGTTCTTCTTTTTCTTCTTCTCCCACCTCTTCTTTTTCGGCTCTGCTTCCGGGAGCAGCGCAGCTTCGTGCTCTGCCGGCTGAGGCGCTGGGACTATTATTTCAACAGATTTTTGGGAATCGACAATTGCGTTTCCGTCAGCATCAAGAGACATTACGGTTGGGTTCTTCTTTTTCTTCTTCTCCCACCTCTTCTTTTTCGGCTCTGCTTCCGGGAGCAGCGCAGCTTCATGCTGTGCCGGCTGCGGCGCTGGGACTATTATTTCAAGAGATCTTTGAGAATCGACAATTGGGTTTCCGTCAGCATCAAAAGACACTGCGATTGGGTTCTTCCTTTTCCTCTTCTCCCACCTCTTCTTTTTCGGAGCCTCTTCTGGGAGCGGCACGGCAGCGTGCTCTGCCGGCTGCGGCGTTGGGACTGCCGCTGCGTTTTCCAATCCCACCTCGACCCGAACTGTATGTGTACTCTTCTCGCCGCCCGGGACTGCCGCTGGGACTATTGGGTTTCCGTCAGGATCGAGAGAGATTGCGATGGGGTTCTTCTTTTTCCTCTTCTCCCACCTCTTTTTTTTCGGTTCCACTTTCGGGAGCAGCGCGGCGGCGTACTCTGCCGGCTGCGGCGCTTTGGCTTCGCTTTTCACCATTTTCGTCTGAAACTGCTAATGGGATGAATTAGGGGTTTGCAGGATTTTGCGAGGGTTTGGTTTGGTGGAGGAGACGAATAGGGCCTCGAGCTACACAGCGTGCACCAAACTTCATGCCTTCCTGTTGGGTCTTGGCCCTTTTAGGCCCAACAGTTTTACTGCTCAAATGGCATATATACCCCTCAAAACTATCAATAATTTCACCAACGGCACGTAGTTTTGCTAAACCATGTGTTACATGACGTGGGAAATTTCATTAGACGAATCATAATTTGGCATGTGTACATAATTTGTCTTTTTCTAAGTTTGCATTAGTAAAGCTTTGATTTGCAAGTAAAACCATGAATGATCCCTTACTGGTAAAGTTCTTTTTAAATCTTCAATAATAATACCTGACAATGTCAATTGTGCGTAATTTTCACGAAAACATAAGACATCATTGTATTTTGATTTCACGCGAACTCATGACAATCACATCAGGTGTGATAGCTACGGAGTAGAAGTGGAGGCAAGGGAAGTCTCAACGAAAGACAGTTCTCATTACTCATTGGAACAAAACTTTAAACAAGCAACTGAAATTTGAAAGTTTTTGAACAACGGATTTCTACTATCATAGAAATAAACTGTAAATTACACCAATACCTGCCAACAAGTAATCAAATCACAATGAATAAAATAATTTCTGCAAACCTCTAAATCTCCAGCAGTAAACTGTCGCGGATCATCGTGACCGCATCTAGATATCGAACGAGAGCTGGAGAAACGAACATTTCAAATCAATCTGAGCTACACCGGCAAAGCATTCTCTGCATGCTTATGACAAAAGCCCCTTAAATTTACTCCAAACCTGCCTCATTGTGACAAAATCCGAAGGCCAGCTTGTAAATCCTCTAGGGTGATTGTTCTAAGTTCTTCCGTGTCTATACAATCAAAATCGAGCCTAAGGTCCAAACTCTCTCTAGCATTCACTAACATAGTATCCACCAAACCTCCGTTCATCTCCTTACACTGCTTTTCTGTTGTCTCTGTTCCGATCAGATCTGCAACAGCTTCTATACTGCATGAAGAGTGTAACTGGAATCCATACAACAAGCTCTCCTCTGTCTGATTATGCATCTTGATATGGAGAATCTTTGCTAGGTCTTCTGAAGTGAAGTCGCTAAAATTGAAAAACTTGGTCACGCGTCGACAGAAACCTTCATTTGAAGCTATCACACGTTTCATTGGTTCGCTGTATCCTGCAAATATGACTACAATTTTTCCACCATCCATGACAGACATGATCTCTTCCAATGCTTCCAAGCCATAGTCTTTATCGTCCGCCTTCTGCATAGGTATTAGTCGATAAGCTTCATCTACAAAAAGAATTCCTCCCTCTGCATCTTTAATCTGACAGAACATTACAATTAGGGTGTCACAGTTGACTACTCATGTCCTGAGTGTGAAAGTAGAACAGAAATAGTTTAAAAAGATCATTGTCTTACCCTCCTCCTGGTTTTGGGTCCGGTATGACCAACGAATTCCCCAACCAAATCAGTCCTCTGTACTTCTGTTACTTTATCAGTAGGTAGAATTCCCACCATATGGAGTAATCTTCCAAGAATTCGAGCTACCATGGTCTTACCTGTTGATAGCAATAACCATATACATCATAATGATAATAAAAAGATGTAACCCAACAAAGCATATTCCTTTGTTTCATTTTACGCTTATGAAAATGTTAGTGGTGTATTATGATGTCTTTAAAGAAATAGGTTTCATGGTCTAAACATCACTTACCGGTTCCGGGATTCCAAGAAAGGCCATATGAGGCGGTCTCCTTACACCAACTTTCAGCCCAAGAGCTTTACGCCTCTCATCCAAAAGCATACCCTTTGCCCATTTCCGTAGTTGTATCTTGAGCTCATGCAAACCAACAATATTTGATAACTCACTTTCAAGTTCATCCATCTTAGCTTTAGTTTCACTGCATGCTTCAATTGCCTTTTTTCTCCTCTGCTCTTCATAGTGCCACTGTAATAGTTCCCGCAGCTTTCCATTTGCACGGCCTTTTGATACATGATGTATAGGAGTCATGCCCTCCTACAATTCAAAGGCAATAGCATTACGCATATACTTTGGTGTTACGCTTGAGTAAATAGAATGTTGCAAGTAAATGAAATGAGAAATACATCGTCCTTAGCACTGCAATCAGCATTGTACTCTAGTAATGTTTTGACAGTTGAGAACTCATCAGCGGTAAGTGAGTACCACACAGCAAGGTGTAATGGGGTCATTCCGTTCTGCATGGAAAGGAGAGACTTTTTAAACATGAGTACACACTGACACGATGGTCAGAAATCTAAAACTCAACAGAAACTGACTCGGGAGAAACGAATTACATTTGCTTTGGCTTCAATAAAAGCACCATGGACAAGAAGCAACCGTGCAGCATCACTGCATCCATTCTTTGCTGCCATGTGCAATGGTGTTTCTCCGTACTGCAAAGCTCAACATGTTATTGCCATGCAAATCAAATAAGAAATCTATTAAGCAAATAGACAACAAATTCAGTTCCAAAATTGAGTTTCGAAACAATTAATGTAATGCAAAATTCAGATCTGAAAATAAACATTTTACCTACCATGTTCTTGGCTTCCAACTCAACTTCACCCGGCCCTCGCCAATCAAGAAGAAATTTAACTATCTCACCCCTGTTGTAACCTGCAGAAACATGAAGAGGAGTTTGTGCCATCTGCATTTGGGGAAACACAAAGATTAATTAGAGGATGAGATAACCTTACTTGAATGTTCACATTCAATGATAATGATACTCTCCTACATAATTATCACCAAAATGATAAAAGAAAACCTTCTAATGACATATTCCTTTTTTGAGCTACCCTTTCTCTAGTTGGAAAAACTAAGGCTTATGACCTGGCCAAAGAAAAGTATATGCCGTCGAAAACTACTACAGTACAGGATTGGATCTTCAATTTGGCCACGCATACCATCCAGAAATGAAACTCAATTAGCTTAAATTAGTAGCATGATCATCTACCAGTAATGACAACCCTAAAAAGAAACTCTCGTATCCGTCATCATTGAACAGTGAACATTTAGATCCAGCACAATTGCTTCCTCTTCAATCCACCAAAAACATCAAAAGGTACTTAATCCACAACTACATTGCAATTTAAAGGCTACCAAAATACATTTGCCAAGAAAAAGGTCAACGATTCCCTTCCCTTATGCAATGGAAGTCCCAATTTTTTCCCAACAAATTGCACCGACATCCACATACAATTACAAAATCAAGAAAATCTAGTATAGTAAGATTGAAGAACACTAATCTACATTAGGGTGATTGAGAAACATGATCAAACACTTGAAATTCACAAAATTTTCAAAACCCAATTGGTAAACATTCCTAATGATAAAATGGCGCAAACCCATCAAACAAAATGCACCCAGGATCGCAAAGACGCCAGCTTTCGACACGAAATCGTATTCTTGACAACCCAATTTCGTGAATTTACAAGATGAGATCTTACAACGGCATTTTTCTCGTTGAGAAGAGATGGGTTTTCCCGAAGCAGCTTCTGAAACCCAATAAGGTCGCCGGACTGAGCGCAGCCGTGGATGGTAGTGGGCTTGGCGGATCTCGACCGTTGATCTGGGCGCCTATGCATCCTTCCCTCTTCTCCCTCCTCTGGACTCGTGGGGTTCTTGCTAGCTCTCTCTCCTCTCACGGACAAAAGAAAGCAGGTTGAAAATGTACTGAGAGAAAACAGGGGATAGAGATTTTAGAGGGAAGCCTTCAAGTACGCGTTTATTGCATCGGACTATTTCGGACTGGACTAGCTTCAGGACTAAGCTGGACTGGCTTAAATTAAACTAAACTAGACTAATTTAGTGAAACGTTTGATGCAGTGTCGGACTAAAAAACTAGATAATAACAAATATATTTTTAATTCATATTTTATTAATATTTTATATTATTTAATACACTAGTAATATTTTATTACTACCACTATCTTTTTTTTTCATTCTAGAAACCACCCATCCCCATTCCTGATTCGTTTCTGCTAATCTCCCAATTTCTTTCCAAGTTTGCTCTGTCCCTCTCCCTCTGTTTCTTCCTCTTTCTTCTTCGCCCCTCTCTCTCTCTCTCTCTCTCTCTCTCTTCATCTCCATCTTTTTCTTCCTATTTCTCTCTGCTCATCTCCCTGTTTTTTTCTTAATTTTTTTTGGGGACCAATTGGCAAATTAGAACCCATTCAGAGTCTGGGTCATTTGGGTATTCATGGGTCTGCTTCTCCAGCATCATTAGCAAAGGTCTACGATCAGGGAGTCTGGACTAGGTGGAGTGTGAGCACAGCTGCTGAGCGTTTCAAACGCACATCAATTTTGTATTTTTTTTTTCGCTTTTTTGTTCTGAATTTTGGATTTGGATCTAATTTTGAAAATGGAAATATTGCAGAAATTTTTGCTTTTTGTTTCCAATTTTGTGGGATCTGGGTTTGAAAATGGTAGATGATAGGGACGACGATGAGGGAGCAGGGCAAGGACAACAATGAGGAAAGACGCAGAGATGAGGACGAGCAGGACGACCGACCTTGGGGGGTTCTTGGACGAGTGACTCTCCCGCGGTTTTCTCTCCATCAGAAGGGCTTACGAGTCCGCCCGAAATTGGGGATCCTCGTTAAGAACTCGTAAGGAGAGGTTTATAATCCGAGCGAGTCCGACCTAAGGTCATTAAACCTAATCCTGGTGCAGACCAAACAAGGGATTACAGTCTAGTCCAGTCCAATCCTTCCTAATCCGGTCAAACAAACGGACCCCTAGTACTTTTAAATTCTCAAATTCTAAAGCTTGATTTTTAATTTATTCATCGATCCTCCTTCTTTTTTTTAAATCCTCAAATTCTAAAAGAAATCAATTTTATTGGCTAAAACTTTAATTTATGCTTTGTAATTTGGACGAAGTTTCACTTCAATTGTGTAATTTGCGGGAAGAAAAGAATATTTTGTATCAGTCAAATTATAATTTTAGTCTTTTTTTAGTTCGTTTGGCGCTGTATTTTATATTATGATTATCTTTGAATAAATTTTTAAAAATTTTATTTTAAAATTTAATTCATTAATTACATCAATTAAAGACAAAAATCTATTTCTTAAATTCTTTTTAAACGAAGATGATAAATCTCAAACAAGCATTTGAAAAGATTCATGAGCAGTTGAGGTTTAGGTATTACTAGAGAAGGTAGGAATTTTATCAAATATTTCTAAGGTATAATTTACCCCTATGTGATTCATGTCAAAACATATGTTCGGAAGATGAGCGTAAATGGGACATACATTAATATGTGGCTTATCCATATTACTGTACTTAAATTTTTAGCAAAGAAAATGGGTGAACATGATTTATTTTCTTAATTGGTTTTTTTTTTTTTTGGCAAAATATTTTCTTAATTGGTTAATTAGAATGATTAATCCATGATTATTCATTCCATTATCATAATCATTGAACAATAAAATAAGACAATAATGTTTTGCCAAGAAATAAAAAACACACAATAATGGTAAATATTATTCTTGAGAACATGTGAGCTCAGCAGTCGATCACTTCTTTTCCTTGCGGAAAGTACACGGCTCCTTCTAAAGGGTGTTTTACACTTTAAAATAATATCCGTATTTCATATATATATTTTAATCTTATGTACGCTTTTGTATTGTTTTCGTCATTTGATTTGGTTCCCTTTCAATTTTCGTTTTCTTTTTATTTTATTAAATCAAAGGACGGTATAATCAAGAATACGTAAGAATGAGAAAATAAAAATACCAACTAAAGACCTCCTTTATACTTTATTGTCAATCATAGTTTGATATGTATATTAAAGGATCACTTGGAAACGTTTTTAAAATGACTGAAAGCACAAAATAATTCAGATATGGGCTATAGGCACGTGATGGGGAGGACAAAGATGATGGTGGTAGTTATGAAGCCTATATAGGCGGACAAATACCCTCATCAGTTATGTGCTTTTGATGAAAATGTTTTTAGAGTCAATCTTTAGTAAAAACGCAACTGAATTCTGAAAAAGCACTTCAAATGCTCTTGGAATCCCAAAACATTTTCTCTACAAAGTCTTTTAATTATTTTAAAAATACTTCTAAACGAGCCCTAATTTTTATGCATTTTGAATGAATTCTACATACGTATCGAATTGAAGTACGAAGAAGGAAGAGAGAAGGCAATATAATTTTCTAATTTTCTGAATTTGATCGGGCCCGGAAAAGATTAGGGCTGAACCGAAGTAAGAAAGTTTAAATAAGACCGGTTCATGGATTGGCCCAATCCATTATAACTGAAAATGGTTGGGCCTAATCTGTCTTAAAACTTGGGCCCAAATTGATGAGGTGTTAAATTTCCCATGCTAATCCAACGGTCGGCAGTTAACCACTACGCCACTCAATCGCAGCCGTGCTTCGCAAGACTGATCCTGGGACCTTCCCACCTAACCAACGCAAAAACGACACGATGACTCAGACCCAACACAACACGTGTCACTCAATCACTAGTAGATGAGGTTTCCCTAACGTGTGGTCATCACGGACCTCCTTGTCCGCACGCTGCCACTCTCCTCCTCCAAAATCTCCCGCGAAAATATCTTCCTTCGCAACCAGATAATTTCCGTCACCCACAAAAAAAAAAAAAAAAAAAAAATCAAATTTTGATTTAAATATAATTATTTAACGTAACTTTTTCCATTAGTCTTTCTAACAAGAAAAAAGAAAAATGATTTTTTGACCGAAAATTCTGTAGCGCTCACGAAATATTGGAGCCACTTTTGGATGTGCTTACAGTCACTGTGTTATTTTATCTGCAATGGCCATGGTTGCGAGGTTTCACGCATGCCCGCACAGCTTGGAGCACTTCAACGTCAAGGACCACCGCGGAACCGGCCCGGCGGTGATAATCGGGTCGTGGTTTTCGGCGTTCCGGGGGTCTGCTGGCCGCGGGGAGAAATGGGTTTTGCTTGAAACCGTGCAGGTCGTTTAGGGGGGAGGATAACGGAGGGGATGCGGAGGAGGGAGAGGCAGAAAGTGCGAGAAAGCGTGGGAATTTGAAGAAGGGAGGTGGGATTTTGAAATCTTCGGTTTGGGGTGGTTTTGGTTGGGGGTTTAGAGATGGGGATGAACACAGGAAGGCTGTGGCCAAGTTGGAGGAGATCTGTCAATCTGTGAGTAATGTTTTTACTGGATTTTGTTTTCGTTTAATTATTTTTGAGTTAAATAATTGTGTTTTGTTTAGTTGGAGCATGTGTTTGTTTATTGGTTGTTTGGTTGCAGAGAAAATCCAAGCAAAGAAAAGTTTGACTGCGATTCTAATTGACTAAACTTGGATTTTAAAGTCCATTAAAAAGTCCATTCAAAGTCCATTCAAAGTCCTTTAAATCTTGAAGTTTGAAACTCTCACTGATTTGGCTGGGAAAATTATTGAGGTTTTAAATTTTGAAACTTGAAGCTTTCATAAACTTGTTTTTTGGGTTGTTTGGGTGCTGAGAAAATCCAAGGAGGAAACTGATAATTTTTTTTGCTAATGATTGTTCTGTTAGTTTGGTTATTCAACTTCTTATGAACGAATGAAAAGAGAAATGAAGTTAAGACCGTCAAGATTTATCGTTCTCACTAAAATTTAGGGAAAGCAAGAACTGTACTAAGAAGTTTAAGCCTTAAGATTTCGTCCTTTTTCCACTAAAATTAATGAAAAACATCTTTCAAGTGATTAGGGACTGTTTAAGGTTGTCTTGTTTATCAGGCTTTTGACATGTCACATGCTTGTAGGTATCTTTCATATTTAACCCTTTCTCTGTCTCTAAAAATAGGCTGCTGTTCAAATCGGAAGATATATTGTGACCATGATGAGCACAGGAGTTATACTAGCAATTGGGTTTCAGTTGTCAGGTTAGAAAGCATGTTACTATTTAGTTTCATATTATCTGTCCGAAATGTAATGTTCCATATGTAGACCTCTAATTTATTGGAAGTTTTGTGAAGGTGGAGACGCTGATTTGAATGAGCTAGTTTGGTATAGCTGGCTTGGTGGAATTATTATCGGAACTATGGTTGGAGCTAACATCGTTTTAGAGGATCACTGTCGAGCTGGTCCACGAAATGTTGTCATCAGTGGAAGGTAGAAACTCTCTCTTGCTTGCTCTTCTGCTTAATTAAGCAGTCTATCTGCCTCAACATTGTATGTAATTTGGTTAAAACTTAGAGGCCTTATAATCTTCGTATGAGGAGGGGTGATATGGGTGGAGGAGGCTTTTCAATTTAGTATTATCATGAAGAAGCATCTCATATAATATTTTTGTATATGATTGCTTTAAGAGCGCATATAACGTGTGTGATTTACATGTTTTTGCACCTTTTCATTGGCTGGTACAGCACAAGGGGACTTGGAAAAGCACTTGCTCGTGAATTTCTTCTTTCTGGAGATCGTGTAGTGGTCGCTTCTCGAAGGTTATTTTTTAGATTATGATATGTATTTGTGTATAAACCTGTCTACAGCTTTATGCCATGGTGCTGCCACCTCAACTGATTACTGAATCTTGTCAAGGCAGCCCTGAGTCTGTACAAGCAACTGTCAAAGAGCTCGAGGAAAACCTAAAGGAAGGTATAAACAGTGCAGGTGGCTTATCCAAGAACCTGAAACATGCAAAAGTGGTTGGCATAGCATGTGATGTTTGTGAACCTGGTGATGTGCAGAAACTGGCAAATTTCGCTGTTAGTGAACTTGGTCATGTTGACATTTGGGTAAGCTTTTGAACTATCATGTTGATGCTTATCACTTTGCAACTGGGCCTGGTGTAATTTTAGATATTCACTTGATGTATTGTGGACTTCGTCCATGTATTTTACCAGCTTCAAACTTTTTACCGTCTAATTTGTAACCCCTTGGACAGATAAACAATGCTGGTGCTAATAAAGGATTTAGACCATTGCTTCAGTTTACGGACGAAGACATTAAGCAGGTATGTGCGAAAAAATGGCTCTCTGTTGTTGCTATGTGAAGAGAGTGAAATAAACCACTTCAAATTGGTTCACTAATTGAGCTTAAACCTTCCAATTTTATGTCAGATTGTCTCCACAAACCTGGTTGGTTCAATACTCTGCACTCGAGAAGCGATGCATATAATGATGAATCAGCCTAAAGGTGGGCACATATTTAATATGGATGGAGCAGGCTCTGGGGGATCAAGTACCCCTTTGACAGCTGTGTGAGTGCCTTGCCTTGTTCATGGAAAATAGCCTTTCTTTTGTGGGAAGAGGCTGAACTTTCACTTATTTTTTCATAATTAAGATCTCTGATCGGTGACAATTAAACATTGATACTTATGCTATTTTATATCCTCAACCTTTAGCTATGGATCGACAAAGTGTGGTCTTAGACAACTTCAATCATCACTTTTAAAGGAGTGCAAACGGTCCAAAGTAGGAGTACACACAGCATCTCCTGGCATGGTTCTTACCGATCTTCTTCTGAGGTACACTTAATGAACTATCATTCGTGATGCATATCTTGTTTCAATGCATGGATTTTCTATGCTTATTGTTAAACATGATTGTTCGCCCTCAAATCTTTCCATGCACCAGCCCATCGTTAATTGAGTTTGCCCTCGCAGATTGTATTGCATGCTGTGTAAAAATGCTTTGATTCATACTGTGTAATTGAGTTTGTCTATGGCTTGTTTGCAGTGGTTCTTCCTTGAAGAATAAACAAATGTTTAACTTCATATGTGAGCTTCCTGAAACAGTAGCTAGAACTTTGGTTCCACGGATGCGAGTTGTAAAAGGAACAGGAAAGGCCATCAATTACTTGACACCTCCTAGGATCTTACTCGCTTTAGTAACTGCATGGCTGCGACGAGGTCGCTGGTTTGATGACCAGGTAACATTTACTTTTGTATGCTTTGTGACAAATGAAGTTCTGCAGTTAATAAGTGCAGCAGGAAAATCATACAGTTATTCAAACCGGTTCTGATATAACTTGCAGGGCAAGGCATTATACGCAGCAGAAGCAGACAGACTTCGGAACTGGGCAGAAAACCGCACCCGTTTTTACTTCACTGATGCAATGGAGATGTACACGGAGAACACATGGGTGTCTGTCTTCTCACTTTCCGTTGTTTGCGCCTTCATAATTCTTTCTAGCACCAGCAGCAACTTACCTGGTACTTAAGATTTTCGTGCACAGTTGAAACCGAAACCACTAGGAATTACCTCAGGCAGGATGCTATTTGTGAAGGACCAAACCAGCCACATTGCTCGGGACAACGCATGCAACCGAAGAAAGTCGGGGTACCATTGTTCTACCCTGCGTCGATCGGACACTAATCATTTGTAGAGCATTCGTTGTAGATCATGATAAGCCTATTTGACTGCTGCACATCGTTTACAAATCCGAGCTTTGTAGGGGGTTGTATATGCAAAATCATGTAGAAACTTGAGTAGTTCTTAGTAATATTTGATTCCAATTTGTACATGCTACGAGTAGCAATGCTTCAACATGGCGTAAATCGATATGATTCACCATAAAATCAGAATTGCCATTGTTTCTCTCTTGACTTATTTCGTACAAGAAATTTGTCAGTGTTGACCGGAATACGGAGTGTTATAAAACATGCCATGTAAAATTGGATGAAATTTTTCTTTTTTCTTTTTCAAATGCCCATGTAATGTAATTGTATAATAATATATAACATACCGCCACATATTTTGGACACATTGAAATTTTTTTCTTTTCGTGCGGTATTGTTTGCCGCTTAACGTCTGCTCACCCACACCAGTTAGGCTAATCTCAACCGCTTAATGCACAAACTCTATACGAGTGATGTTCGAATCTCTTTTACAAACCTGGACTTAATGAAGTTGGTTAAATCCATAAATTATTTAGCTGAAATAGTTATTGAGATTGGTTTAACTTCTCAGTTTAGTTATTAAGATTTGAAATTGATAGAAGTAATCCCTGAATTTGGTCATTACATGTTTGAGCATCATTGACCAACTCCTTATCAATGTCGATTCATTTCAATATGAACTGAACAACAATTCAACAGATTCAATTGACTATAATAAAAAAAAGTACGGAACAAAGGCGGATATTCTGTTGTTTATAGTATATAGATTGAATAATTTCTATTTTATACATAAACAATCTTTAATTAAAGGGAAATAAATGTAATATGATAAAACCGAACAGAGTTTAATGTGCATTGCTAATTCTATAAAAAATTTACTGTCGTGCCACGGTAATTGCACCTTTCAAAGCTGCTAAAAGAATTGAGAGCATTTTTGCTCCCCACCATTTTGTGTGATGTATACTTACTATCCTATTTATCACCGTTAAATGAGTTTGAATTTCAAGATTCATGTAGTAGATAAGCACAAATTCCAAAATTCAAACTTATCTAACGGTGATAAATAGGGTGGTGAGCAAAAATGCACTCAAAAGAATTATCGAAGCGAATTCAAATGTAAGAAAAAAATCTGTTGATAAATGAATTCCAATTTGTTGACTATTACTTATCAAATCTTGCTCTATAATCTGGTTTGATCTTGTAGTCCAAATAATTTTGTACCATGATGTATCCGTAATAATAATCATGAGTAAAACCAAAATACTTGTACAAAGGCAGGTTTTGATTCTTTCGTAAAAACTATGTTAAATAAGGACCAAAATAACAAAAATACCTCAATTTAATAAACAATTGGCCAAAATAATTTGACAAAAATTAAAGATATTTTTGTCATCTTATTTTTATTTAATAGAAATTTTTCACAAAATGATATATCTACGGTGAGTTATCCCAATCTGGGGTTAAAAGCCTTATATGAATGACATTAAACAGGGGTAAGACTTTGCTATGTTTTTCAATTGCCAAAAAGGGAGAATTATTATATTTATTGGAAATAATAAATAAAGTACATAGCTGGAATGTGCTGACTAATTGCCTTCTTCTCACTTTAGTCAAAATAAAATGAAGGCGAATGTCATGGCACTTATTAGAAGCGGAATAGTATAATGGCATAGCCATGTGAGGCCACAACAATTCGACCTCTCTGTCATTCAAAATTCAACCCCGCCTAATCATTTTTATCTTGTTTGTTTTAGATAAGGAATTGTTATTAGCATTCTAAAATTTTATTCTACACTCTCACACTTGTATTTTTCTTTTTAATTATATAAAGTCTGAAATGTCAAATGAAATTTTTAGAATGCTAATAACAATTCCGTTTAGATATTGTTTCTTAGTAAATAATAGCTTTAATAGATTAGATAACTCATTGTTACAAAGAGGAAAGTCAATGGGAATTGAATCCGTATGATGATGTATAGATATAATTGTTTTTTACACTTCGTGAAAGCAGTTATTTACTTTTTAGATATTGTTGATATGTGTTCAATTTTTAATTGGTTAGTATTTAATACAGCGCTTGTTCACTTTACAAAATAAATTTATGAATGAACCCGTTTATAGTCTCCGGATCCCTTCTCAAAAACTGAACACCTTCCACCAGCTCATCACTATTTTTTGAAGCATTTGCCAGCAGCTTTGCTTCTCTTCCATCTCAATTTTCTTTGAGTCAAATTACTCATGATCATTAAAAATTAAAAGAAATAAGTTTTTTGTTAGGGAAAACCAAGACATGCATGCATATTGTAGGAGCACCTCTTGATGATTAGAAGTTTAAATTATAGTGTGTAATTTTCACACTTTAACAACAATAAAATTTACAATCGACATTTAAGACAAGATACGTCTATAAGACTCGATTTGTACATGAATAACACTAACATAAAATGATAGTTTTTCAAAGTTATCTAATAATTAACACAAACATGACAACTATAAATGGGTAAATCCAAACACACACAATGCGAGATGACTAACAACACCGTAGTCATGACAACCGATCCAACCCTATGAAAATGACATTGGGGTTTTTACTTCCTTGCTGGAAGCGATTTTAGAGAAAATATGTTTCTGATTCTAAAAGTACTTGAAGTGTTTCTTGCAAGAAGCATCAGTTATGTGCTTTTTGGAACCAGTTATTTCCTTTTTGCAGGAATCACTTTAAATGTTTTTTTAGGATTAACTTGTATTTCTATTAAGAGTCGTTTCAAAAGCATATCCACAAAATGCTTTTAGATATTTTAAAAGTACTTTCATGCAAGTCCACAATATACTTGTCGCATTTTCTAACACAACTTATAAGGCATCGTTAGAATTATAGTACAATTTTGACCTGGGTTCTTTTGAACTGAAAGCTTAAAACAAAGACTGGTTTATGATGCACACTATCAAAGACCTAATGGGAAGCTTCCTTCAGGGTTTAGACAAATAGTGGGATATTCATCCTAATTAAAATTAATTAAACATGAAATAATCGCCGGCAAATCCACTAATTATTGCAGACGTTAAAGGATGTGACATTCGACCAAGTAGTGCTGCTCATTTTTTTGGAATTGACTTGAGAGGCGGAGGGCGAAACGTCCGCCTCCGCCTGCCCGCAATTTGTGCTGCTACCTCTGCTGCAACGCCACACGCACGAATATCAGACCAGTTCTTCCTGCCACGGTCCATGCATTGATATATATGGACAACTAGGGTTTTGCATGCCACTTGGCATCTCATTTTTCGACCGTTCAAGTTGATTCCATGGTTTGAAATTAATCATAGCATATAGGTTTTCGGATAATAATCTTGTAATGTACAAGAATTGACAGTAGGTGAATCTTTCAAAATGTACTGAAAATCTACCTGAAATGCAACTCAAAACATACTGAAAACTTATAGTTTCAGTACGTAAAACATTTCATCGTATTCACAAAAAAAAATTCGACTCTTAACTTTTTATGTTTTAAGAGATATTTTACTTGAAACTAATCTAATGGGAAAAAATAAGTCGCATATGAGGAAGGAGTACATCCGTGTCTGCGAGTTCAACTCTCGACTCTTATAGTATTATGGCAAGAAAAACATATTCTCGAAGAGAATATAAAATGCAGATCAATACTTCAAATTAGAATTCAACTGTTCCAGTTGGCCAGGCCATCCCTCTTTTGTGTGGGAAGCATTGTCAACTTCGTTGAATGTTGGGTTTGGCTGTTGGTGTCCCAGCTGGTGTGGCTTTACTTAGAGTAACAGATTCCCCTATATGCCATATATAAAAGAATTAAAATTTCAAATCAGATCAATTAGGATCACCTAATCCTTGACTAATTCACAACTTATTGCCTTCTTTTATGGTGTCTGGGCAACGTTATTGATATGGTTAATTTGTACAACTCACTTTCACATTGGTATTCTCTGTGCCTTGAGCCATATATAATTCGTTGTAATCTTTGTTAAAATATAAAGGGAAAAGAAATTAGAAATATTACATTATTGCACATTTGCCTTGAATCTTGATTCTATAAAAATAGGTTATGTGCAAAAAGTTGAGGTCATGTCATAAAATTAAGTGACAATATGAAAAGTAATTCAACCTCTTATAAGTTTTTGGAAGGTTTTTCCTTTTAACGATGTTAAACTCTTTTACTTTCATATCCTTACACGCCTCTTCATGTGTGACAAATTTCCAAACCAAACACGTAGACAACACAAATTGGATGACATAGAGCATGTATAGCCATTGAGCTTCACATCTGGACCAACTTGCTTTACTACAATGAAAAAAGTTGAAACACAAATCTTTTTATTTTATTTTATTTTATTTTTATATATATCAGAAACAACTTCATTGAAACAGCAAGACCATACAAAAGAGATAAGGCACGGAAGCTTAGTCCCAAGATGGACCAACAAAATTTTGGGAGCAAAAGGACCCTAGAAAAGGATAAGAAGACTTGGAGAAGAAACTCTAGTCGCCAAAACCACGGAACCTAATGCCCCTTAACCTCCCTAAGGAGGACAGGGAAGACCATCAATGGATAAGATATGCACAAGAGTGGATGGGGGCCTAGAAATTCAGACTTCCGCACACATCCCTTTTAAATTATGCAAGGCAACCCAAGCAACTGTTGAATTCTAATTAGTAATATGGGGAGTAATAGTCAGTCTCTTATAGGCAATTGTAAGGTTTTTCCTTTTACCGATGTTGGATACTTTTACCTTTATATCCTTACACCCCCCAAAATTACTTCTTTCACCGATACGAAACTCGTTCACCTTCGCATTATAGACACTCATTTTAGTTACAAAGATATATATTATATGATACTGCAATATTTTTACTTGATGCCATTATTTCACGTACTATATATATTATTTAAGGGAACGATATGAGTTTATACTTTAAATTAATCATGTATATCTAGGAGTTTTCGAATAGAAGAACAAAAGAGAATACTGAAATTATGAGTGATTGAGTGTTGATATTATGTTCAAATCCTACTTATCACTTTATACCTATCACCTAATAATCAAAAACCCTAATATGATTAAGATTGATGATACGATACTTTTCACTTTTTGCTTTTCATGATGAATCATAATTACACAGTTTAAGTTCTTAATCATATATTTTGCTGACGTAAACCTAAGATCAACCACTCCCTCTATTTTATTTGCATGCACTAGTTAGTAGTTCCTCCTTGCACAAGATAATTAGGTTAAAAATGATGGAAAGTAACACTTAGCACCTGTGACAAGGGAAGCAGCTGCAAATATCAAAAAGTTCATACCAAACCAGTAGTTTTCTCTCTGAGGCGCATGCATCTCTCTTGTTCCTTTCTCGCTTGGAATTTCAAGACTTCGGACTTCTGTCTGGAAGCTTGTTAAGGCTCGATACGCTAACAGAATCAATCCCACCTTACCAAAATTGCCCTAATATATTATCAGGGGGTGGTGCTACACACACATTTATTTTTACCTCTCAGTGCTCTCACACATCTTCTTCAACTTCCGGCTAGTCTCGAATGAATTGAAGAAAATCAAAATACAGAAATTAAAAGTGAGTGTGAACGGTAAAAATGAGTATATGGATAATACCATTATATTTTCAACTACTTTCTCTCTCTTAAAGTAATGAAAGTTTGGTTTGTTGAAACTTATGACATTCCCAAAGAAAAAAGTTCAGTGTGGTAGATTGTTTCTTTGTTGAATCTTACGATCGGATCCTTTCCTCCATATGACCTGCTATCAAATATAAGCTTTTCCTACACTATAGTTGCAAGTCTATTGTTGTGTTTTGGAATTAGGGGAAGCGAAGCTTCTACTTGCCACCATTCCTATTCCTAGAATTTTTGAGTGTTTCACACGGGGTGAATTTTTCCATCACAAGCCTTAATGTTCTCTTGATTTTTTTGAATAAATAGTGTTATTCTTTTAAAAAAATGAATTGTTATTGATATTTCAAAATTCTCATTTTACATTCTAAATTTTATATATTTAAAAAAAATACACTTATGAAGAGTGTAAAATGAATTTTTTAAGTGCCGATAATAGTTTCCAACGAAATTTACAGCACCTCAAAGTTCTATTAAGTCTTGATTCGATTCTTAGTGAAGCAACTAGCTGATATTTGAAAAAAAAAAAAAAGTTCTATACAAATTACAAATTTCATGAATTGAATTGCAAAATGGGAACAAATTGCTAAATACCCTACAACCCCAAAATCTAGTATTTAGACACGTTTTTTTGTGGATTATGACATACAAGGTTATAGATGAAAACTCTCCAAATTGGATAATAACATCATCACCCTTCCCAATTATATAATACCTTTTTTTTTCTTTTTTTCATTTTTTCCATATGTGAATAATATCATGGATAATTTCAAGGTGTTCATACTTGGTACAAATGTAATCGAAAATGTTTAACAAACAATTATACAAATATTTAATTGAAAAATATACTCAGACAACCAATTTTTTCTTCTTTCAAAAATGGACTTTTACACACACGAAATAAATATTGTGGAAATTAATTTGGACCCATAAAACACGAATATCGTGCAGGAACGACTAAGAAAAACGAAAAAAAATAATAAAATTAAGAAATAAAAAAACAGAAGCCGTCCCATCCTATTTAACCACCAACCAAAACAGAAGAGTATAATCCCAGCCGAGTAATAGACGGAGAAACGCGCGGGCCAATCGTGTAGGCCCCACTCCTTAAGACCCCACAAGACGAGACTAAGCTCCCCACTCGGTGTCTCTCTCTCTCTCTCTCTCTCCTCCCAGCTTAGTAACAGCAAAGCACAGACGAAGACGATGATCTCTCTCTCTCTCCTAACCATGTTACTGAGGATTTATTTTGCTAAATTTATGAAATATTAAAATTTTAAAAAAGCAGAAGGAAAAAAAAGCAACAAAAATACCTTCCTTTAATTCCCGCAACCAAAAAAGCAAACGCTATCTGCTGTGTTTGTCTCCCTCCCTCTCGCTCTGCTTTCTCCATTAAAACCATTCAACATTCTCTCTCTCTACTTTTTTAGAGAGAGAAAAGATCGAAGCTTTTCACTCGCCGGAGCCAGAAAGGACTATTTCTCAGCTACCCATTTTCTTAAATTTTGCTTTTGATAAGTGCCCATTTCATTAGATTCGTTTGATTTACACAATGTCGGCTCCGGCGCCGTCGACCAACACAACCTCGCCGCCACCGCCCACAGCTCCGGCGCCTTCTGCGCCTACGCCGCCATCCCCCACCGCACCGCCTCCTTCGACTCCTAGCGCACCGCCACCAGCGACCCCGAGCGCGCCACCACCAGCCACTTCGTCGTCACCACCACCGTCGTCGACCACACCCACACCACCATCGACGACTCCACCTCCGGCCTCTTCTACATCCCCGCCGCCGCCGAAATCAACCACCCCATCTCCTCCTCCGCCGAAATCAACCACCCCGTCTCCTCCGCCGCCGACTTCTTCGGGTTCTACGCCTTCTACCCCCTCAAAGAGTCCTCCGCCTCCGCCAAAATCGTCTTCGTCGCCGTCACCGCCATCTTCAGGCTTGGAGTCGGGGGTTATAATCGGGATTGCCATTGGAGCTGTGGTGATCTTAGTGGTGCTGAGTCTTTGCTGCATTTTTTGCAGTAAGAAGAAGAAAAGGAGAAGAAGAGATGAAGAGTATTATATGCCTCCGCCGCCGCCTCCTGGCCCCAAAGGTATCGACTTTCCTTTGTTTCTTTACATTTTCGATCTGGGTTTCTTTAATTGAGTTTAAATTTGATTTCATTTGGAACGTTTTGATTGCTCTGCATGTACAATTTAATGGCAACGATATTTTCGGGTTTTTGAAGTTCGATTGAGTGAAAACTAAAAACAAAATGGTTATCAAACGGACATTTAGCGCAGCGGTCTTTGACTAAGATTCTTTGGGATTTTGGATCTGGTCATTGTATTAGAAAATGCTCTTCAGCATTTCTCCCTCCACGGTTCTCATTGATTTGCATTGTTGTCGATTTTTATCGTTCAATGTCTGAATTCGTGACATCTCCGTGTCTGATTTTATGAACTAGTATGAAGTACTGGTGAATCTGGTAAAGCATGATGTGTTCAGGGGTTATGATTGTGCATATTACGTTACTGTATTGTGTTAAGCATCATGTAGAAACATTTCCAGCCTGTAATACTCTGACTTGAGTTATGAATTTTAGTCTCAAATTTTTTAATATATTGTGTTCTTTTTATCTTTTGTGGTTTGTCTTGTTGTTTTTGTTTCTGTCACTCATTAATTTATTCGAGTTTGAAAGAATGTGTTTCTGAGGAAGTTTAACTTTGGTTGCCGGTGACTCCTCCATGTATTGCATTGAATTATCCAGCTGGAATTGAATACTGATTTCTGCGTGTTTGTTGGTATTTTCCAGTTGACCCATACGGTGGTCCGCCACATCAGTGGCAACAACATGCTCCTCCGCCTGGAAATCATGCAGTCAAAATGATGCCGAAGCCATCTCCGCCACCACCAGTAGCATCACGGCCACCACACTCACCACAATATAAGCCAAATCCGGTGGCACCACCACCACCTTTCACAAACAGCAGTGGAGGTTCTGGTTCCAATTATTCAGGGGGTGATCTACCCTCACCACCACCTCCACCAGCCTATTCCTTGGGGTTCGCTAAAAGCACATTCACATATGAGGAACTAGCGTTGGCAACTGAAGGCTTCTCGGATTCCAATCTTCTTGGTCAAGGTGGATTTGGATACGTACACAAAGGAGTCCTTCCGAATGGGAAGGAAGTAGCAATCAAGCAGCTGAAAGCTGGAAGTGGGCAAGGGGAGCGTGAATTCCAGGCAGAAGTTGAAATTATTAGCCGTGTGCATCACAGGCATCTTGTTTCACTGGTTGGATATTGCATGACTGGATCTGAGAGACTACTGGTTTATGAGTTTGTTCCCAATAATACTATGGAGTTTCACTTACATGGTAAGTTTGATTTTGCATCACATAATATTGAATTGATGATTAGAAACACCTTTATAGTCAAAAGTAAAGACAGTGAATTTATAATGTCTTTGTAGTTGATAGACCGTTGCTTGATTGTTTTATGCTGAACTCTCATTAATGTGTCAATAGGATTCAAGTTATGAGTAGATGATATTTATCATTGTGATGTTGGTCCGTACAGCTTACAAGGATCTGATAGAATATACGTATTGCAGGGAAGGGACGACCTACCATGGATTGGTCAACCAGACTAAAAATTGCTTTAGGGTCTGCAAAAGGACTAGCCTATCTTCACGAGGATTGTAAGTTATCCGAGTCTGTGCAGACGCACAAGGCACTTGACAAAGAATTAATTTGAATTGGTCCTTGACATCGGAACTTTAGATTTTACATTTTAATAATCTGTACGTGTTATGCAGGTCATCCAAAAATTATTCATCGTGATATTAAAGCCGCTAATATACTTTTGGATTTCAAGTTTGAGGCAAAGGTATGGACTGCATAAATTTCTTATGGCTTTTTCAATATTTACAATTCTTAAAATAAAAGTTAAACTTACTGAATGGCAAGTCGTTGCCTGCCTGAGTTTTGTTCTGGTTGATATAAGGGACCAGCTATTTCTGTGCCCTGTCAATTTGGCGGTTAAGTTAATCTCAGTCAAAATATATTGGGTGTGATCATGTCAAGGAGTTTTTAGTTTTCTATATCTGAGATTCACCGTCTTCGGCTCAGGTTGCGGATTTTGGACTTGCCAAGCTTTCATCTGATCTTAATACTCATGTTTCCACCCGAGTGATGGGAACTTTTGGGTAAGAGTTGTGAAACCCACTCCTATCATATTATAATTTCCAATGGACTTAGTTATCTTAATGATTTCAGTTTAAGATTGACCCAAAGTTTGACCATCATTTTATCAAGATTGAGTTCTCGAGATTGTAGTAAACGTTATTTGGTGTCATGACCGGATTTCATCTTAGTTTAGCTTGTCTAGATCTATCACCACATATTCAAGTTGCCTTGCTAGATGTATATTTACCTATCATTCATGTTCTTACATGCTCGCTACCTTCAGGTATCTGGCTCCGGAATATGCTTCAAGTGGAAAACTCACAGATAAGTCAGATGTTTTCTCCTTTGGGGTTATGCTTTTGGAGTTGATTACTGGACGTCGGCCTGTTGATGCATCTCAAACTTACGTGGAGGATAGTTTGGTTGAATGGGTGAGTAATAAGTCACTTTGTCTGTGAACAATGTGCATTGCGGTTGGTGTTTTTAGAGAATGATGACTAATGAGCATGTTCTGGCATTGTAGGCAAGGCCTGTGCTAACTCGAGCTTTGGAAGAAAGAAACTTTGATGGACTAGTAGATCCTAAGCTTCAGAATAGTTATGATCCCAACGAGATGGCTCGTATGGTTGCTTGTGCTGCAGCTTGCATACGTCATTCTGCACGGCGTCGACCACGAATGAGTCAGGTAAATTTTCTTCAGTAAGAGCTTAGTCTTTCATGTTCCACGAATGAATCTTCTAGATGTCATAGGTTGTGGTTGATCTGTCTCCATTGGACAAGCAAGATTTTCAAGATCTACCAGGGTTCTGTAACGCGTCTTCTGACCATATTTACTCAATACACACAGGTTGTCCGTGCTTTAGAGGGAGATGTGTCTCTGTCCGACCTCAACGAAGGAATCCAGCCTGGACAGAGCAATGTCTACAGTTCTTACGGGAGCTCGGACTATGACTCAAGCCAATACAAAGAGGACATGAAAAAGTTCAGAAAGATGGCATTGGGAAGCCAGGAGTACGGTGCTAGCAGCGAGTATAGCGCGCCTACCAGTGAATACGGTTTGTACCCATCCGGCTCAAGCAGCGGGGAAGGCCAAAGCCGCCAAACCACCCGAGAAATGGAATTGGGAAGGATAAAGAAAAACAATCGCGGTTTTAGCAGTGGAACCTCTTAAACACAGCCAATGCACCAGTTTTTTTCCTGTAAAAATTCCTCCCCCCCCTCCCCATATTCTTAACACTTATATCACATCGGTTTCAAGAACGGCTTGTTTGTGAACCAGTTCGATCTATTTTTTCCCCTCCATTTGACTTATTCGAATTATCGGTTTTTATAGTGTATTTAGCAGTGTTTATACGACAGCTGACAAAGATTGTTATCCAATTCTTTTTATCTATGCTTAATCTTTCTTCTTTCACATGTTTCCAAATATCTAACGATTTCTTAGCATTACAATTTTGCCATGTGTTGAGAGTTGTCTCACATCGGTGAGTGACAAAGTTTTCTATATGCTTATATAGTCTTGAGTTACTCCTTATTTTACCAATTGGTTTTACGGTGGAACCTCAATTTCATTATGGTATTTGTCTTCGTGTGAAGTCAAACAGCCACACGCATTCCACGTCACCCGTTGTTGTCCACGTGTAGGCTTGAAAATCCGCCACACGTGTGGCAGGGGCATGTTGAGAGTTATCCCACATAGGTGAGGGACAAAGTTTGGGTTACTTCTCATATTGAGTTATCCCACATCGATGAGGGACAAAGTTTGTTATGTGCTCCACATCACCTAGTTGTTGTCCACGTGTAGGCTTGAAAATCCGCCACACATGCAGCAGGGGCATGTATGTGGGACAAAGTTTGTTATGCGCTTATATGGTCTTGGGTTACTTCTCATATTGAACAAAGTTTGTTATGCGCTTATATGGTCTTGGGTTACTTCTCATATTGAGTTATCTCACATCGGTAAGGGACAAAGTTTGTTATGTGCTTATGTGGTATTGGGTTACTCCTCATATTGCCAATTGGTTTTATGATGAAACCATGCACAAATTATGTCAAGTTGTGCTGGTTGCCAATTTTTCTTCGGTGTCAATAGAAACTCAATGTCAAACATGTTTGACTCTTGAATTAGATTCAAGTCCTCAGTCACTCAGTTTTGCTGAATCAAATTCCAGTAATCAAATATGTATCGATACGTTGAGTGGGTTTAGTTACTCAAGAAAGACAGTTTTGCTGAATCAAATTCAATAGTTAGATGTGTGTCTGATACGTAAGGTGGGTGTAGTTGCTCAAGAAAAATGGGGACCAAGAAAACCTTGGGAATTCGTGCAAGCTTTTGAATGATGGGTTTGGTTTGCTGGATGGCATTAAAAGCCAAGTCAATTTAACCTGAAACGCTAACCCTTAACCCTAGTGGAATCTCGCAGCCCACATGTGGAATATAAGGAATTGAATCCGTTCCGGATCTTAGTATTTGGAATCTAAGGATCAAATTATCTAGATCGTTAATTGATGTGTAAAAGAAATCAGAGTTATTAATTTTATGTAATGAGCCACAAAAATAAGTTAACAAAAATCGTTGGATTGAATTTATACAATCAATAAAAATATAAAATATTGATCTAATTTAACCGTGAAAACATAACATGACACGATGAAGCTGTCCTACTCGAGAGTCCACCGCCACCCATGCTTGTTCGCTGTGCGTGTGCTGTATTTGCACATGCCTACCTACTTATTTTATACCCTCCCATGTGCCCTACCACTCTGGTGGGGACTGGCTACCGGCTAGGTTGTAGGGAAGGGACCTTCCTAAAGTACATGGAAATGGACAAGCAATGTCTGCCATTTCGTTTTTGATGCCCATCCGTGTTTTTTTATTTGTGTGGTTATAATTAAGTCATGTCAATATTTTATATTACTATTTATCTTTGTTCTATTATTTACGTCAATATTTTATATTATTATTTATCTTTGTCTTGTTATCTCTATAAAAAACAATATAAAACATTGATGTGGCTTAATTGTGACCACACAAAACAGGAAGTCATGGAAGGGCAGACAATCCTTGTCCCATGGAAATTCACCTTAAAAAAAAAAAAAACAAAGTACATGGAAATTTTGAATGACAAACCAGATGAACTCTCGAGTAGGACAGCTTCATCGTGTCATGTTATTTGTATAATAAGACGTAGTTTTTAGTAGTATTATTTGTATAATAAATATTTGTCACGTTTTTATTAAATGTACCACTTGTTCAATAAATATATGTGCCACATAATGTCTTCAGTTCTGAGTTTATCTCGTATAGAAGAGATTTTGGTGTTATATATGTGACTGCACAGACAGGTGGTCCAAAGGTCACGTTATGTTATCCCTATTTGAAGAGGAGCTTTCACAAGTTTGGGGTTGGTGTGACCCAAATGCAAAGATATCCCACTTGTTTGCGCGAAATAACCTTCATACGACGCGGTCAAACAATCTTGCTGAAGGTTTTCTCGAACAACATAATATACACGAATCCGAATACGGTCTGACATTGGGAAAAGTGCATTCCCCTAAAACGTTAAAATATCGGAAAATAGTTGCTTGCAGTTCGTTTGCGGTTCATAATATCGACAAGAAAGGTTATCAAAATTCTTGCCTAATACTCATGATTAGCATAAATACATATAGATTAAAGAAAATCAAAATTTGTTTGTACCAAATTCCTTACAACCACCAAACCTTATGGGTTGGGCAGTATAAATCCTAGAATGCCATTGCGTTCGGTTTTGCGCTAGCTCGAAGAATCTTATATTAGCGAATTCACGTTACCAAAAAAAAAAAAAAAAAAATCATCTGGAACTACAAATTAGAATACCGACCAGAACCAGATCCTTTCCTTCGCCACCAGCGCTTCTGTCGGATTCGCCAAAAGCTCAAAAATGCCAAAAGACCTACAAGTAGTAGCCAAGCAATTCACAAGTAAATGACGATCCGAAAAACCAGTATGATTGCAGGAACAAACCAATGAGTAGAACTAAATGATCACTTACCAATTGCAAGAATGATTGCAGGAACATACCAATGAGTAGGAACTAACACAGGCATGTCAAGCTGCAGGAAGGATTACAGGAATCTCTCAGCGTCATGTAACCATGTTATAGTATGATAGTGACAGTAAATGGAATAGCGGAAAATATCGTTTTCTAACCATTCTGGCTTACCTCGTCCCCATAGAACAGGCCCAAGTATCCCAAAGGATCACTTCTATTTTCCACAGTCAACTGGGTGTGCTTCAAATTTGAAGTATCGGCTGTAGAATTTAAACCTCTATCCAAGTCAACCACAGAATAGCCCGGTAATCTTCTGTTTGTTCCCCTGACCTGTGAACTGTAACCTTTAGTCCCCCAGATTTCAAATACAGAGTCACTCCCACACATCAATTCCCTTCCCATAACAGCAGAATATGTAGAAAAATTCACGTCAGTTCTACGAGACGGTAATTGGTTGTCTTCTATATGTAAAGGTGAATTTTGTTTAACCGAGTTTGAGAAAAGCACGGGATCCTTGATGTTTCCACCCGTGAAATCTAATATTTTCCTCAAGAGCCAATAACAATTTGTCACCATATGACTGCTGTCCAGACAGTTAGAATCTCCATAGACTACAACACGACCTTCACCCGCCTCCACAAGACCAAGAATGGGAGAATCTGCCTACATTTATCAACGGGCATCATCATCATATCACATGAATCATGATTGAGTTTGATTATGAAAAAAAGAAAGCAGAAAAGTGAATAAGTAGCCTTTGAGCTCACCGTGGTCATCTCAGGAGTCCGAAGTACATTTTGAGTGGCCCCGCTCTCAGAGCTATCAACTAAAGGGAACTTGTGCAAATAACCAACGCGTGGAAACCTCACAATATCCGTTCCAGATGCATATCGACTATGCTCACCATTAATAGAAAAAACACCATTCAGAATCTTATCTCCAAATGCAATCCCAAATGGAGCTAAAAGGTCATTCAATGCTGGAATATTTGCGCCACCAGTGACTGGAGTCCACCAGCTCCATGTGTTATCATCAAAGAATCTCATCTTCACCATTGTGTCCACATTATACCATTCAGAAAACACCGCTAGTCCCAGTCCAGAATTAAGAACATCATCTCGAAGCTTTTCAATCTCCTCCTGGAAGTACTCTTCTTCAAGATCTACAAGAAGAAGTGTCCCATACCGGAGAGCATCAAAGCAAGTAAATGGCGAACCAAGTGTTTCGACATAATACCCAGCGTCTCGTAACATGTTGAACAACGGAAATTGGCCGTTGATATAGATCCAAACCGTTCATTTCTTTCCATTCGTTAGTATCTTTATTACTATTACCAAATCAAATGACCGTAAAAGGATGAATTCTCTCTTTCGAATCATTAAATCCCATAAAGGATAAATTAACTAATGTGAAAATTCGTATGCAGGTGATCCCCATGCCAGTCAAGAATATCATTACGGACATACAAAGAATCTCTAGGGATATAACCTGGAGGGTATTTAATATTGTGAAACTGATCCCACAAAACTCGTTTCGATCTTGGTGGAGTTGGGACAATTTTCAATTTCAACTGAAGCACACAAGTACTCATCCGATGATCCATCTCTCCTAGAGCTGGAGGACTGTATACCCTAAGAGTAACATTGCCTCCTATCTCTCCAGAAAATTGTGCCCCTTCATCCTTAATTTGCATGTGAAGTGCTAAATAACCAGTCCAAGGCCAAATAACTTCAGAATAAGTAAAGTGAATGCTTAGAAGATTCCCTACATCATCTGAAGGATGCATGTCGGTGGACTTTCAACGTAGCCTATTACACCCATCCCATTTAGAATGGTAGTATTAAAGATAACAGGCATGGCACCTGCATAAAGGGGCTGACGACAGAAGGGCCAAGAGTAAGGGCAATCTGTATAATCGAGAGTGCTAGGAAAGATGCTGGCACGAGGTTGGTAACTCTTGAGGATTTCATATGATTCTAACCTGACCAAAAAGTCAAAAATTAAAACTAAAAACCATAAATGCCAATGCTGGAACAGCTGGACTTTAAGGCAAAAACCAAGGGGCCTACAAATCAGGAGTACTTACAGATCAACCCTGCCTGCACCCTGCTCATACATATTTGGACCAGAAAGCTTCGCAGCACCCTGAACGAGTGCTTGTTTCATGCTTGCTGGATTTAAAATATCCTTCCTAATGCTCACAGGGATAACACTGACAAGAAGACACACCATACCAGCAACCACAGGACTTGCCACACTTGTGCCTGATAAGCTTTTACAGCCTTTACTGATCTCGGATCCCATGATGTCCCGTCCATATGCAACAACATCTGGCTTCACTTCACCCGACCATAACTGTATGGAGAAAACTCAAATAGTTCATGATTTGCACATTCAATGTTATAACAAAGATAGATTGTACCGCTAAAAGAATAACAAATGATCGGATATATCTCAAGATCAGTTAAAAACCTCCAGAAGGGAAAAAAACTAAAGCAATCACAATAAGCAGTACGAAAGAAAAGATATTAGATTACCCATGAGGCATCTCCCATGTACTCATGTCACGTGACGAGAAAGAAGCAATGTGATCACTGTAGTCAATGCCACCGACGCCAATGAGATCACTGTGGTCTGCTGGATTGTTTAGAGTGCCGTAAAGTGGTCCATCATTTCCAATTGCCGAAACCATAATTATGTTGTTTGCAGTTATTTCCCAACCCGGTGAGCAAATGAGCAGAACAAAGCTAAGCAAAATATGTTTCATGATTCAAAAGCATAAGTATAATATATGCCCACAATCGTCTGAGTGCAATCGCTGATGGAGATCCAAAGCCACCACACTAAGGTTCTTTACGCAATATGGAAAACTACCTTCTCTACAAATGGGAGGTCCAAATAATCAGGTCCACCAATACTCAGATTTAGCACATCCATATTGGTTGCAATTGCATAGTTGAAAGCGTCAAGGAACCATGATGTGTATGATACCTGCAATAAGCTGAATACAAGCTTCTCATAATTTTGCAAAATTTGATTTTAGCCAAATGAAACACCATGAAGCCAAGTATTTCAAATAACACGTTGACTTATATATCATAGGCCGATACAAAGTTTCCGAAATCTAGCCTCCGTTCCTTTCTTCCAAAAACGAGATCAAATATAGTAATATTTGTGAATCAACAATGCATATATGTGCAACAAAAAAACACACTTCACCCACTTATGGGATAGAACGTGAAATATGAATGTAACTTTGTGTTTTTCCCTTGGTATGCTATTTTATTCTAGTCATAATGTCACGTCAATAATTCTTCAAATGTCCGATGTTGTTACCTGTGCATCTGTGAACACACGAAAAGCATAAATCTCTGTGTCAGGAGCAAAACCAAGACACTCTGCATCTACACCAGCAATAACACCAGCAACAAATGTCCCATGCCCAAGGTTGTCATTTAAAGTATCTTTATTTGTCCAGTTTGTGCGCTCCTGCATAATTGTTCAAACTTTAAAACCAGTATTGCACTGAGAATTTTTTTTCGAATCAAACAAATATGTATTAAGGTAAGTAATGCCAATTAACCGACTGCAAAAAACACACAAGGGAAAAAAACTCCAACCTTTTTTCCATAATAAATTACCTTGATATTACGAAAATGCGGGTGATTAGCTCGAATTCCAGTGTCAAAGAAGGCCATTTTGACATTTACACCAGTATAACCTTTTTCCCAAAGGGACTCAGCCCCAAACACAAGGGAATCAAGAATAAACACAAGGGAAATATTCAAGAATCAAAACAGCCGATTTTTGAGACACAAAAAATGGCTTCTCCAGGTCAATATACATAAGTATCAGTGAGAAAAACAAAATGCTGCATTCAATATTCCTTCGATTATCGAGTTAGAAATCGTAATGTGATTTTGGTAGTTTAAGAAATTGGCGCTCTGCATTATAAGCTTCCACTGCAACACCATACAAAACAAAAACAGACCACAACGCCATTTTGTTTTCGGAATCATTAACACCCCCGAAAACTGAATTATGAAAAACTTGTAACTTACTCAACCTAATAAGATAAACGACCGTTAACAACATAAAAGTACCAACTTCCAAGTTTCTTACTTTTCCCAAAACTTCACACAAAAGCACCAAAAACCCACCTGAGACATGAGCTGCCTTCTCCAGCTAATCGAAGAATTGCTTGTGGCGGAGTAAAATGCATTGCCGCCGGCTTCACTGAACGACATCCCCGTCAAGATCTTCCCTGGCCGCTTCTTCCCATCGACAAAAGCCCCAACTCTGTCCCTTTTCCCCTCAGCAAGCAAACCCCTTCCATACCTCAGATCCGCATTCACATCCTTCACCATTCCCAACCTCCCCATTTCCGAAAATAGCCTTTCTTTCGCCGAGTCTTCTATCCAAACCAACCCGAAATCCGTCGGATACTTCTTCGCTGGGTTGTTCCTCTCGATCCAATCCCACCCATCGGATCGCACACACGATTTTAAATACTCTCGGAACTCCTCCGCCCTCCTGTACTCCACAAATCGAACGACGTACCTTTGGCGGTTGGCCTGGGGACGCGACGAATTTGGGGGAAGGTTTCGGTTTAGGGTTGGGGAATTTTGGGGTCTGAAATGGAGGAGAGAGATGGAGATGGAAACTGAAATGGAGATGACGACGAAGAGAAGAGAGAGCGATGACGTGGTGGCGCGAGGAGGAGGAGCGGTCATGGCGACGGCGGCGCTATAGAGATTGGCGGAGCTGAGGATTCATTGATTTGGCGGGAAAACTCTCGCATCGGAGAGAGAGAATTCGGGTCGCTCCAGAGAATATCTGTTAATCGTCAGTTATAACTTGTCTCTTATTCTTCTGCGTCTTTTCACCACGTACGTAAATAATAAAATAATACAGATTTTGTGCAGCAATCATTTTTTATTCATATCTGGTCATCAATTCTTTCTTTTAGTAGAATGGCCCATCAAATTTTTCTTTTTTGTAGAATGGCCCTTGACTTTTGGTTCTTATTGTTGCTCAGTAGCTCAGTTAGTTCGCGTGGTTTCAATTGTAACGATTTTATTCTTTTATTCTTGTATTATGGTATTTCGCTTGTAATTCAAGGACACATACATCCAAATTCTTGTCTTAAACACATTCAAGGGTACTAAAGAATCTTTGAAATATTTATTTATCTGTTTCTCCTATCAATTTTCACATTATATTGGATTTGAGGACTGTGATTTATCTAAAATTCAGCTTCAGTTCTTTAGAAGTTTGAATAAATATTTATTGAAATTTAATAATAAAAAATTGCAATTTTAAACAAACAGTAGTTCCAATTGAGCCTAATGTAAATATCTCAAAAAGACATAAGTATCTCTACGATGTGTGGTGATTCCGTCAATCAATTGGATAAATTTTTTTGATGTGGTCTAGAATTGTAAGGGTACCAAATTACAAGGGTAAAATCACTAGAATTGAAAACCACATAGAGTAAATTGGAAAACGGGAAAATGACAAGGACGAAAGTAAATTTGGCCTTATTTTTGTTTTAAATTGTTTGCTTGAACGCTGCGTTTCGACGACGGCGGCTCTGTATAAGATCATCTCCAACCGAAGGGTCCAGAGGATCAAAAATAGTCCGAAAATCGTCTCCAATCGAGGACTAAGTTAGAGGGCTCATTGGTCCCACGGAATCTAAAAGGGCCAAGAGGTTGGCTGCAGGCTGGCCAGAAATTCAAAAAATCATGTCGGTTATAACCGACAGGAATGCTTAAATTTTTTTTTAATCCAATGGCTAGCTGACTAGCCGTTGTATTCAATTTTTTTTTTTTGATTTTTGGGCCTTTTTTTTTTTTCAAGTTCTTAAAAATTCTAATTTTTTCCTATAAATACCTAAACCATTTATTAAATTTAAGTTCTAATTTTTTTAGATTTTTGGACCAGTTACCGTTGTAATTTTTAAATATAAGTTATAGTTTTTAAATTTAAGTTGTTGTTGGATTTGAATTTAAGTTGTTGAAGTTTTTAAATTTAAATAATACATTATGTTTGAGACTATGATCCTCAGAAGGAGATGAATTTTTATGACAATGCTAAAACGAGCTCTATAACACTCCATTAGGGGCAAAAGCAAATACGATCACGTAGTATTCATTAAAATATTAAAATCTTTTAAAGCCAGAGGCTAAAACGAGCAGAGCAGCTCTCGGTTGGAGATGGCCTAACGCTGCCTCCATCTCCAACGCTATCTGTAAAAAGAGCAAAATCCACTCAAAGCTTGAAGCTTTGTAAATGGCGCGAGCTGTAATCCTACCCTCGCAAACCAGTACCTAAACATTACTTTCCTCCATCCCAAAATACCCCTAACGACATGGTAACTCCCGTTCATGTCCCGCCAAGTTCTCTGCAAGTGCTCGTCCGCCCAAGCAGCACCAGCCTCCGCAGTCGTCGACATGGCCAAGTACAAGGAAGCTTTCGCCAGACGAATGGCCGTGGCGGGACTCAAACCCCACTACCGCATCGGTCTGTTTTCCCTGTTCTCTGCAAATTATTAACTTGCTTTTTTTTCTTTCATTTTACGGGCTTAGTTTCGCTTGTTTTGCTCTCCGGATATCGGGGTCGTTTGGGACTGCTTCTTTTGCATAAGTGCTTCTGCTAGAAGTTCTTTTATAATAAGCATGTATAGAATATTGATAAGAAAGCACTTGACGGTGGCACATAGCAGGTGGTGCTTCCATCTATGACCGAGAAGCGCTTTTAAAAGATTTTGTCAAACGTAGTTCAAAGCGCTTTTGGCCACCCTAAAGCAATTTTGGCCAGTTAAGAAGCAATCCCAGACAGGTCCTTTGATTCTTTGTGGAAAATAAAAAGGGTCCTATTTTACTTGTTTTGTTGCTTTTGATTTTGTAGCTATTGGAGTTTCTGGAGGTCCAGACAGCATGGCCTTATGCGTTTTATCTGCCCACTGGAAAGCTCAAGACTTTAATGCGAAATGTGACAATGGCGGCTTCGTTGCGGGCTTTTGGCTATAATTGTGGACCATGGGCTGCGCGCTGAGAGCAAAGAGGAGGCCAACACTATCTCCAATCGGGTCTCGAAGATTGGTAATTTTCGGTTGTTGCTGCTGATATCTTGTTTTGGTGCCTTCGGTTTTAAGTAACACAGTGAATTCTGTTTAAGATTTGTGGTAGAAGTAAGATAAGCCAATGTGAAGTTTGTGCAGGACTCAGAAGTTACATTGCCTGCTGTGATTGGCCGGATGGTCACCCAAAACAAGGTCACTTGCAAGAAGCAGCTCGTGACATGAGGTGGCTAATGGTTCATTACATTTGTGGTTTAACTGGATATGGAAAATATTTCATTTGCGATTTTGTTAAAATCGGGGTTTAAATGTCAGGTACGAGATGTTTCAGAACATTTGCATCCAAAACCGGATTGGTGTGTTGCTAATTGCACATCATGCTGACGACCAGGTTTGTCCAGCAATAATTCAAATAATGTTTCTTTCTGTTGCTGTATCCGTATGTGTGTGCGTGTGAGGCATTTACAAGTATCTATCAGCTTATGGTGTAGTGGTTATGGTAGTATTCCTCCTGTACTGATTTCGACTTTCCAGACTTGTTCCAGGCTGAGTTATTTGTTCTCAGACTATCTCGCAATAGCGGTGTTCTTGGACTTGCTGGTATGGCCTTTCACTTCTCAAATTTTCTCTACGTATACCCATTCTTGTGCCAAAGTTTCCAGAAACCATGGTATCCTTATTGTTCGTCCGCTCTTGGATCTAGCGAAAGATGATATGAACAAGGTTAGTGCAATAGAGCTGGGCTAGTTTCTGTTAATTATACATTTTTCTCTGATTTGTATTTTGAACCAATTTGAGTTATTTTCTCACACAATTTTCTGCAGATATGTGAAGGAAGTAATCAGGTCTGGGTGGAAGATCCAACGAATCAAAGCCAGTTATATGCTCGTAACAGAATTCGATTGTCCTTAAGAGACTTAACATGTGAGTTCTAATGAACATATTTTCAATTGTTTCTCCGGGCAAAAGTTGTGTTGCCACTTTTCTTGTTTGCAAACACATGTTCACACTACTAATGTCTTTTCCCTTTCCCCAGGTGCATTCAGGTTGGAGCTACAAGCAGTTATTGCTGCCTGTCGCAAAATACGCAGATACGTTGATCATGTTTGCAGTAATTTGATAGGTAAAGCAGTGACTTTTACGGATGTAAGCATCATTTGATGTTCATAAACTTAACTGTTGTACCTTCTGATAACTGATAACTACTGCAGCCAACTTTTCGTTTGACTATAGTCTAAAGATTTCTGAATATATTTAAGAAATCTACTTGATATTGCTGCCTGCAGCTCGGATATGATGTTATTGATTTAGAGATTCTTAATCAATCAGAAATCGAGGATATATGCATGTCAAAGTTTATTGCCTTGGTTTTGAAGGTACATCGGATATTACCATACAAGTTGTTTGGTGTTATAGTTATAGTTGTAGAAACATATATCTTTTGACAAATGTATGTTCGTGCCATTTTCCAGTTCATCTCACAGAGGAACAGGCCAATTCGAGGTAGCACTTCAAAATTGCTTTTGGATTACATGCGTACTTTACCATGCAAGGTACTGCTTTCTCAACGATACTTACCAACTTGATGTGCATCTCAATTCACGGATGTTCACAAACGATTGTGTGTTATTTAGCACTTAAATCTGAGTTAGCTTTCATGATATGTCTCAACAGCGGTATCTGCTATTAGTTTCATTGAAATATCGTTCTGTTTTACCTATTCTGCAGACCTCCCTGACTGCAGCTGGCTGCTACATTTCACCGGCTCCTTGTTCTAGAGGAATGAAAGCTCTAATTTGTGTTTCTGTCGATAGTCCTCTACCTTTAAAAATGGGATTATCCCGCTTACACTTTCAGGCAGAACAGGAACACAGTACTCTAGATGAGATAGAGCATATTATAGCAGATAGCAAATCGTATGCAGATTCTTTGGTTCCAAATGCATCAGATGTGCATTTCTTGGAAGGAACTGCTGAATCAATTCTAACTGGAGCCAGGCAACTCGGTATGATTAGCAAGTCAACCTTTACAAGTACCCTTTTATTGCAGAAGGAAGAGATTAACAATTTCAAGTCTAGTAAAGTCACAGCTGACTACAAGTCACAGCATGGGGTCAAATCTGCTAGTACGTCACGGAGTGAACCACTTCAACCTGGGCAAATATGTTGCTTCATGAACCGATTCTTTATCACATGGGATTTGAGTGAGGAAGTTACTGAAAATGCAACTTCCGAGGAAGCTAATTGTGGTGGGGTTTTGGAGGAAAAAAGTCGCTACTGTTGCAGATCTTGTGTATTTGGTCATGACACGGTAGTTGAGGTGCGCAACATGATTGAACCGGATTGGCTGTATCTTGCCAACTTGTTGAAGTGTCATACTTTGGAAAACTTTCAAGAACATAGACATGCTTTGGATAATGTGGTAGAGCAAACAGAAGAGAAGACGAACAAGTGTTTAGATTATGCAAGGCTCTCAGCACAAAGAGCTCTTGTATCCCTGAGGTCCATCCCTCTTGCTGCACGAAGAGGCCTGCCCGTCCTGGTCAACGGTGAAGGACTACTGCTAAGCATCCCAGTAAGTTTTCGTATATCCCAACTCTGAAAGGGTAGCCTCTTAGTTTTGTTTTCGCATATTTATATGATATTTTGTAGCTGTGTAACCTGTTTCCTAACAAGTAACAATATTTATTTTTCTTTACAGAGCATTGCCTTCGAACACTGCCCACGCTTAGCGATATCTGCAACATTCAAGCCAAAAGTACCACTTGGCGGAGGTCATACTTCGTTCATCTAGTCGCTGTACTTTCCAGTTCAGCGGGACATTGGAGTCGATATATGACCCCCAGCTTCAAGCCCCAATTTTGTACTGCATTTAGATTATGTTGCAACATGTATTTTACCCCAGCAAGCTTCAAACCCCAAATTTCCACTGGGGAAACATTTTGTACGCTAAAAATGTATTTCTTGAGTCAATATATGATGCGTTAATCTACGTATGAAGAACACGAAGAAAAAGGCGGAAAACTGAAAAAATTAAACTGTGTTCTTCATTTCTTTGTAAAAGTGTTATTGAACACATACAACTTGAAAACAATTGCATCACACTCCCATAACCCCAACATCGAAAACCAGCGGTTGGTAGTCCCAGGAGGGCTTATGATGCTTTCTGCCTAAAGCACATACTTTTTCCTCCATTTTGTACTACTCTAAACTGAAGAAGCGAAGGAAAGAACAGAAAATTGGTAGAAGCAGAAGATAATCATAATCTGCCCTGACCTCCTCGTTCCTTAACCGAAGTAAAAGATGTGAACCACTGCTTCCAAGCGGCATCCTTTTGCTGCTCGACCCATGACAAAAAGGCACTGTCCAACAGGCAAAAGATGTTTACATAGAGGAGTTGGTACCTCACAGGAACATATCGGAAATTCGCAATCTGAACAATTGGCCACACACCACCCTCCAACGCAAGGGCTGGTAGGAAATCTCTCTTCAAATCTTCCTTCACCTGAACAGAATTCTTGCCCGTGGAAAATCCCATGTAAGTGAAAAACACCAACAAATCCAAGGGGCCAAAGATAAGGCCATCCATTGCCACTTTAGCAGCAACAAACCGCGCTGACTTGGGTTGTAGGTGAAGTTTCAGCTTTATAAACTTGTCCAAGCCTTCGTACCTACAAACAAGCAATGTTATACCTTTTCCTTTTATTTTCTTATAGCCGGAGGGAAAAGAAACGATTAGGTAAAACAAACCAGAAATGGCCAACTGGTCCAACAAAGGCAAAACCAAATGTGCTTGTGATAGCTACGCGTTTCCAGTTAACTTTGAAGTCTGCGTCTGTATCCTGTTGCATGAAATATATAAATTTTCATCATATGTGCAGAGAAGGTAGTTGATGGACAAAATACTAAACTGCTTAACTACACAGTGACTTGAAGTGAACAAACAGACACCAACAACGACTAGAACTAAAAATCAATCAGGTTCCACTCCACAAAGTTCAGCTGCATCATTTGATGTTAAGTCCAACAGTTAACAAAGTTTGAGCAAACAAATAAGTGGAGAGAAAAAGGGATCAAGGCTTAATTAGATACAATCTACATTAAAGAACAAGATAGAAAGAGCTACATTAGAAACCCATACTTGCACATACACACGCACACGCACAGAATGATATATTTCAGTGGTACCTGAATTTCATAGTTCATTTTTCATTTTGCAAGACATAACTGAACTGAAAAGTATCTTTGCCTGCATATGATAAAAGTAGTTCCTTGACAAGCCTATCCTAGTACTTAAATACAAAAAATAATGACAGGAAAAACATATTTGAAGCAAAGTGCCAACAAGGTAATCCTGATATTATGCACCATCTGAGCAAGACAATTATATCAAATACTAATCCGATGTCTTATTTCAGAATAAAACAATGTTTCGCTGATAAGTAAAATATAAAAGAAGAGAATTGAATGAAACAAGGTTCCTCTATGTAGTTATAAATCAAAGGATGACCGACTGCAGGTGTGAGCAAATAGCATGGGTTGCATAGCTAAAACCAATAAGCTCATCTGCAAACGCTAGTAGATAATCTTCTAGTATCATGTCATGAAATTATCATCTCTGGTTGCAATGGCATCCATTTTCTGTAACGGAATTCATCGATTTAATTGATAAATAATTTGGCCATTACAGAAAATGAAGCCATCGCCGGTTCATAGCCATTGAATCATTCCATTATCTGCACTCTATAGTCCATAGTATCCTTATTCTGGATGATAAATGATACACTGAAAACTGTCGAAAGTATCGAGTTCTACAAGACATAGAAACAGACCCACAATCAATGTTCTCGAATTCTGAAGAACAGATTCATGAGTTCAAACAAACAAGGTATCTACTTCTCAAAAAACAGGAAACTTCACTCTAAAACAAGTAAATAACAATTACACAAAGCAATGTAAATTACCCAACTTTTTTCGAAAAACCCAACTCAAAAGGAGAAATATGCAGCTACCCAGTTCCCGAAACCAAGAAACTGAATCGAAGAAATGAAATTACAGGTTCCGGATACGAAATTAGAAAAACCCAACTCACAGAAAGGTGAAGGCGCCTTCTTGCGTTGGAGTGAGTAACGTACTGGGCGGCAATGTCGCCGACGCCCCAGAGGACGCCGGAGCTGATGACCTGGGTTTTGAGTGGGTGGAAAGAGAGGCAGTTCTGGTACCATTTCCAGAGCTTCATCATCATTTGTGGTGGCTACTGCGACTCGGTGCTCGGCGTCTGTGGGAGGAGAGACGGCAAACGGCGGAGGAGGTTGGAGGCTTTTCTTTGAAGGTAGAAGCTTTGACAACGGAGGTCCCTTTATTTGGGAACAAGTTGGTAAGACTGATCGTTTTCTGGATTTTGCCAACCGTGGAATGAGGGAGTTCGATTTATTTTTGCTAATAGTAATTTCTCTGACTTGCTAGTTGCTAATACTAAAATAGGACTTACTGATACGTTCTAGTTCTTTTTCATCTGTACGGAAGGGTTTTTATATTGGATTCTCACCATCTCATTTTACTGTAGTTAATATAGGTTGTTAAAAAAAAAAAACTAAAAATTAATTTTGATAAAAATTAATAAATAAGAAGAGAGATACTACGACGTTATCAACATAACATTTTAGATGAGAGAGATCAAAACAACTTACTTAGTACAAATATATTGCCTTTTTGATATTAAAGAACGTCACGATGACTAATTTGTGTTATGAAAGTCATTCTTTGAAATGATGTTCTAAACGATTCCAATAAGTTTGATACTCTACTCTAACATTACGTGCTTTTTTTAAATTACAACTCGTATCAACATTTTTAATAAAGAAGCAGTGATATTCTAAAGTACTTTAAGAAAAAATTGAACACGGTGTGACAAGGTGAATATTCTATTCTAATTCATATTTCATATTTAAAGGACACTGGAAAAGGTAGAATCGAGCTCAAATATGTAAAGTTTGATATTTTCCGCCAGAATTAACTTGGCTGCTGAACATTTCAACAGCCACTCCTGCTTACACCTAATCCCGTGTGGACACGTGTCCAAGTTTTGACACCCGAGATTGGGTGTAAGCAGGAATGGATGCTAAAAATTCAGCAACCAAGTCTTGTTCTTTTCCGCCTTTTCTCTTTGGTTATAGTGTTCTTTTCCGCCCTTTCTCTTTGGTTATAGTGTTGATTTTGATTGATATTTTGTTAAGCCCTTTTTTTTCTATTTTGTTGATTTTATTGTGGAAAAATCTTGCATAAGGAAATCTTGGATAATAGACAAGGAGAAATGACCACATAGGTTTGAACTCAAGTGGTACAAAATAAAGAAAAAAAATGGTCCAAAAAGAGAAGGAAAAAAACACAAAAGGAGGATAATATTGTGGTCCTTGTAATTTTCGACCACTAAATAAAATAAACTATAATCCAAACTAGCTATTAACATAAATTTTTTTTGTCAATTAAAAGAAGGTAAAAATACTATTTAGTAATCTATCACATAAAAAAATAATGTGAGATAATGTAATTTCATAAAATTAAATTTTGTTGTTTTTTATGATGCTTGAACTACAAGTGATTTTTTTATATTAAAAAATAAAAAATAAAAAATAAAAAACAAAAACCTCTATTCCCGCTCTCATTCTCACGTTCCCTCCCTCCCATTTAAAAACAAACATAAGTTTTGATCAAAGACGAGTTTGAGCTATGTTATTGTTAACTCATTGTGAGACTAAACCTACTTGTTTTCTTAGTGACTAGCATATGCCCCACACTTTGGTGTGTGAAAATAATTTTTATTTTAATTTTAAAATGGGAAGGAGAGAGAGAGGAAAAAGGAATGTGGATTAGAGAGAGAAGTTTTTTTTTTATATTTTATTTTTTAAAATTAGAGGATGTTAGGACTTAGGATCACTTTTGGGTAAGGTTTTGAAAAAAAACTGTAAAATTTAGTTTGTATGAATTTATAGTAAAAGATAAAAATATCTTTTTACTTTCTTTTGATTGATAAAGAAAATTTTATTAATATAGTTTTAGATAATATCTTTTAGATTCAAATAAAATAAGCTATAATATTGTGGTACTTATGCAATAAAGGAAGCAGTGGAGAAAAGAATTGGAAGAGTTTGTTGCTGTCAGCCTGTCAGGGGCTCAGCTCATGGGTAGACGCCAAGTGGTAACAATTCGATTGGAGGCTGTTAATGAGCCAACAGAATATTCTCTAGATTCTTTTATAAAGATTTTGGAAATTTATAAATTATATTCGTTTACCGTAAATCATACGGTTAATTTTTATCAAATATTGTTTATATTTATTTTTAAATAAAAATATTTAAAATAAATTCTAAAAATATAATATACAATGATATACACGATTTACAGATGCTCAGATCTAATCAGTATCCGGACTTGTTAACGAGGGCCTTAGATGTGCGTCACTGTTATTTTATATTATAATATAATGGATCTATGGCGGCCGAAGTTTCCTAACTCAGTTTCTTTCCTTTGACCAAAAAAAACACTCACTCAGTTTCTCAGTTTCTTTCCTCTTCCCCCATACCGGCCGGAACTCAGTCGTTACAAACACAAATGCTGCCATTTTTTCAGTCGTGATCTGAACCACTGCCAGTGCCAATGTGCCATAACGGTGGACACCGCAATGAGGGCCCACGGAGCCTCCTCTTCATCCTCCTCCAAGTCCAAACTTTGGAATTACGATGTGTTCTTGAGCTTCAGCGGCGTAGACACGCGCAATGGCTTCACGGGCCACCTCCACGCGGCTTTGAAAGAAAGGGGATACCAGGCTTATATCGATGAGGACGATCTACAAAGAGGGGAAGAAATAAAAGAGCAACTGTTCCGGGCAATCGAAGAGTCATGGATCTGTATCATTGTGTTCTCAAAGAGGTATGCGGATTCAAGTTGGTGTCTCAACGAACTGGTGAAGATCATGGAGTGCAAATCCATACTGGGGCGACATGTTTTGCCGATATTCTATCATGTTGAAGCTTCAGACATCAGGAAGCAGGAAGGTAGTTTAGCGCCAATATTTCGGAAGCACGAAGATGACATCCGTGAAGAAAAAGATGACAGAAAACGGGAAGCCAAGAAAGAAAGGGTAAAGCAATGGAGAGAGGCTCTTACTCAAGCTGCAAACTTGTCTGGTCTGGACCTTAAAAACACTGACAACGGGTAACCACGCATTTCATCTACGTTTTTTTATCAACAATATATATTTTCTTCTGATTGGTTAAGTCTTGCAAATAGTAAGTCACTGCAAGGCTGCACTGCCATTTGTATCTCCTTACGAATTGTGTGTTCCAGGCATGAAGCAAAGCTTATTAGGAGAATTATTGATGAGAATATCTGGGAATGGCTCCCCAGCACGAACGAATTACATGTGGCCAGGCACCCTGTTGGAATCGATTCTCGTGTTCAAGAAATTACCAGTCATCTCTCAAGTGGTGGATCGAATAAAGTTATCATGGTTGGAATTTGGGGGATGGGTGGATTGGGCAAAACAACAGCTGCCAAAGCCATTTATAACCAAATTCATCATAAGTTCCAATTCAAATGTTTCCTTGCCGACGTTCGTGACATTACAAGCCAACATGGTCTGGTCTATTTGCAAGGAAAATTTGTTTCTGACATCTTACAACTTGCCAAGCCTCAGATTATTAGTAACGTTGATGCAGGGATCACTGTTATAAAACATCATCTCCAACGTAGAAGGGTACTTGTCATTATTGACAACGTAGATAAGTTTGACCAACTAAATGCAATTGCTGGGAGTCGTGATTGGTTTGGTCCGGGAAGTAGAGTTATCATTACAACAAGGGATGAACACTTACTAAAGCTACTAAAAGTGGATAAGATATATCCAGCTCAAAAAATGAATGAAAAGGAAGCTCTTGAGCTCTTTAGTTGGCATGCTTTTGAGAATCGTTGTCCAGATGAAGGATATTATGAATTGTCAAAGAAGGTAGTTTCTTATTGTGGAGGTTTGCCACTAGCACTACAAGTCTTAGGCTCTTTACTAATTGACAGAGGCCAAGCTGAGTGGAAAAACCAATTGGAGAAACTGAAGACGATACCTGAGGAAGAAATTCTAGAAAAACTCAGAATAAGCTTTCGTGGGCTAGATGTTCAACAGAAGGCTATATTTCTTGATATATCTTGTTACTTTGTTGGAATGGACAAGGACTATGTCGCAAAAATATTAGATGGATGTGGCTTTTCTGCAACAATAGGTATAAGCATCCTCCGTGAACGGTCGCTTGTAACTGTTGAAGAAAACAATTTGATGATGCACGATTTGCTTCAAGAAATGGGCAGGGTAATCATTTATGAAGAATTCCCTGGTCACCCTGAAAAATGTAGTAGATTGTGGAATCCTCAAGTGGTAACCGAAGTATTGACAAATAAATCTGTAAGTTCACTTCCAATAAAACTTTGGATTTATGCACCGTACAAGAAAAGCATTACACATTATACCACGAATGTCTATGTACATTAAACAACATTTATGTGTAAATATATGTATTTGCATTAAGAAGCTCAATTAGCAAAATTACGTAAAATATATGCAAATAATCCTTTTCTTACCCAGTATAACGTGTTGTTGACAGGGAACTGAAGACGTTGAAGGACTTGCTCTAGATTTCCCTCATCTTTCGGTACAAAGTTCTAACAAGTCCAGTTTCAGTACAGAAGCATTCGCCAATATGAAGAAACTGAGATTGCTTCAGCTCAACAACGTGCAGCTCAATGGAAAGTACAAACATCTTCCCAAAGGGTTAATATGGTTGTGCTGGCATGGATTCCCTTTAAAGTCCATACCAGATGACTTTCTTAATCAACCAAGACTAGTTGTTTTAGACATGCAGTTTAGCCAACTGCTACAAGTTTGGGAGGGTTCCAAGGTATAATCAATTATTTTTTTTTATTATTATTATTATTATTTATGAGATCTTTCTTTTGGATATTAATTTCAATTTGTCTTTGTTTTTATGCAACAGTCGCTTCAGAAATTGAAAAGCATTGATCTCAGTTTTTCTGATTACCTAAAAAAATCACCAGACTTTTCACAACTCCCAAATCTTGAAGAATTGATATTGGAAGGTTGTGTGAGTTTGTATGAGATTCACCCCTCCATTGGTCATCTTGAAAGACTGTCTTTGGTAAACCTGAATGAATGCGAAATGCTTTGTTCACTTCCAGGGGAATTCTACAAGTCAAAATCTGTTGAGACTCTTCGGCTCACTGGCTGTTGGAGATTCAAAGAGCTGCCTGACTGCTTAGGGGAGATGGTGTCATTGAGAATATTTGAAGCAGAGGATACAGCCATAAGACAAGTACCACCTTCAATAGTAAGATTGAAGAACCTCACTTCTTTATCTCTACGGGATGTTCAGGTGCCCCATTCGTTATATGGCTTAAACTCTTTAAGAGAATTAGAACTGTCATGCTGCAATTTAACTGATGATGCACTCCCTAAGGATTTTGGGAGTCTAATTTCTTTACAATATTTGGATCTTCAAGAGAATGATTTTTGTACCCTACCGAGCATCAGCGGTCTTTCAAAGCTTGAAACATTGAGGTTAAATGATTGCAGAAATCTTCATACAGTAACTGATTTACCAACAAATTTGAAATTTCTGTATGCGTTTGGTTGCCCAGCATTGGAAACAATGACAGATTTTTCGGAAATGTCAAATATGAGAGAACTGAAAGTAAGTGATTCACCCAAACTCACTGAGGTTCCAGGCTTGGATAAGTCCTTAAACTCCATGACAATGATTGATATGCAATGGTGCACCAATCTCACAGCTGACTTTAGAAAGAACATCCTACAGGTCTCTCTCTCTCTCTCTCTCTCTAAATTATCTTTCTGTAACACGCTCACACACTCAAAAGCACATGTACATGTATCTGTGTATGACAGTTGCATTGTATATATAGGGATGGACTTCTTGCGGACTTGGTGGCATTTTCCTTCATGGAAATCATGTTCCTGATTGGTTTGAGTTTGTCAATGAGAGCAATAAAGTAGGTTTCGATATTCCCCTGAGTGATGGTCGTAAGTTTGAAGGGCTGACTCTGTTCTGCTTTTATCGTTCAGGCAGTAGTTTTGATTGTCATCTTCCTCTTGCCATTACTGTTATAAATACTACCAAGCGTACTGAGTTGCGAGCCTGCATAGGTAGAGGAGATTGGGAGGATTCTCGGATAACATGTGGTGAACCTGAGGCCTATTACCTTTGGCAGGGACAAATATCAAACTTGAAGCTCAATTTGCAAGGCGGGGATAAAGTTGATATTATTTTTGTGGCGGATTCCGATTTTTCTGGTACAATGAAGAGAACAGGGGTTAATCTAGTTTGGGACAAATCTCTGAAGGAAAATATGCATGATTTGGATCGTGCTGGTTATGTTTTTGACCCACATCCAGCTTAGTTCTATGATGGGCCATCTGATAATCATCCCAGTAATCGAATGAGAATTACTACAGATGACAGAAACAGAAAAAGGCAAAAATTTTGAAGACAAAAAAGCATCTGTCATCTGTCTAGAGATTGATCCACACCTGGATCGGCTCTATGGCGAGGCACGAACGAGGCGGTATGCATCGTCATCATCAGGCTCATCCTCATCATCACATATCTGAGTTCCTGGACTACAGATCACTGTAACATTCATCATCAGCCTCTTTTGTTTTGAATTTTGAAGATATATTGCACCTAGAAACATTTCAACATCTGCCACTGTCGGCTCCACCTCTCTCTCCAACCTCTGCCACTGTCAGCTCAATAGGTAAATATCCTTACCACCCAGGCGGCTTAATTCATTAAGTTAATTGGATTTTTAAACATATAATTTTGGTCTAAATTTTGTAGCTTTGAAGTTTACTGAACTTAACTGCTGTGAAAAATGCCCAAGTTGTACTCTTTAAGTGTGTTTTTAAGTATTGGTTATGATAATTGTGATGGTTTCCACAAACCCATTTGATTGCATGAAGATTTGATTCTTGAAAGATGTGGGTTGGGATGTTTTCTAATTTGGGCTAGATTCTTTTCCCTCATTTTTATGTTTTAGCGATATTGGGAAAGCAGGGAATTGAAGAGGGGACCTTGGGTTGTTCAGAGGCGAATGCTGTTAACCAACCGAGCTTAAATCTATTACGGATAAATTGAGATTTTGAATTTAAGACTTGATAAATTTCTGATATACTGAATGTACATGCCTCAAATTTGTCCATTGCATGTATGCACTGGAAGTCAAAATCTGAATTTAATCAAGAAAGTTACATGTGAAATTGAGGAAGGAGTGGAGAAAAGAATTGGGAGAGTTTGGTGCTGTTAGGGGCTCAGCTCATGGGTAGACGCCAAGAGGTAACGATTCCATTTAGGCAACAAATCATCTGTACTCGCGGTATGCAGCGTACATAATTTTATGGTTCAATGATCAATGTGCATTCTGTATCTTCCTTAATCTGCATTACTTGGACTAATTAGACTGACAATGCGTTGTTCTTTCATTAACCTTTGTACATAGGCGTAGTTTATACGTGTGTGTGGTTAAGCATGGTAAATGGCCTAATTCTGATCGTTGTGACTACTTAGGAGCCACATTTGCGGAAGAAGGGATCAACTCGGGTAGATTCAGGAATCCAATCCCACTGCCTAGGGTGTTTGGGCAAGAGCAGTTATCAAGTAGTGCGTTCAAGAACGAAACTGATGAATGTTTTGATTGAAAAAAAGGAAGCCTCATGAGGCCCATTCCGTTTTCAAGAGTTTAGCGGAAGAAGGACACAGGCCAACTCTTATAACCTACACAACTCTAGTAGCTGTTTTGACAGGCCAGAGGCGTTTCAAGTCTATTCCCTCGCTCCTCTCTAGTGGAGAGAATGGTACGAAGCCCGATTATTTACTTTTTAATGCCATGATCAATGCTTCCTCTGAATCTGGAATTATCAACGATGCCATGAAAATCTTTCAGAAAATGGAGAAGAGTGGATGTAAGCCCACAACCAGCATTTTTAACACTCTTATCAAAGGATATGGAATTGCTGGTAAACCTGAAGAATCTTTAAAACTGCTACAGCTTATGTTGCAGGATGAGAATACAAAACAAAATGACAGGACGTATAAAATTATTGTTAGATCCTGTGTAGCGAGGGGAATATGAATCAAGCCTGGAATGTGGTGTATAAGATGGTTGCATCTGGTATTCAACCCGATGTAGCCACTTACAACACGTTGACAAGGGCTTACTCCAAGAGTGGAGAGACATATATGGCTGAAAGGCTGATGTTCGTGATGCAGAACAACAAAGTGCACCCCAACAAGCGAACTTGTGGCATCATTGTAAATGGCTAATGTAAAGAAGGTAGCATGACAGATGCCCAGAGGTTTGTATACAGAATGAAGGATCTCGGGATGCAGCCAAATCTTCTTGTTTTTAACTCTCTTATCAAAGGATTTCTGGACATTACTGACACTGATGGAGTTGACGAGGTGAGTTTTTACCTTCGATGCTTTAGCACTTAGTTCCTCAAATTTCTCACAAAATATTTACTTACACAAAGAGCTTAACTTCACAGGTACTAATGTCGATGGAAGAATTTGGGATGAAACCGGATGTAATAACATTTAGCACCATAATGGATGGATGGAGCTCAGCAGGACTCATGGAAAAATAAAAAATGCCAGGAGGTCTTCAATGACATGATAAAATCTGACAGAGAACCCAACATCCATGCATTCAGCATTCTTGCAAAAGCTTATGTGTGTGCCGGTGAGCCTGGGAAGGTCGAATCACTTATGACATCCATGGGAAAGTATGGCATGCACCCGAATGTTGTAATCTTCACAACCATCATAAAAGGGTGGTGCACTGCTGGAAAAAATGGAGCATACCCGGAGTGTCTATGAGAAAATGTGCGAAATGGGAATCCCCTGAATTTGAAATTTTTTGAGACTCTTATATGGGGATATGGAGAAGCTAAGCAACCATGGAAAGCCGAAGACTTACTCCATATAATGGAAGAGAAGGGTGTTCTTCCTCAGAAGAGAACTATCCAGCTTGTGGCTGAAGCGTGGCACTCAATAGGTTTAGTGATCGAAGCCATGAGAGTCTCAAATGATTCGGAGTAGAAAGTAGGAGGGACAAGTTACCTGAGCAGAGCTTGGAGTACTCTTATCCTAATGTTTTACAGATACCTAGAGTAGTAGTTTCTGATACCGGCGGATCTGCTGCCAGTATACGAGGTCATATGATTTCAAGAGGATTTGGGTTTTCAGCTGAAAGTATGCAGCACAATGCTGCTAAAACCATGTGTCTTAGCATACTACATCGTCTACGTTTAGAGTGCTGCAGCCACTGTTTATATGAGGAGGCAGTTTCAGTGTCGAGTTGGGATGTTCAGGCATTTTGTAAATACACGTCCGGTGGTGTAAATATGTAAACGAGGAAACAAAGGCGGTCACGGTGATCAGCGAGCAGAAGGATTCCTTGGTTCTGACTCTTGAATTCAAAAGTGGTGATGATTCTTTTGATCCTTTTGGTGTTGCTGATCAATTGTGCAAGTTAAAGTGTTCTGAAATTGTGTAATTTGCTACATGAATTGTGTAACATATACTATATGTGTTCATAATTCAAGGCTAAAAAATCTACATCTGGATGTCCAAATGCAACCTAGATCCCTACTGCACAAAAGATACCACAAAACCAATCGACCCACGTAACAAAAGAAAAGACAACATGTCCAAACTTATTCCAGTTGGTTAGAGCAGTGTGTTTTTTCGTTTGCTATTAAGTTAGGTCTCTTGATTTGGCCTTGATTTATTCATTCAATTTGTGATTGTATATAAAAGTGTGCATAAAGTAAAAAATGAGAAGTTAAACTAAGGGTGTGCTATCCACACATCATTTTTTACTTCTCACACAATCTTTGCTAATTTTTGTTAATTGATTTTCTTTAATTCATCTGATCCGACGGTCGAAAATAAAAAAAAAAAAAAAAAAAAGGTAAAAATGGGTGCCGTGGATCGGGGTCAACACTTGTTTTACTGTTTTACACCCCAGTAGGACCCACAAACAAGACAAGAGACAATCATGCACAGGTAGCTGGATCAAAATTTTCCACCCAAAACAGATAAAATTCCAAACAAGAGAGAGAAGTTACCCAAAAGCTACAAAATTTGCGGAGACTGAATTGAACGCATATCTTAGCTTGAACCAAAGAGAGATGCTCTCTCTACATGTCTTCCCTCCTTCAGCTTCCCTCCAAAACCCTAACTTCAACCCTACCCACTTCTCCACCCCAATCCAAACCCCTAATTTCACTGTCCTCAGTCTCCACTCAATTCCGAAAACCCACTTCAAAGCCCAGAACTTTCTACGATTTAAGCTCCCTAATTGTAAAACCCAGCTCAGAAAACTTTCTTGCAATGCTCTGAAAGACACCGGCGATGAAACGAAGCCGGTTTTGGGCAGTGGGGGTGGCGATGGTGGCGGAGGAGGCGGTGGTGATGACGGAGGGGATGATGAGCAGGTGGAGAAAAAGAGTGGGCCTTTTCCGGAATGGTTCAGTATCACTACCGACGATGCGAAGACTGTGTTTGCGGCGATTGCAGTGTCGCTTGCGTTTCGGAGTTTCGTAGCTGAGCCGAGGTTCATTCCTTCGTTGTCAATGTATCCGACCTTGGATGTGGGAGATCGAATTGTAGCAGAAAAGGTCAGATTTTTATTTATTTTTTCTGGTGATTATATTGCTTATGCTGTATGGTTTCTGTTTGCTGAGGTTTGAAACGTATTGATTTCGCTTTAGAAGTCGTAATTGTAATGGCAACATTGCTGCTTAGCTACATTTTAGATGAAGCTTATGTTTGAAGTTAATTAGTGATTACAATTCGGATCTCGGAAATTAGAATTTGGATGGAGCCATTGAATTCGGATGATCAGTTTACACATCGGTCTTGTCTTACCACGGGGGAAATGGAGTTACCATTTTCTTGAAATGCAATGGTTGAGAGGTTGAGGTTACATAGAAGGATGATGAAGAAGGGGATGACAGATGAAGATTGAACTTTCGGGGGACAAGGCTTCGCAAGAAAAAAATCTTTCGGGGCACAAAATTAGAATGAGTGGTAGACAATTGAGGAGATAGTGGAAATGCATTTTATACATAGTGAGAGATTTTTCATAATTTCGCACTCGATTGATCAGATTTGTGTGCGCCTGTATGACCACTGAACTGGGTAAAGTCTTATGAGAGTTGCTTTGTCTATAGTTTGTGATGTTATTTTGTTTGACATTTAATGATAAGTTGTCGACTATTTACCTGACGGACTCTTCCTCTTAACATTGTCAGGTTTCATATTATTTCAGAAAGCCATGTGCCAATGACGTAGTTATCTTTAAAAGTCCACCAGTCCTTCAACAAGTAGGATATACTGACTATGATGTCTTCATTAAACGAGTTGTTGCCAAGGAAGGTGATACTGTAGAGGTGAGACTAGCACTTTTGCATGTCAAAAATTTCGTGACGTTACTTTTTTGTTTCATAATTCTTGCTACAGTTAATTATATCCCGATGTCAACCAAGAGGTTGATCGGACCAATATACCTTGTCATGTCTACTGTGAGACGTGAAATCTCAATAAGTTTTGTTTAGAACGAGTAATATGACAATCTAGATATTAAAATTTAATTCTGGTTTGCTTTGAAAGTTCATAGATTTATACTAATACAGAGACGGTTTCTATATGTCTGTCAAGAAAGTTGTCTTGTATCTATCAATATCTGAATTTTAGGAACCTAACTACAAAAAACGATGACTGATTGCAGGTACGCAATGGGAAGCTCATAGTTAATGGAGTGGAGAGAGATGAAAAATTCATCCTTGAACCACCTGCATATGATATGACTCCTATTGTAAGAATTATGTTATGACATTGTACGTTCTTTTTTTATTATTTGAGGGGATGTGGTGGTTTCCATGTGTTAGATCTTTTCTAGAAGAATGTTACCTAGAGAGTTAACTTTGCATCTTTTTCTTCGTGTTTATGTTGCACAGCGTGTGCCCGAGAACTCAGTTTTCGTGATGGGTGACAATCGAAACAACAGCTACGACTCACACGTATGGTAATGTTTCTAAAACCCTAGTGCAGAATTGCTAGATATGTTCAGTTTTAGGAACTTCGATTTACTTTTTATCTTTTAGTTCCTCCTGTTGATTGATCGTTCAAGTTGTGAAAATGTTTAGGGGTCCATTGCCAACCAAGAATATTTTGGGAAGATCCTTGTTTCGGTATTGGCCACCAAAAAGGATCGGTCCCACGGTTCTTGAGACTGGCTGTGCTGCTGATAAGCCGGAGAGTGTTCCAGCGTCTCAGCAAAAGGAAGGTCAGGAGAGCATTCCAGCGTCTCAGGTAAAGGAAGGTCAGGAGAGCATTCCAGCGTCTCAGCTAAAGGAAGGTGTGTCATTGAATTAGTAACCATATGAAGTTTCTTCCGGCGCTTTACTTGAAATTGTTTCATTTTTTGCCTTCGACCTTATGTAACATCTCTATTCTAAGGAAACACGCATACGGGCAAATTTTTGGAAGGCCCTAGTTCTTCATAGTTATTGACATTGTACATTGCAAAGCGACGCTCGATTTAAGTAACTTATTCTCATTTCAAAATCTGCTCACTCTAGCTTTACTTTCAACATACATAAACGAATAACTTGGAAACAAAAACTACTGTCATGTAAGATGGATATCGTCGATCCAACTAGTATAATCACTCTCTGCAGAAATTTGCGAAATGTTGCATGACAAGATGAAGCTTATTAACTAGGAAGAAGGCATACAATAACACTTCACACCATCACACAACGATAACCACGATAACTAATAAAAATGTGCTCGTTCCATGAAAAAACTCCGCCAGCAAGATGGAGAGATTCGCCTTTGGTACTCATTTATAAGTACATGAACTCGTTTTTAACTTGATGGGTTTGGTATTATGAGAGCCGACTTCCATGGTGCAAGATACATGCCTTCGGTGCTTTGATCTCACCAGCTTCCCCACCACATTCCCTCGCGACCGGACTTCAAACACCAGCATCATGGGAACTCCTCCGTTGTTATCAGCTACCGCTAAGCTTGCCCCAGCCCCGTATAAAGGAACCTTGATCCCTTGGAGGTTCACGGTCACAGTCCGGTAGCTCTTTCTCGGTTGATAGTATTTCTTCAACTGCATTGAATTTGCTACCAATAAGCACAAGGTGAAGAAAGTAGAGCAGCTTCTCAAATCACACCCTGAATGTATGAATTCTTACCTGACCAGTTGCAACTGCAATCTCTGAATACATTAGTTTAACCGGCGTGGCACTGACATGGATACCGAAGAAGGTAGCGGGGTTGTACACAGTCATCCTCACTGAACAGTTCATTGTCAGCATCTTTGTAGGCACGCCAGTCATGTCCGATCCTTCACCGAAATAAAAGTTATGCACAACCAAGCTCTGTTGGAAAAGGGTTTTGAAAACACTTAAGTTAAAGGTCATTTGAAACATAAATAGTTACCAATAGAAAGTAAAATCAGCAAAAAAATAAAAAAGAAAGTGATTTATATATGTCATTTTTCTTCTCATGCTCATCCGTCTTAGATTTTAGTCATTGAATTAAATAAATCAAGAAATATAAATAAACAGCGGTGTACACAAAGACAAAAATGATTGTTCGGAAATCATTTTCTAATAAAATCTTTGGCTCTGTAAACCAATCGTATTTTCCATTGAATCTATATATCTCTCATCCTTCATCTCTCTCTAATCTCTTATCATGTATGAACGAGATAGACACGAGAGAATATATCACGGGAAAAATTACCCAACAAAGAGAGTTTACTAAATTAGGATTAGAAAACTAATCACACATTCGCAAAAGATTACTTTACTCAAAAATCAATAAAATAATCCAAAATACATCACCCAACCCCCCAAACAAAAAAGAATTAGAAAAGCCAAAATTCAAATTTGCCTAACTTTAATTAACCAACGTACCTTAACATCAACCCTTGCTCTGTACGGCCTGCTAGCCCCCCAAAGAATCAAGCAAAAAACAGAGAAAATCACAACAAATCCGAACAGAGCAACACAAATCTGGCATCTCCTGGAAACTCCTTTGTTCCCATAAAGCCCTCCGTAGTCGCCTTCCTCCTCGATCACATTGCACTCTGGCCACCCCTTCTCGTTGCGCTTCCGGCCCCCCTTCTGGCCGGAATTGGAGGACCGAAAAGTACCCGAGACCCGGCTGGCGGAGGAGGCCCGGGAGTGGCGGCTGTAAGAGGGGTGCGAGGGGGATTCCATGGGGCTGCTGGCTTGCATTGTGGAGGATTTATCACCATCGTTGGAGTCCCTGGAGGGGCTTTGAACGTAGTACAGCGGGCGCTTGGGTGATCTGGGTGATGATGGGGATAGGCTCGTCATGTCTGAGTCGGATTTCGCGTGCATCATAATTACTGTAGGGGTGCAGTATTTAATGTGTGAAGATACTAATTTTGCTTAGAACGCAGTTGGAAATTTTGAAGCTATTTTGGTAATTTGATTTGGGTTTTGTGGGGATTGCTTGGATTTTGATTAAACAGAGGAAAATCCCAGAATTGGTGAAAGATGATGAAACTGATCAGACCCAGATGGGGATTTTGAAGCTTTTTTGGAAATTTGAATTGGGTTTTGTGAATTGATTAAATGAGAACAGAGGAAAAAATGCCAAAATTGGAAAGAGGATGAAGAGCAGCTGAGCAAATGGAACAGAAAATTTCAGTCTGTGAGCTCGGGAACAGAGATTTTGGTATTAAAAAAAAAATGCTGAATTTGATTAGACCCAGATGGACAGTTTGAAGGTCTTTTGGAAATTGGATTTGGGTTTTGAATGAAACAGAGAAAAATTACCAGAATTGGAAAGAAGACAAACAGCAAACTGATCAAATTAAACAGAAAAAATTGAATCTTTCAGCTCAGAAACTGAATTCGATTAGACCCAGATGGAAATTTCGAACTTTTTTAGGAAATTTGATCTGGGTTTTGGCGAGATTACTCGGAAATCAACTGCGTTGGTGGCAAAACACAGAAAATGGCAGAATTAGAAGGAAGATGAAAGAGCATAAATTGAACAGAAAAGTACGTGCCTTTCGTGGTTCAGAAACTTCGGACAGTCGGTGTGTTATCCTCTCTCTCTCTCTCTCTCTCTCTCTCTCTAGAGTGCCGTTTTCGTGAATTGGAGTGGGCACACAGAGAAAAGCAGAGCAGTGAGACAATACTGCAGAATCATCATTTTTTTCTTGTTGGCCAGTCAGAGAGAGTGAGAGACAGACGGAGTTGGAGTGGAAGGAGTCAGAGGAATGTTAGCTTAGATATAGCAAAGGTTTGGATTTAGGTTGGGTGTCGCAGTTTCTCACTCTTCCCGTTACCCGCGTTGCCCATGTGAATTTTGACGGGTTAGTAGTGTAGCTGCGTTACGTTTGGCGCGCGCGATGGCCACGTTGTCACGGTGGCGGGTACTGATTGACGCCTGATTTTGGTTTAAGATTTTTGGGTTAGATTAACACTTGTAAACGTACACCACTCCAAAATATACAATAGATAAGTTTAGTTTGAAACTCGTTAGAATGGACTATTAACTTCGAAGGTAGAAGAATTTTCATAATACGATATGAGATTCCATCAATAATATATGTAGTTTATCTCTATATTATTGACAAGATAAATCGTCACATAATCGATGCATCTATAGTATAATTTATTAAAAAGGTGATTCATACTCCTGAGTTTTTTTTTTCTTTTTTTTTTTTTTTTTTTGGTTTGATAAGAAATACATTCATATGTAACCATGTAAGGAGGTTTTTTAAACCCTAATGGAGAGAGACACTGTCGACAGCTAACATTCCATTCTCGCATTAAATCAATATATACAAGACATGCCACTTTAAAGAAAAAGCCAACTTTATTAACAATAAATTACAATGAGCAATGAAGGACAACAATTAACATGCCTACAATCTGAATCATAATGTTTAATGGGTAATACAATAAGCATACATTCTTGAGCACTTTGAACAACCACCATCTATGCTACAAGACTTAGAAAAGTAATAATACTTTTTAATTTGATCTATTTGGTGGTTGTGAATTTTATTTAAGTGTAAAATTTTTTTTCCCTTTTTTCCATTAATTATCCATTTTTATCTTAAAAAAGTAATCATACTTTGAATTCCTCTTATTCAGTATATTACCAAACACAATATAAATAATACAATCATTAGTCCAATATTACATTAAACACCACACTAATTTAGTCAATACTATTTGATGGCTATTTATCATATCCGACTGAAATAATTTGTACTGAAATAGTCAGTATACTCCAAGCTTGAAGGCCTAAGCATACATTCGTGAGCACTTTGAACCAACACCATCTATGCTCCAAAGCCTTAGAACAATAGCATAACCAGCTAAAAACTGACGAGTGATTCATATGGGGGAGCTCAACAAGTGATTTCACACGGCCGGAGAGCCTCGATCATCATGAGACTAATTCAACAACGGTTCACCGATTATCCATACCATCACCTGCGAGAAAATAATCCAAAAAGCCAAGACCACAAATAACACTTGCATAAAATTATAAACGAACACTAGATATAGAGAAGATTGCTGTTGAAGCGGCATATGCTTAGAGAATTTATGGACTCAGACAACTGATGCAATATCACAGTGGTCGGCAAGGCCAATGAGGCCATTACGACGAGAGACCAAAATACAAATCATCACAGTCCAGTCAGATTCGTATGACGAATCCGTGTTGCCGTAGGTAGTATGAGATAGTTGACAAAACAAAATAACAAATCAAGATATATATTGCAGGGGGTTTTATAAAATGGAAATTTTAACGAAACATTCCTAGTACTATTTATTTTTAACATTAAAGACATTTTTTTTTCTAAAAAGTCATTCCTAAACGGTGCAAAATCAATAATTCAACAAGATCATGCACCGCCCAAAACCCGCTGCAGCAATCCCGAACGTAATTCATCACAGAACATCTGCATTATCTACCACATTCGGCAAACAATGCAAAAACAAAAGGGAAATTTTTGATTGGCAGTAAAAAGCACAATTTGGACACAAAAAACCAAGTTTACAACACAAAATTACAGAAAGAAACTGAAGGGTCGTCAGATAGGAGCGAAAGACATGAAAATTGCTTAATCACAGAGATTCAGTTGAACTATGCATCAAATCATCACACGACCCTATTAATTATAGTCGATAAGATAATCTACGCTAAATTCATAAAAAGTAAGTTACTATTTTAAGAAAAGAGATCAGCCTCAGAAGGAAGGCAGTAGGTGTGTATGTAATCACAGATTATCATAGATTACACGAAAACCGTACTATCGTCATTGGCAGCTGAGCTCAAATCCTAAATCATGTTCATTTTTTTGTGAAACAATTTGGTGGGTATCTTCAGAAATCCAAACCCAGAAAAATTAAAAAAATAAAAAGAGTAAAAATTTAATGTTCCTAAAGTTTGGAAAAAATTATTATCAGCCTCATAGAGAAGATTAGTTTGTTCCACATAGTGTAATTCAGACATATGCTTGTCTAAATGTTTAATTTAATCATCGGCTGACAAAAAAAAAACCCCAAAAATTACAGAACTTTTGCTTAGCAAAAAGCGATTAAGTACGATAAAACCCTAATTCGAAACAAATCAAGAACAAAAAGCTTTTGAATTTTGGGAAATTAGATTAAAAGAGACTCAGAATATGGGTGGTGATATAGCAGGATGGTCGGCAAGGCCTTAACGGCCGTTACGACGAACGAGACCTTATATCAATGAATCGTCATTGCCCCAAAATTTGAAATCGAAACTTGAAAAAGCGAAAACAGAGAGAGAAAAATGGCGACGAAAGAAGTTTAAAAACCCTAATTCCTGAGGAGCTCGAAACCCTAAGCCGCCGACTGGAGATTCTTGGTGTTTTAGAGCGGAAGAATTCGCAGATTTATAAAGGCTTTCGGGGCTAGGGTTTTGCGTTTCGGGTTTTAGGGCTTTCGGAATGGGGTTAATTATACAGTACAATTCAGTGTATAGTTATAGAGTGCGCCTCTCACAATGGCGTTGAAGTTGGGCTACAACAACAACTGATCCACATAAGGCCGGCCCATTATAGTGAAGGATATACCTTTTAAATGGGCCCATTTTGGCTCGAGTTTTTTAAAAGAATAATTTTAGAAAACAAACCTCGTCTCTATTTTATTGGAGGAGGTGATGCGCTTACCTTAGATCATCTCTAATTTTTGGGTTAAAACCTAAAATTTTGAGCCCTAAAAATTTATATTTTATCCTAAAAACAAATTTTTTGCTCCAACCCTTAAAACCTAATTTTTTAACCCCAAATTATTAAAGAATGAATATAAAACAAAAACATTAATTAAATTAAATGTAGACTGTTGGAACGATCATTTGAATGTGAGATGTTGATCACAAAAGAAGCCGTTGGGCCCAACTTTATTGCCGACAAGTGGCCAACACAACCCACATGTATGGGGTTGCCACCTTGCAGGCGCTAAAGAGTTGGGAGAGTATGACGTGTCAATTGGGGAAGTGATCTCTAATTGCTGGTTTCCCACTCGCACAAGTGGGGCAGCCCACTAACTTTGGCCTAAATCTTGGTCGAAATTTGGCTCTTTTTTTTAGTTCTAACACTTAACTCCATTTTAGAATAAGGATTGGAATGAAATGGGAGAATAGAAGGGAAAATTTGAGACTTACTTTATGGGTTGGAGTTGGTCTTACAGACTGAGATTTTGACTGCTTTTGTTAGAAGTGTGTTTGTGGAAAAGGAACAAAATATGCTTTCTAGATAAGCACTTTAGTGCTTCCTTTTCCAGAAAGCGTTTCTATGACAAAATATGAAAACTCAAAATCAAAACAAGGCTATAATACAGAAAGCGTTTCTACGACAAAATATGAAAACTCAACATCAAAACAAGGCTATAATACGCCTGTATTATCACTTCATCCATCTAGCTATATTTCAAGCAAACACTAAAAATTCTACATTCTAACATCACAACGATGTTACGAATTTGACCACAAAAAACCGATGTTACAAATGTCACCAGAATCTGACACTCGATAATCTGATCCTAAATCCTGCATAAGCAGCACGTTGATTGCATGGCCAGTCTGATGACATTGCAGAACCAAATAAGGTAATCAAATTAAAGAGCAAGTTAGCTACATCTAACGCCTTCCCTCAGCTTCAACTGGCATGATCCTTGGATCGAGCGTTGACAGGATCTGGGGCATTGACATGCCTCCAGACACAACAATTTCTGCATTCAAAGGATAAACTGATAAGATACCGCATCGTGATAAATACAACTCCATGAAGATAAAAGTTCTCTAGTTTAATCTTTCATTTTCAGGTTTGGTACGTGGTAGGAAAATTCAAGCTAAGGGCTCAAGTCCATTCATCCCTGCCGTTCTATTTCTAGTTGAAGTAGAATACAAAAGCTTACTCACCAATTCCCTCCCGTACAGATAAATTTGGTCTGATAACATCCTTGGTGTTGACTAGGAACACATCACCAATGTAAAGATGGTTCGTGGGAACATAAACACAGCACAACTCTTCATCTCCAGAATAGCTCTGCAAAATAATTTTGGGGACAAGGAGAAATAAAGTCACCATTACTAGTCTGAAAAACCAATTATATTTAAAAGCACAAGCTGCACAGCATCATTTCATCTGCTGTGTCCTCGTTTTTCACAATAAAAAGTTACTAGCATACCTGAAGGACAACGGATGAAGTGATGAACCCAAATGCATATTCACCAATACGTGGATGCCTTATTATGGCCACTTCCTTGAAAGCTTGTGTATTTTGATCTAAAAATTATAAAGAGCTAAGGATTAAAGATTGGCCCATCTAATTCATTCATTCCAACCAAGGGAACTGAAATTTCTATAGAGCTCACCTGGGGATATAGCAGAACTAATCTGCTTGGAGGCATTGTAGATATGACGAACAAACGGCATTCTTTTGATAAACCACTCTCCAAGGCCGAGGACAGATGCACCCAACCATGATGACATGAACACCCCAACAAGAAATATGAATGTAATAGAAGTTACAAATCCAAGACCTAACATGTATATGAAGTTGAAAGGTCAGTTATACATTGTAAGACCAAAACAAAAATGAATCACTGAAAGCGTATGTTTTGACTGTAAACAAGTCATTACATAATAAATGGGCGGTATCTTTACTGAAGTTGAATTATCGCACCAAAATTATTGTCTCTATGATTAGATAAAGAGAAAAATGGACTAGATACTTAGCACAAGCTCAGCAACATCAAACCCCAGACCATAACTAATGCAAGTTAGAATGTACCAATCAAAATAATGGGTTTAAGGATGCATTTCAGAACACTACATACCAAAAATGTCGATTCCAAGTTGAGCGTAGATTGGAGAGAAGAAACCATCCACAAAGTGAATAAACCACCACGTGATATAGAAAGTGATCGCTATTGGAAATAGGATCACACTGCAAAAGAGCAAAGTGTGAGCAGCTAATATGATATATATATATATATATATGAGCAAAAAGCAAGAAAGAGAACAAAGCTTTGATATCATTAGCTACTACATAATGGATGCATCAAAAAAAAAAATCCAAAAACATATGACATTAGCGTAATTATATGAAATGGGCTCAGTCTAAAACTTGTAATAAGCTAAGTTGTACATTTCTTGAATTCATCTGGCAAGAAGCTAGTTCTCTGTCTTAGCTAACTTGTAATATACTTCTACTCAGAAAGATAGAAAAACAGATTATAAATACATGCCAACAATCTAAGTTTAAGTTCCTATCACTACTAAAGCATTCCATCTTTCAACTCTAAATCTTAAGAATAATCAGAAATCCACCAACTTTAAAGATATTTGACCCTTCCCACAACATAGAATTGATGGTTTACACACACAGTATCAAACAGAAAATAGTATTGCATATGAACATGATTTGAACGAAAAAGGAGCCTGAAGAAAGAAATGCCCACCATCCTGTCATGAACTTTTTTGATGCCCAACTTCTAACAACTTTGGAAAACGTCTGCACAGAGACAAAAAGAGATCAGAATGAGAGTTATGAAGATTAAGAAAAAGGAGCACAAACGCTCGAAGCATCATTAAACTTATGCCCCAACTTAGGCCACCAAAAAGTAACAAACTTTGACACACTGTAACCGTTTCTTGATAAATTACTGCTGACTTACGAGACAAATTTTTATGTGCGTATCAGTAGTATAATGCAGCAGCAACACCCTTAAACTGACTAAAAGTAAAACGCAACGATGTCACCAGATTTCTTGATGAAATGCTTATATATACGCGAATCAATTGTTTGATCTTCTTATCACATTACTCGGAAGCTCGAGCAGCGAAATAGAGCTACACTCACACCCAAATTTCAAACCGTGAACATAAATTAATACCGAAAATCCATGTTAGCACATTACAAGTCCAAATGAACTGATGAAAATTTGAAAAACAAAACAAGACCCGAATCTGAGTTTGCTCCTCCATTAGCCTCGGTAAACAGTAAGTCAAACACAAAATTAGAAACTTAATCGCAAAAATCAACCCATAAATCCCAATTAACACAAATACACTAACTTCAACTCGCAACCTATGCAAAAAATTACAGCCCTTTCCACGAATTTTCCTCCATTTTCTCAGCAACCAAACACAACACAACACACAAAGCAATGAAATTTGAAACAGAAATCGAGACTCACCTCGCGGCCGGTGTGGTGGGAGGAGGAGGAAGACGAGGAGGGTTTGGACGATGCATCTTCGTCGCCGGAGTCCGCCACCGGAATGAGAAGCTCACGATCTCGCGGTTCCCTGTCTCTGCTCGCCATTACGATCGAAGACGACGACTTCTCATCGCCCATCACCAGCAGACCTCCAAATTGATATCCGACGCCGTTTCAACGCCGCAACGCGGGGGCTTTTTTGCCAGTGAAATTCCAGAAGAACGACGGACTTTGATTAGAGAGAAGCTCTCCTGATCCTCGTTTTGCTTCCTTTGTAAATTTGGCATTTCAAATATTTGGTTTTTATTTAGGAACTTTTATCGAAAAGTTTTCAGACCTTCATTTTAACGAAAAATCACATTTTTATACTAAAAGTCAATCTTAGTATTATTCACTCTACCCTTTATTTTATCCTTATCGTTAAAATTCAAAATTTTCAAACTATTTTCATTAGTTTTCTTTTTATTTAATCTAAATTACATATTAATAATAAAACACTCATTATCAATTAAAATGATATGAAATTACCTGTTTAATTCTCTAATTAAAATTAAAACTAAACATGAATAAAAGATATGGACAAAAACGTAACACATGAAAATTTTGTTGTTTTTTTTTTTAAAAAAAACCTTACTTACATGTGATTAAGGGTTTATTTGGATATACTTTTAAAATGATTAAAAACGTTTTTAAATAAAATATTTTGAGTTTCAAAAGCACTTGAAGTGCTTTATACAAGAAACATCAGTTATGTGCTTCTTTTAGGAAGCACTTTAAGTGCTTTTCCAGGATTTTCTTACATTTTTACTAACGATTGATTTCAAAAACATTTTCACTAAAAGGGCTTTCAGTCATTTCAAAAACACATCCAAACAAGTCTTAATATATCTCTAAATAAAAACTAAAAAACAATAAAAAAAATAAAAAATTAGAGCTCACTCCCACTCCCACATTCTCTCTCTCTCTCTCTCTTCTTCTCTCCTTCTACTTCAAAAACAAAAATAAAAAATTTCGCACACTTTGTGTGAGGCCATATGCTAGTTAATTATTATTTTAATTGGGTGAGGATTACTAAGGAAGTGAAAAAATTCAGGGTAACGGTCTCTCAATATTAACCTAAAAAATCTGTGATCATTGGTCCTTTAACTCATCAAATCATGTAGTTATGGTCATTTTCATCAATTTCGTCATAACTTCTATTAAAATAAGTCACGTTGGAAGAACTAGTACTACAATGACGTTAAAATTTAAGGATCATTGCTCCAATTAAATTAAAGTTAAAGAACGTTAAAGTTGATGGACTATTACTACAATTTTTACATCTGGTACTTTCATATTTACTTTTTGATTCAATCTCTAATGCACGACATGTGACTCATTTGAACAAAAATTCTAAAGTAATTGACGAAAATGACATTTTTTTCAATTATTTAGAAATATATTATAATATTGTGGGGATTAATATATTACGCGCATCTAAAGACTTCAAAGAAATGTTGTGTTTTGTTTACCGCTAATTAAAAAAATGGGAGGATAAATTAATGTTTAATCTCTCTTTGTTTCTGAATTTATACTGTGTAGTGATGTTTGATGAGATGTTTCTTCCAATGATAGGATGCCGGCAATTTTGGCCTGCAATTTGGTGTTCTTCTGTGGCAATGCAATATTCAGATAAGAGAGTTGTTGAATCTCTACTATTTATACATACCCACTTCTTAATTAGGAGTGTAATTTGGATGATCATTTAAATTATTCAACCCAAGTATTGGATTCCTAAAAGCTGGATTGGGATGAGCAAAGCTGGGCTTAAACTAAAAAATGATAAGGATGTCTTTTAAAGGAGATGTCAAATATATAGTAACATCATTAACGTTAATAAAATACAATTGAATGAATTCGGATTCTCTACAAAGTTAGGAGTTCAGGGCTGACGGACTACGTAATCTAGACTGTTTAAGAGAGGGAGAGAGATATTCTGACCTTGATTTTTGTGAGGTGAGCTAGTAAGATCGACTAAGGTGGGTTGTAAGATTTGAAATGATTGGTTCAGATTACTCAATCGTCAACTTCGGATTGTGAGATCCGAAAAGGATTTCGTTTCCAATTGAATTTGACTTTAACTTAAATGTTTTAATTATGTGAAATAGTGGTTTTACTATGTGCTGTCAATTTTGACATTGTCTTATTTTATTGCTTTTTAAAACACCATGGCCCACCTATTTCTACAATTAAAGTTAAAGTGGAGCTCAGCGTATATACATAAATAACTTTTACATATCATCTTGTTGGAGATTGCATTAGTACATGAACAAAGGGAAGCAAAAATAAATGAACTTAAGTAGGTTTTTGTTAAAGGGAAGGAAAGACATAAAATGGCTTGGGACATGGACTTGGTCATCTTCTTTTCTTATGATTGCAACATTTTTGAAAGTTGAAGTTCGAGGAGCTTCATTGACTGCTTGCTTGCACTGGCCTCTAGTTGCATATACCTTTCTTCCTAACAATACCCAAAGAGGAGCTCCAAGTTCTCATCCCCGCTTCCTCGTTTCTGAGTTTGAATTCCCATCCTCGTCAATTTGAAATGAAAAAATAGATAAAAAAAAAAAAAAAAAAAAAGCGTGTATATAAATGAGGCCGAAAATAAAAGGCCAGAAAAGAGAAAGCCTAGAAAGGATAGGATTTTGGACATGAAAATGCACCATTGGCCCAATGAAGGTTTCAAATCAGAGATGAAAGCTACAGTTTGGTACGTTTTGTCGGACGTATTGGTAGGTTTGCTCTATAGTTAGGTATGTTTATTCAAATTTATTATTTTAATAGGAAAATTTTGAAATAGGTTCAATTTTATAGATTAATTTTTGAAATAGATTCAATTTTTAGTGATTTTTTACTTTTAAAATAGGTCCAATTTTTAGTTACTTTGAACCCATTTCAAAAAACTACTTAATAATATGTTTGTTGAAAGTTATTGGATATATACTTAGAACATCTTCGAAAAAAATGTTAAATTTATACATCAAAATGATATTTGATGACTTATGTGATGTGACATTTCATTTCGAGTTTTATCGTATTATATTCTCAGTAATAGTAAAATTAACAAAATACCCCTGAGATATCACTTAAGCCTTTCATGTAGACCTTAATTTTTCTTTCACTTTTTCAATCTTATTTTATTATTTTCGAATAGTATTTATTTTTACAAACAAATGGCCTTATAACAAATTAGGTTTAAAACTGTGTAAAAATATCTAAGGCAAATCTTAAACTTATAAATTTCCCTCGTGCAGCACGCACCTTTGCTGGAACATTATCGAGTGTCTGAGTGGGTCTTCGTACAATGAGAAGACATGCTTTTGTTGTCGGTGGAAATTGAAGTGAAATGCAACCCATTTTTCCAACCCTACCTGACACCATCATTTCCCTCTCTCTCTCTCTCTCTCTCTCTCTCTCTCTCTACCCGCTAAACACACCATCAGACATCACTCATATACATTTTGATTAAAATATATTTTCCTTCTCTCTCTCTCTCTCTCTCTCTCTCTACCGACTGAACCCTTCCCCCTCATTTCAGCAACTTCTCTCTCTCTCTCTTTAAGCTCTCGACATTCTCATTCTCTTTCTACAGCTCCGGGAGCTCTCATCCTTCCTCTTCTTCGAAACCGAAGCAAATCAAACTAAACATACTCTGAAATCTTAATCCCCTGAATGAGAGGAACTCGAACATATCCTTGCAGGCATCATCAGAGCACCATTTGGGTGATCCACCATTGAAGCCGAGAGCTTCAAGCTTCCATTGCTCAAACCCAGGTGAGGTTATTGCCCTACTTCAATTGTTTGAGTTATTCTCTGGTTTTTGATGTGTTTCGAGTTGAAACCCGTGGGTTTAGTCTCCGCCATTTGTCTGTGAGTGTATCGTCAGCCTCGGCGACGAACTCCGGCGAGAGCCGTTGAGTTCGAAGCCTGCTGGGGTCTCTCTCACGGTGATTCTAAACCCGTAGGTGTTGGTGATGAATTTGAAGTGATTCGTGACCTTATGGCAGACCCTAACCTACGCATGCATTCCATTTTCTATTTTTCCAGAAACTGTCGGGTGTGTTCGAAGGAAATCTGTCGAATCCGAAGTCGATTCGACTCGAGTTCGTCTGTGTTGATGCTCTGATGAATTACCTCAATTTCTGGTGAAGTTCTAGTACAAAGTCTTTCGGAAACGAGGTGTTTCACCTCTGTTCATCCTCTGCAATTAGTTCCAAAAAACTGGTGAACCTTCGCCTGAGCAATTCCGATGAAATTCATGACAAACCTCCCCCAATTCATCTTAATCAGTCCTTAGGTAATTTTATAAACCCTTTTTAGATGATTTTAACTGAGACCGGAATGAAAGTCCTTATGAAAATAGTTGAACCGAAGCTCTGTAATTTTCTGGGAAAATTATGCAGATTCCAGTGAACTCCGGTGATCGTGAAATCTAACGACCGCTGTTAGATTTAACGGAATCTTCAACGGAAAAGGTATATTTTGTTATTCACGTTAGGTGTTAGAAATTGTACAATGTTAGAATATGCTTGTTTGGTGGGAAATTTTAGAAAAGAATGATGTTGCTGTACTGGTTTTACAAGAAGGACCAAACTGCAAAAATTGTTGAAGCTTTAGGGCTGTTTGGTAATTCTAAGAAGTTGGGGGCATTTTTGCAATTACCTCCAGTTTTATGGGCAATTTGGTAAAATGTGAAATTTGGACAGATTATAGTTAATCTGTCCATTTTGTGTATGATTTATGTTTTAAGTGTTTTGTTAAGTCAATGTGATAGGTACAAGCTTATTCGGTTTGACGTGACAAAGCTTATCAAGAGCAATCAAGCTATGGTTATGTGAGTGAGTATTTTGTTTTTACGTATTTATATGTATATGTGATTTTCCCAACAACTGCTTTTATATATAATGATGTGACATGCTATGTTTAGCTTTACAAATAGGTTTTCCGTACACTTTATGTTTTAATATTATTTGTGAGTATAAACTTGTGGCATGACATCCTTGCATTTTATCTACTCATTATTACATGTTTGCACGGTGTCTCTTAGTTATTTGTACTGTCTTGGGCCAAGAACTAGCTTCACGTGTAGTTCACATGCACCGTTTACATTTGCTTTGGTTTCAGAGTAACATACTTGAAAACACAACAATATTTATTATAGATTATATTAATCTATTAAAAAATTGTTTAATAAATTTAACAGGCTTTGAAATCAGTTGACTCAGCACTACGTAAGAAATTGAAAGCTCAGTTGGAGAGAGTTTACAGCCATTTTTATCGTTGTATGTCTATGTATCAGTTTTGACATATAATTTGGTTATGCTCTTAATGTTAGTTTTTTGGAAATAGTACATTAACAATAGTCTATATTTCTAGTGTGGCTAGTGGGTTCATTATAATATGAAAATATAGGTATAATCGTTGTCATTTATTGAGCAAGCAAGTAAGCAACCATCAACAATTTGAATTCAAATTCCATAAAGCCAATATTTCTAGATTTGTAGGATAATGATGATTTTTAATGGAATTTGAAATACTAGATTCTGCTAAAAAAATAAATAAATCCGAATATTTGATTTTTGTTTGTTTGTTTGAAAATGGCAGTGTTTGTAAATTTTAGGAAAATAAAATCTTTTTGTGTAATCTAAATGGCTTCTCATTTAGAGGGGTAGTTCAATTTCAATCTAAAACCTTCATCTCACTAAGGAAATCTAGCAAAGTTGAATAGCTGTTATCACGGCCAACAATATTTTTGATAGTCTTTGATTTTTTGTGTTCATTTCCTTCCTCTTTTCCTCTCCCATTCCCTGCACCTTCGTTTGTCAAGTCCATACCCAAACATTATTATTATTATTATTATTATTAACTTTTGTTTTTGTTGACTGAATGATCTTGACTTGGGCTTAGGTATTTCAATGTGATCCGTTCGGCAACACAAACAGAACCACTGCCATTTTTTTAAGTATGTGATCTGAACCACCGCAGTGCAATAACGGTGGATACCGCCATGACAGCCTACGAAGCCTCCTCTTCATCCTCCTTCAAGTCAAAACTTTGGAATTACGACGTGTTCTTGAGCTTTAGCGGCGAAGACACGCGCAAGGGCTTCACGGGCCACCTCTACCATGCAATCGAAGACAGGGGATACAAGGCTTATATGGATGAGGACGATCTAAGAAGAGGGGAAGATATAAAAGAAGAACTTTACCGGGGAATCGAAGAGTCAATGATCTCTATCATTGTCTTCTCAAAGAAGTACGTGGATTCGAGTTGGTGTCTTGACGAGCTGGTGAAGATCATGGAGTGCAGATCCAAACTGGGGCGACATGTTTTGCCAATATTCTATCATGTTGATCCTTCACATGTCAGGAAGCAGGACGGAGATTTAGCCGAAGCATTTCAGAAGCACGAAGAGGGCATCAGTGAAGAAAAAGATGACAAGAAACGTGAAGCTAAACAAGAAAGAGTAAAACAGTGGAGAGAGGCTCTTACAAAAGCTGCAAATTTGTCTGGCCACCATCTTCAAATCACTGACAATAGGTAATCATTCACCTGCTTTTCAAGATTTAAGTTGTATTACTCTAATTAACATTCTTAATTAATACACCTTAATCCCTCATATAAAACCTAAACCTTGAATGGAGTTTAATTAATACACCTAACTATATAAATGAATGACTTTCCTTCTTTTATTCAAGTTGGTCAAAAATCACATACTAGCTAGCAGGTATATATGACGGAAAGAAGGAAAGAAAATTGTTAATGTAGTGATAGCTCCTACTGAGCCTTCATTGAGTCCCACTAATGTTTACGAATTCAATTTTCAGGCGCGAAGCAAAGCTTATTAGAGGAATTGTTGACAAGATTATTACTAAATGGCTTCCAAGCACAAACAAATTATGTGTGGCCAAGCACCAAGTTGGAATCAATTCTCGCATTCAAAATATTATCGCTTTTCTTTCAAGTGGTGGACCAAATGATGTTATCATGGTTGGAATTTGGGGGATGGGTGGATTGGGTAAAGCAACAGTTGCCAAAGCCATTTATAACCAAATTCATTGTAAGTTTGAATTCAAAAGTTTCCTTGCCGACGTTAGCGACACCACAAGTAAACATGGTCTAGTTTATTTGCAAGAAAAACTAGTTTCTAACATCTTGAAAAAGAAGTCTGAAATAAGCAGTGTTGATGAAGGTATCAGTCTGATAGAACGACACTTTCAACGTAGAAGGGTACTTGTCATCGTGGACAATATAGATGAAGTGGAACAACTCAATGCAATAGCTGGAAATCGTGATTGGTATGGTCCAGGAAGTAGAATTATCATAACAACAAGAGATGAACATTTACTAAAGCAAGTGGAAGTGGACAAGATATATCTGCTTCAGAAAATGAATGAAGAAGAAGCTCTGGAGCTCTTTAGTTGGCATGCATTTAGAAATAGTTGGCCTAACAAAGGATATTTTGAACTCGCAAAAAAGGTTGTTTCTTACTGCGGAGGCTTGCCACTAGCACTTGAAGTTTTAGGCTCTTTTTTGATTAAAAGAACCATATCAGAGTGGGGAAGTCAATTGGAGAAATTGGAAAAAATTCCTGATGGAAAAATAATAAAACCACTAAGAATAAGTTTTGAAGGGCTAGATGATACACAAAAGGCTATATTCCTTGACATATCTTGTTTCTTTATTGGATGGAATAAGGACTATGTCATAAAAGTATTAGATGGATGTGAATTTTCTGCAACAATAGGAATCAGTGTTCTTCGTGAACGATGCCTTGTAACTGTTGAACGCAACGAGTTGAATATGCATGATTTGCTTCGAGAAATGGCCAGAGTAATAATTTCTGAAAAATCCCCTGATCACCCTGGAAAATGGAGTAGGTTGTGGAACCCTCAAGTCGTCACCAATGTATTAACAAATAAAACTGTAAGTACACTCCCAATCAATTTTAGATTAATGCATCGTATAATAAAAACATATATAGCCCACGTATGTCTATTATACGTTAAACAACATTCATGTGTATATGTAGTTGCACAAGGAAAGTTCATTTAGCAAACAATAGTACTTGCACATATTCAACATACGTGATTTTACCTAATGAATAATACTTGCATTTCCCTTTAGCGATGGTGAGCTCATTCCCTCAGTTGCAAATTTCATAATCGGAGATCGTTTAGTCAAATATATCGAATAAATAATAGTGTAAGTACCAAGTAACATAGTAATGATGAATTGTTCATTTATTTGATACATTTGGATAACTAAATTAAATGATCTTTTATCAAATGATTTTTTTTAAGATGATATCCATATGAAGATTAAGGAATGGAATGATTCTGGATATGAAATTTGTACGAAGAAGAAACATTATTTGAAAGGGGGACTGCAAGTATAATTCATTAAGCAAAATCTTGTAAACATATGCAAATAATATGTTTCTTACCAGCATAACCTTGTGTTAACAGGGAACTGAAGGAGTTGAAGGACTTGCTCTACCAAGGACCAGTTGTTTCACTACAGTAGCATTTAACAATATGAAGAAACTGAGATTGCTTCAGCTCAACTTCGTAGAGCTCAATGGAGAATACAAACATCTTCCCAACGAGTTGATATGGTTGTGCTGGCATGGATTCCCTTTAAAGTCCATACCAGATGACTTTATTAATCAACCAAGACTAGTTGTTTTAGACACGCAGTTTAGCCAACTGGTACAAGTTTGGGAGGGTTCCAAGGTACAATCAATTACACATGATGATATTCTGTTTCTATTTGTTTTTGGATTCCCTCCTCTTTTTTATGAGATATTCCTTTTGGATATTAATTTCAATTTTCCTTTGCTTTTGTGCAACAGTCGCTGCTGAAGTTGAAAATCATTAATCTCAGTTATTCCCGTTCACTAATTAAATCACCGGAGTTTTCACAACTCCCAAATCTTGAAGAGCTGATATTGGAATGTTGTTTTAGTTTGTCCGAGATTCACCCCTCCATTAGTCATCTTGAAAGACTGTCTTTGGTGAACCTTACAAGATGTTACAAGCTTCGTTCTCTTCCAAGGGATTTCTACAAGTCGAAATCTGTTGAGACTCTTCTTCTTAATGGATGTTTAGAATTCATAGAACTACATGAGGATTTAGGGGAGATGGTATCGTTGAGAGTACTTGAAGCAGAGAATACAGCCATAAGGCAAGTACCACCTTCCATGGTGAGACTGAAAAATCTCACTCGTTTATCCCTAGAATGTGTGCAATTGTTGGGGATGCCTATTGATTTGTCCCTTTCGTTACATGGCTTACACTCTTTAAGGGAATTAAATCTCTCAGCGTGCCATTTACGTGATTATGCAATTCCTAAGGATCTTGGGAGTCTAATTTCCTTACAAGATTTGAATCTTCGAGGGAATGATTTTCTTCGCCTACCCAGCCTCACCGGTCTTTCAAAGCTTGAAACTCTACGGCTAAGTGGATGCAGAAAGCTTCAAACGATCCCTGATCTACCAACAAATTTGAAATTTCTGTATGCGTTTGATTGCCCTGCATTGGGAATTGTGCCAAAGTTTTCAGAAATGGCAAATGTGAGACAGTTGAATGTAAGTGATTCAACCAAACTCACTAAGGTTGTAGGCTTAGGTAAGTCATTAAACACCATGACATGGATTGATATGAAAAGGTGCACCAATCTCACAGCTGAGTTTAGGAAGAACATCCTACAGGTATCTCTCTCTCTCTCTCTCTATTGCCTTCCTATCATGCGCATGCACACACAAACGCACATTTACATGTGCATATATATGACACTTGCATTGTATATGTAGGGATGGACTTCTTGTGGATTTGGTGGCATTTTCCTCCATGGAAATTATGTTCCTGATTGGTTCGAGTTTGTCAACAAAGGCAATAAAGTCAGTTTTGTTATTCGCCCAAGTAATGAGCGTGATCTTGAAGGGTTGACTCTATTCTGCAATTTTGAAAGGTTAACTCTGTTTTGCTTTTATTGCTCAGGCAACAGATTTAATCGTCCTCTTCCTCTTGCCAGTATCACTATAATAAATAATACCAAATGTACAGAGTTGGGGGATTGCATAGTCAGAGAAGATTGGGAGGGGCTAATAGATAACAAACCAGCCCATTATATTTGGCAGGGACGATTATCGAACCATAAGCTCAATTTGCAAGGCAAGGATAAAGTTGAAGTTGATATAATTTTTGCGGAATCTGATTTTCCTCAGACAGTGAAGAGAACAGGGGTTAATCCAGCATGGGACAAACCTATGAAGGAAAATATGCATGATTTGGACCAAGATGGTTACCCACATCCAGCTCGGTTCTATGATCATGATCCTCTCGGCCTTGCGCATTTACGTCCTTCTTTGTCTGTTGATACTCTTCCTGCAGGCCGTCGTATTGAGCCTCGCTTGCGACAGACTCATTCGCTTCAGCCTCACTCTCAGCCTCAAACTCGTCATGAGAATCTCCCAGTGCTCTTCCAGCCACGGGGTCCCGCGGTCAGTGACAGTAGAGAGCAGATATCTGACTCAATGGGCGCATATGATCCGAGTAGTAATCAAATTATGAGTAGTACAGGAGGACAACTAGCAGTAGCAGTGCATGATCATGATCTTCTCGGCCTTGCGCATTTACATCATTCCTTGTCTCTTGATACTCCTCATGCAGGCCGTCGTATCCGGCGTTTTTCACGACGGCCTCACTCTCAGCCTCGATCATGTCCTCAGAATTTACCAGTACTTCTCCAGCGACAACCACAAGGTCCGGCGGTCAGTGACAGTAGAGAGCAGATATCCGACCCAATGGGAGCATATGATCCGAGTAGTAATCAAATTATGAGTAGTACAGAAGAACAACTAGCAGTAGCAGTGCATGATCATGACCCTCTCGGCCTTGCACATTTACGTCTTTCCTTGTCTCTTGATACTCCTCATGCAGGCTGTCATATCCAGCGTCGTTCACGACGGCCTCACTCTCAGCCTCGATCAAGTCCACGGAATCTACCAGTACTTCTGGAGCGGCACCCACATGGTTTGGCGGTCAGTGACAGTGAAGAGCAGATATCCAACTCATTGGACGATGATCTTCTTGCACGCCTTTGCAAATCCTTTGCATGCCTTTCTTTGTCTCCTGATCATTCATCTACTTTCTCAACCCACATTCAGCCGGACGCCTGACTCTGTTGGCCTTTACCATTTAGAGAGAGTGAAAGACTCAGAGTTGAAAATATGTACTTGCTAAGCAATTAGTCCCCTTCTTCTCCTGAATTTTCTGGGACATTGAAGAGAACATGGGTTAATCTAGTAGGGAACAAACCTATGAAGGAAAACCTGCATGATTTGGACCCACATCGAGCTCGGTTCTATGATGAGAATTACTACACATGACTAGAATGGAAAAAGGCAAAAATTTTGAAGTGAAAACTTCATTTGTCTAGATTAAGTCACACCCAGATCGGTTCTATGGTGAGGCACGATCAAGACAGTGATGCAACGTCATCATCAGGGGTCATGCGTCGTCATCATCGTCATCACATATCTGAATTTCTGGACTACAGATCACCACCGGCTTCATCATCAGCGAGTCGATATTTCATACTTCTCTCAGATTCTTATGATTTTTTCGGTAAGTAATTGTTTTGAAGTTTAAAGATATATTGCATCTAGAAACATTTCAACATTACAAATTCTTATGATTTTTTCGGTAAGTAATTGTTTTGAAGTTTAAAGATATATTGCATCTAGAAACATTTCAACATTACAAAAACCGATATAAGACACTCATCCGATGATTCGAGAAGTACCACTCAGATTCGCAGAAATACTTGCTCTACTTCCACCACATATTCAAGGAATTTACTTTTAAGGTGAGAAAAATAAGGATAGCCTCAAGATGCCAGTCAATACTTTCTACACCGTTTTAATTAATCTGAGAACTATTTTTGTGTACATAAATTCACTATTTGCACGTGTATGATATTACTAGAGCAGAAATTGTGCGATCACCTCCTCAATCAATCCTTCTACAACTACAACCAGTTTCTCTCTGTCATTCACTACTTGCTTCGGCTTCATCTCTCGAAAATCCGTTCAACCCAAATCCCATGTCCTGTTCACCACTCCTCTGCACATTATGTCCCTCTCAAACATCAAATACAGACTGTCCGCAAGAAGCCTCTCACCGGCAAGTTTACTTGAATTTCTCAGATTCTCGATTCTGCTACAAACTTCCTCCACCAACTTGTCTAGAGTCTTGGCCTTTCTTTCTTCAGCCTCTTTTTGGTGTAGAATGTTTCCTCTCCTCGAACCAATGGTGCATGAGGCTCCTCCAATTCTGAAACAGGAAAAGTCCTTACAAGCGCAATGGGAGGGCTATCATTAGTGAATATTTTCGTGGAACCGGAGTGATTGGACTGACAAAAATCAAGCCTATGCTCTTCCACAGAAGGGCCTTTCAAAAGTCCTTTAAATTGCATCGTTTCGAGAACTTCCCCCAAGGTCCTCTTTTCGTGATCAATGTTTTGAGCTAAAGTTTGAGGGTTTCTAAATTTTGGCCTATCGATATCAAACATAGATCTCTGCTGACTTGAAACAGTCTTCTCACCTTCCTTGAGCAGTTTCTTCAAGGCGGCCTGCAAAGGTCCCGAGGGGTGCTATTCGATTTGGCCCAGGCAGCTGTTGTTGCAATGGCGGAGTCGCTGGTGGTATGAAACATATAACTCTGGCTTGAGCTGGTGGAGGGAGTATCCAAGCACGAATCCATTATCTTCGAGAGCAAAAGTAAAACCTTGTTCGACAGATTCTGTATTTTCCACCAGTTTCTGAGTCACAAGGCTGTCTCTGATCACCTTCTTAAGCTCTTCATTTCCACTCCTCAAAAAACCATCTGCAGAATGCCTCGGTTTTTCAAACTCCGTCACATGATTGTGTTTTTGTTCAAGTGAGACATTTAATGTGAAGCTTCCTGCAACTTGCCAAGCATGACAAGAGAACCCTGCAAAAGCACATTAAAACTTTTGTGCTAAGCAACAGTCTACAACAAGAAAATTTAAAAGACTTTCTTTGGTGAACCTCAAAAGATGCCGTAAGCTTATTTCTCTTCCAAGGGATTTCTATAAATTGAAATCTGTTGAGACTCTTCTTCTTAATGACTGTTCAAAATTCATAGAACTGCATGAGGATATAGGGGAGATGATATCACTGAGAACACTTGAAGCAGAGGATACAGCCATAAGAGAAGTACCACCTTCCATAGTAGGATTGAAGAATCTCACTCATTTATCTCTGAAGGGGACTATGAGGTGTATTCAATTGCCCCATTCGTTAAGAGAATTTGATCCCACATACGGAGCATTAGATGATGCAATTAAGGATTTTGGCAGTCTAATTTATTTACAACATTTGCGTCTTTTAGATAATGAGTTTCATAGCTTACCAAACCTCAGTGGTCTTTCAAAGCTCGAAACATTGTGGTTAAATGGAAGCAGATATCTTCGTACAATCCCTGATTTACCAACAAATTTGAAAGTTCTGTTTGCCGATGATTGCCCTGCATTGGAAACGATGCCAGATTTTTCGGAAATGTCAAATATGAGAGAACTGGATGTAAGTAATTCAGCCAAACTCACTGAGGTTCCAGGCTTGGATAAGTCATTATACTCCATGACGTGGATTGATAGTGACACGCCCCGACCCCGAGGTCCTAGAGACATCGAGATGGTCACGTGCTGGCCGACACCCGAAGGGTGACGAAACCATTTAATTAAAACAAAAACTGAGAAAATAAACTAAAGTACGCAATAAAGACTAAAAACCCAAATAAAAGTTCAACCTCTAAGTAATGAAATTAGGTAAACCCACAGCACGCCCAGAGCATAATTCTAATACAGAGTACAAGCAGAACTCAGAATAAAGAAGTGCTATTACAATACGTGGCGAAGCGGAGTGAATAAGATACAAATCACTGGTAGGGGAACGCCTCGTAGCTTAGATCGTAATCCTCGTTCCAAGGTCCTGAAGGGGGCGCAAAACAAAGGTGAGTGGACCAAGTTTATATATACAGTAATAGTAATACAGTTATCAACATACTAACCCCCAGGTTTTATGAAAACATAAATATAATGATAAATATAGGTTTTCCGAAATCTAGCATGACGCGCAATGTCTCAAATCATAAATCGCATAAATAATAAACACTAGTGAATGTCCGATATAACACTTCAGGCCCCATGCCGGCTCCCCGTCTCTGAGCACACAGTCAGAGGAAAATACACTTCAGGCCCCATGCCGGCTCCCCGTCTCTGAGCAGACAGTCAGAGGAAAACACACTCCAGGCCCTATGCCAACACCAAACCGTCGCCCGGGACGGACCGGATCTATCCCTACGTCCCGTAGCGGAAAGGACCACTAGGTAGGCATAAAATCAGTGAACATACATATCTTGAAAATCAACTTCATAGTATAAAGTCATCCATCATCTATACTATAAAGAAGTGTTCTAAACATGTTCTAAATATCATATCGTCATCCATCAGATATTCTATAAGAACATGGGTTATAGGAAAAATAGTAATAATTCAAACTAGCCTTAGTAAGCATATTATCTCAAAACGTTTCATAAAACATAATCGTAAAGTCATGCTTTTCTGTGTATGCAATTCTACCATTAAAACATGTATTTTGAGAAGGGGTCCACTCACCGTACACCGAGGGTGCAAGCTGTACCAAACAGGAGTAACGAAATCTCCGCTAAGAATCGCACCTAAACACACAATTGTTACTTTCAGTCAAACTCCACTCAAACGATTGAATTTGGGAAAACGGACATCGGAAACGGGTTCAGAACGTCGAAATTAGCCTAGGATGGGTCCCGCACGAAAACCCAAAAAGTCAACGGTCAAAGTCAACGTTGACCGTTGACCGGTCAAAGTCAAGGTCAACGCTGACCGTTGACCGGGTCAACGGTCAACGGGTCGCGGTCAACGGGTCAACGGTCACGGGTCAACGGGTCAGGGTCAGGGTCACGGGTCAAGGTCACGGGTCATGGGTTTTGGGTTAGGGTTTTGGGTTTAGACTTTTGGGTTAGGGTTTTGGGCTAACAGAAATGGGTTTGGGTTTTTAAGTGGGTTTGGGTTAGGCTTGAATCCCTACGGCCCAAAGGCCCACAACAGAAAAGGGTGATGGGTTTGGGCTGCAACCAAGGCCCTAAGGCCTTTTGGGTTTTTAAAAGAAATAACTAAAAATAAAAACTGAAAGGGTTGGGCTTTTGGGCTAAAACCCGAAATGGCCTAAGGCCCGTGGGGAAACAGACATGGCCCGAAGGCCTGGGTGCGCCGGAGAAGACCACCGGAGCTTCCAAGCTCCGGCCAACTTCAAACACTCGAACTAGACCCCGATCTAGGTACCAAAATGAAGCACTAGAGGAGAGGAGTAAGTTTATACCTTGGGTTCACCGTGTAACGGCTTGTGGTGGCCGGAAAATCCCTCGGAAACCACACATTCGCCGGAAAATTGGGTGTACCTCCACCCTTGCCAAAACACTCCAAAACCTTGAAAATCAAGAACCCAAACTCAATAACTACATTTAACCAACCTCTAACAAGACTAAGAAGGGAGAAACCATGCTTACCCAACCGGAAAAACAAGCTAAATTCGCCGGAGGTGCTTACCCTCTTGGCGCCGTGAGCAAGGGAGAGAGAGAGAGAGCTAAGGTTTGATGATGATGATGGTGGTTGTGTCCTCAAGCAAGTGCAACAATGGGTGTGTGTGTGTGTGTGTCTTTCACGGGTAGAAGAGGAAGAAGAAAGAGAGAGTTTTTGAGAGAGAGAGAAAGAAAAGTGCAGACAAACCAAAAGAAAAGAAAAGAAAGGAAAAGAAAAAGAAAAAGGAGGAGAAGAAAAAGTGTCACGGGAGGGGGGGGACAAAAGAGAAAAAGTAAGGGACTTGGGGTGCTGCCACGTGGCAGTCTAGGTAATAGGGTAATAATTTAAATTTCAGATCTTGATTTTGTGACAAAAAAAAAAGAGGGTCAAAGTGATAATTCCATAAATTCTTAGGGAGAATTACAGAATTATCCTTATAAGCAGGGGCGGGTGTAACAATCTACCCCCCTTATAGAAATTTCGTCCTCGAAATTTACAACCTTAAGTAAATAAAAACGGATACTGATTTCTCATCAAGTCTTCCGTTTCCCACGTCGCTTCTTCAACAGCGTGGTTCCTCCGAAGAACTTTCACCAACGAAATGACCTTGTTCCTCAACACTTTATCCTGTCGGTCAAGGATAGCCACGGGTTCCTCCACGTAACTAACGTCCTGATTTATCTCCAGTGGCTCCACTTGAATAATATGTGAGGGATCTGATACATACTTTCGAAGCATAGAAACATGGAAAACGTTGTGAATCATCGACAACTCCGGTGGTAGCTCCAAACGGTAAGCAACTGCACCAATTCTCTCAGTAATCTGATAAGGACCGACATAACGAGGACTCAGCTTTCCTCGCTTACCAAAACGAACAACCCCTTTCCAGGGAGACAACTTCAAAAACACAAAGTCCCCAACCTTATACTCACGATCCCTGGAATGTTTGTCCGCGATGCTCTTCTGTCGATCCTGCGCTGTCTTTAGATTTCTTTTAATCAGCTGGATGTTAGCATTTGTGGTGTCCACAATCTCTGGTCCCACTAACACCCGTTCGCCGACTTCTGTCCAACACAACGGCGTCCGACACACTTTTCCATACAAAGCTTCAAAAGGTGCCATGCCGATGCTCGAATGATAGCTGTTATTGTATGCAAACTCAGCCAACGGTAGATAGCTATCCCAATTACCCCTCCATTGGAGGACAGACACTCTCAACATGTCCTCCAACGTCTGAATTGTCCGCTCAGACTGACCATCGGTCTGTGGATGATAAGCAGTGCTGAACAGCAACTGAGTACCCATGGCAGTATTAAAGGCTTTCCAAAACCTGGAAGTAAACCTGGGATCTCTGTCTGAAACAATGGATACGGGTACGCCATGAAGTCTGACGATATTATCGATGAACAACTTCGATAACTTCTCCAGTGAATAAGTCTGTCGAACCGACAAGAAATGAGCGGTCTTGGTGAGACGATCCACAATCACCCAAATGCCGTCCAATCTCGACTGTGTCCTCAGCAACCCATACACAAAATCCATGGTGATGTCTTCCCACTTCCAAGCTGGTATCGGAAGATTCTGCATTAGTCCTCCAGGCCTTTGCCTTTCAGCCTTTACTTGCTGGCAAATGATGCATCTACTCACATAATCCGCCACATCCCGCTTCATTCCGACCCAGTTATAGAACGGACGGATAGTGCGATATAATTTGGTATTTCCTGGATGCATGGCATATGCTGAAAGGTGCGCTTCATCCAGAATCTCCTTTTTCACCACTTCGTTATCCTGAGGCACGTACAGCCTGTTTCCCAACATCAAGGCTCCATCCTTCCGAATACTAAATTCTTTCCTCTTTCCTTCTGAAATCAAACCCTTGATGACCGCACACTCCGGATCAAGTTTCTGAGCTTCTATAACCATGTCCACCAAAACAGGTCTAACTTGGAAGTGTGCCAACCAAGTTCCTTGATCACCTTCGTTCACCACAACGCCCGTTTCTCGAAGAGAAAATAGTAGCGGAACATGGATAGCTCTAAGGGATGTAAGTTGTCCATGATATTTCCGACTGAGTGCATCCGCTACTACATTGGCATGTCCTGGATGATATTCGATCGTGCAGTTATAGTCACTGATGAGCTCCATCCACCTTCTCTGCCTCAAATTCAAGTCCTTTTGCGTAAAGATATACTTGAGGCTCTTATGATCAGTGAAAATGCGACACTTCTCACCGTACAAATAGTGTCTCCAGATCTTCAGAGCGAACACAACTGCACCAAGTTCCAAATCATGAGTAGGGTAGTTTCTCTCGTGGGTCTTGAGCTGTCTGGAAGCATAAGCAATGACTCTCTCATGCTGCATCAGTACACAACCCAAACCTGAACCAGATGCATCCGTGTAGATTTCAAACTCGCCGCTATCGTCTGGAAGGACAAGAACGGGA